ACGGGGATCTTTCATATCGAGCCCCAAACATACTTTCGACATATGCACTCATGCCGCATGGAAAACTATTTCAAGTTTTGTCGGAATTTCTTTACCTGTGGTTGTAATGGTCGAGGGTTTTCCAGCGTCCTGTAATACCCAAGGTAGTACAAGATACTGGAGATGTGCGCACACATTCCCATCGTTCTCTCTCCAACTGGGCACTGGCAGTAGTAGTCCTTTATTGGGGCCTCAACATCGGGTGAAACGGTGAACCGTATCCAAACGTTATATTTCGTTTGGCTTTTGTGTCGAGAATGTATTTGACATCGGAGAAGGTCTGGGGAGTGCTGGTAAAGCCACACCTCATAGTCGCCGTCATCACTTAAATGTTCGGCGATGTAACCAGGAGCCAGAGATATCTGATACGTTCCACACGTAATGGTTCTCAAGTAATCAAGATCGAGACGTGGAAACAGTACTTCATTTATTTATTTTTTTTTACACATCATAAAACTGTCATGAAAATATCCGCTCTGATATTCAATATAAAAGTTTGTATATAATAAGCTATATAATAGGGTTTCAGACAAGGTTGTTACTAATTTCCCCTTTTCTTTCAATTTACAACCACATTCAGGCGGCGATATGAGAACGTTCCACCACATGGAATTAGCTGATTTTTGGTACACATATGAAACAAGTAAAGCTCTATCCGATTTTCTGATGGAAATTTGCATCCAAAACTATATAACGGGAGAAAATTGCAAATTTATGGCATTTTTCTTCATAATTGTGTCTCTGTAAGTGCATTTTCATCCGAGAATATATTTTTTTTCATGTTTTATGAATAAACACGATGTTTTGGAAATATTTATCAAAAGAAATTTATACTATGTTGCGAATTACAATTTCGAGAAAACCTTCTTTTATTTACGAACTTATGTCTTTGATGCTGAAATTGACAACTTTATAAAAATACATTTTCACTGAAATTATGAAATCTGGGTGTCGGAAAGGTGTAAAATTATTTTTCGGAAAAGAAAAAAAAAACAGTAGTTGAGCTAGATAAGAAATTATACGGGGGCAGGCTCCTATGGAGAATTAACATTACTGGAAACAGGCCCAAATTTGTCTATTCTATTAAAGGCGACTGGTAATGTATACGTAATCCTATACATTATCTAAATGGTAACGATATGACTTATATTCAAATCATTGAAGTCAAACATCATGTTGCATTTATGGTCATTATAAATGACGAAACCTCGCCAGGTAAACGTTGTCATATATGACACGGCATTGCAGGCAAATAACATCTTTCTTTAATAGTTGTTATAAACTTCGAAAGAAAACTATTTAATGCTAGGACAAGAATAAGTACATCTTGCTGTCTACAGATAACAACTCGAATTTATCTACAACAATCTGTTTATGACTGTTTAATCCTTCGAAGGGAAGGGCAAAATTGACGGGGAAAGATTTTCGTCTCTATGAAAACTGAAATTATATCATATCAAATAGGGGATCGACATTATTTAAAATTTTGTTAGCGTAACTTTTTCTAGCTAGTTCATATAGTGGCATCGGCATACAAATGTAATAACACATATATACTAAAAACGTTGTGTCTTCTCTGAACTCTTTTCTTGATTAAGGTAAATATTTAGTGGTCCTCGGATTTATATGCTCAAAATGATTTTCTACCCAATAACTTTTGAAACAATTACTACAAGTCTACATGTTTACCCTTAAAAGAAAGAGAAAAAATGGCCAAGTGTTCCGGAAGCGTAAGCGTCTTATCCTTCAGCGACAGCATCCGCCATGTAAACCTAGGTAAATCCGAAAACACGTTAAACAACATCGTGAATCAGTAGATATTCTAAGGAGAATCAAACAGCCTCATAAGGAGAAAGAATACTTCACAGTGAGATGATTATGACGACCATCATTTTTGTTCACCTGCAATACTTGAAACACAGTGTTGTGAATTTGTCTGTTAGTTGTCGATATCTTTCACGAAAATCTTGATGTCGAGTCCTTGAATATCGAAGCAACTGCGACAAGTAAAAAAATCATTAATAATTTCCACTTCAGTATATTCATTCTTTTATTAGAACGTATTTTCACAAAAAATGAAGAACTTATCAAAACAAGTCACAAAGACCTGGTAAAATCGTTAGATTTCATTTCAGATGACGTCTTGTTTTTAAATAGCAATTTAAGATTTTAAATAACCAACACGGACAGCTTTCCACCAAGTCGATTGTGAAGTTTGCATTTCTGGATAGCAACATTCCTGCCTTCACATCCTATATAACAATGTTAAATGTCGCAGTTGATTCGTTTCAATGGTCTGTTCCCATTATCACTACTTTTCTGCAAGAAGTCGTCAACTGGCAGACTAATTCAGAACACAGGGTTTCAAAAGAACAGGTTCAGAAGTATTATATATCTTTGCGCGATATAAGCTGGAACTGCTTGTGTTCGTCAGTTTGCGTGTTGGTTTCATTGTTGTATACATTTACATTGATCTCATTTGAGAACGCGACATTACTTACTTGAATTGGTCAATGATCACATGAAGGGCGTCGTTGATGAAGCAGAAGACGCTTAGGCTCTGCCTGTTGCCCAATTCCTACTGTCAATACCACCATGACAATAAAATATTCTGAAAGAAAGAAGACGCTTATTCTTTTTCTCCTTGTACTATTTCTGCGTGTAAATCTTCCTTTTGGTCATATTTGGCACTTGCATTTTTAAACTTGAGTTGGGTGATGGCTATGTTGACATGCTTGTAAATGAAGTGTGCTAGGCCTACTAATAGATTTGTTTTTCCCGAAGGGAATATTCAAGAGTAAAGGTTCTGTGGCATTCTTTGAAATCTACATGACATTATTTCCATTTCTGAAGTAAAAAGTATCACAATAAAACTGTAACTCCGTTTCGTGTATTCTTGTGATTGTAAGGATCAAATATAAACGGGGGAAGTCCATATCCTTACAATTAATCGGCAAAGTAAATTATTATAATACAGAAGTGTGATTCTTAAGAAATATTGGATAGTGTATAGGTAGGGTTACCAGCACAACAGAAAAAGTCGAGTTCTTTTTGCATGCAGGAGCCATAATGTCTTCAAACAAAATTTTGAGACGCCTTATCTGTATCTTGAAGCGTTCATTTAAAATCCGGATCAAGGAATACAGATTTGTGGCTCGTCATATATAATCCACTCCAAAAGTGAATCGAACGCGGCGTGCTCTTCGTTTATCCACTTTCTAATATAGGGTTCAGCGGAATCCATAAGTATACTGAAATTCATCAGTCCTTGAGGAAGAAATAGCTGCATTATGCAGTTGATTCGCTGTTAAACCTCTCTGTATCCTATCTAATTTTTTGTTTCAATTGATATCAGGAATTTCCCGATATTTCGATTCCTCATGGAAAGTCCTCGTAGCTTAACATTTTGGATCATGTTTAAATCGCTAGTCACTAAGTGCCCAGATGGACCGTACTTATATGATGTAATATATATACGATTCTTGGTAGTTTGTCAATTAAATAGACAAATATCATAATACTTTTATGAGTTAGCGTAGCACTACAAGGTTATCGTTACATCTATGTGCTGTAATTGGCTTTTAATCATCAACAGAGAATGGTTAATGGTGGACTGTGTGAATCCAATATCATCACAAAACTATTCTCAATAGGTTATTATATATTAATATCAACAACAGATTTTCCAGTATTTATCAGCTTAAATATAGTGGTCTTTATAAACATAATGAAATTGAATATCCTTAGTAGTAAATATTGAGCCAATCTGTTTACAGGTACACTCAGTAGTTACTTCCCTTTATATGAAATCAATGTATATTATATGTCTATATTTCCTAGCATCTATTGTCATCAAAAGAAGAGGACTTTGATAGGCTAAGCATGATTGTCAATCCTAATAATAATTGGTTGAAATTGATTTTAGAAATTGATACATATCATTAAATGTTATGATACAAATTACATTTTCGTATAACTGGCCTGTTGTCTGACGGCCATGTCATAAATGCCGTAAGACATGTGTAATACCACGGTTGTGACTTCGAAATCCGTCTTATCTCATTATGATAATTGCTTTTTGAAACGGCTTTGATTCATACATATCTGAACTCTGTGATGGCACGTTGGATAATAGCCCACGGGTACCATTTTAAGTCCCAACCGCCAAACTGAATGTTAGTGATCACATTCGTACGTGTGGTAAGGTGTTCCTCAATAACTTGAAGACATATTTTTTGTTATAATGGTCATGGACTAGCCATCAGCTACTTCAAGGAGACAATACCTTAACATGACACTGATTGTTCATGGGGCTATGGACCAAGCAATTAGTAAAACTGATATCTACAAAGTAAATTTGTAACTCGAGAGTGTTTATGAAAAAAAGGATTTCATTTCGGCAAACTTCCTACTTTATACCATGGCATTTTTGCCCCATATTTATTTTTGTCCTCTTCACGAATTCCTCTCATGTTCATATTTCCTTCCGAGAACTATATGACAGGGTAACACAAGAGAAACAAGTTATCACACTCATATAAATGTCTCTATTCGTCGACGAAAAGGCCGAACATTGAACTGAGGCAAAATTCCTAGATATAAAGTATTTTAAATCTTTAAAGTGGATTTAACATTCTATTGATTGCCATCCAAATTAAAAGTTAGATTCCTGGGAATGTTTCCAAACACCAATGGGTTAGTGCCGAAACACCCTAAAACACTTATCCATTCCATTAAGATTGATTCATTATGTGATTGATTTTTTTTAAATGTATTCTTTATATTTTCATTCGTGGTTTGAATGCCTATTTAAACATTAATTTTACCTTTTTATTGATCTTATCAATCCTCTTTTTTTCAAAATGAATTAACGGACCTAGGTTTATTTCATTTTCAACTGGAAATATTGTTTTTCAGTGGTCATCAGGTGTTAGATAGTAATCATGGTATAAAAGCGGCATTTAAGATTTCATAGACGCTCCAACAAGAAGCACATGCGGTTGTTGTTCTGGATACATCGGCGGGACATTCTACAAATGATAAAAAAGAATATTTCAATGATGAATATTATAAATGATTAACAAGAACGACAGACCACCTATATATTGATATGATTTGTCATGTCTTAGGGATTATCCCTATGTTAGATTGAATTTAAATATTTTCGCTCTGTTTAGGAAAATATTAAATAAAAATTCAACTGGATATGTATATGTTTTAGACATCTAACGAAACAGTTCATAGGAAAAGAATTTTACAGAAACATAGGGGCCACATTATTGTAAAAAGCCGTGAACCATCCGGAAACTTGCCATCTCTCAGCATTCCTCAGTTTCTGACATGCCATTTTTTGATACAGTATGAGCAAGTATATAACCTACCAAAAATACCGATGAAAACGCTGCTTTAAGTGGCCAACCAAACATGCATTTTGTTATAGTACAAGGTACCGCAGTTTAATCCGGATTATTATTAAGTTATGACTTAATGACGAACGGCAACAAACACAAAAGGAACCACTGCAGGCTAATTTTTCAAAAGGAAAAATAAGGTTTGATTTAAATTTTCATAATGAAATTGATGGCCCCTAACTTATTGCTAAGTAATTACGAGTTAACATTCAAAACGTGGGAAACCCTTGTGATCTGCTATCAACCCTTCGAATGCCTATTCTATTTACTGATGAGTCCAAAAAGGGCGAAATAGTTGCGTAATGCAGTTGACGTCATTTTTTCGCTGTACAATTTCGAATGTTGATTTGAAATGGACTATTTATTAGTGTAACGTTTGGACAATCCTTTGCTATACCTGATTCTCCGAGTCGGTCTCTTCATAAGTGGAATCAGGTTCCAGGCTACACATTTTCCTGCATAGAGGGAAGATAAATTGAGCTTCTACTGGTTGATCATGGAACCCACCTGTTAATGAAACGACGTAAAACCAAAGTAAAGAAAATCGCTGTGAAAGAGTTGCAGAAATCAAATCAGAGTAATGTTCAGAGGAAGGTGCTATTAGGTTTCTTAAAAATAATCAATTATTTTTTTGCGTTCATTGAATGATTAATATTCAAGGAATGAGTGTGATAAAGTGAAAAAACTATTTCAACCATGGTGTCTATGATTGAGAGTCTCCTGGCTGTATTGTTCAATGCATACTCTACCTACTTGTACACAAGCTAACGGCGATGCCAATGATAAGGGTGAGGAAGAACCCGATGAAGCCGTACCAGATATAGGACACGTTGTACAAGAAAAATCCTTCGTCTGGACTGGTGATTAAAAATAGATACATTTGTAAGTTCCGTAATATCGTTCTGAGATTAAAACATGTAATAATTTATAAATAAGTTATCAAAATTCATTGCATATATAGCAGTTATAAAATATACATTCTAAAAATTTGATTATAATTATTAAAATCAAGACAAGGTCAGCATTTTAGTATTACAATATATGAACAAATGCGATATTAAAATGAATGTCTAATATCAATTTATCAAATCTACTATACATTTTGTATTGACATATCGAACTTACGTGACTAAGACGTTTGGGGACATGCTTGAGTATCCAAGTACATCATATAAACAGGTAGTATTTGTAGTATTTTGAATGTACATCGATGAGTCGTTAACTGAATTGGTAATGTTTCTGGCGAAACACCCACTTGTAGGGTTAGGAGGTAACGTGCTTGGGCTCTTCCCGTAGATTAGGGCTCCTAATGCTATCCAAATGTTGCAGACGAGAGCTGTCACACTACCTATTACAGCTCCCTGTAAAATGAATGTGGAACTGAAAGGAAACTACATCTAATATTTGGAATCGTTCGCAGGTATCACACATTGGTTTCTTAGCGACATCGTTTGTTTACACGCCTGTTCTCCAAATCTTTTAATTTGTAATTAAACTTTTTGAACTAAGTTTGCAAATAGATATAAATATATTCTAATGATATACATGCTGTATTTTCTTTATTTCTGAAATTGACAATTTTATGCAATTTTTCTATGGCATTTTTTCTAAAAATAAATTGGATATCTTACCCATCGTGTCATATTTTCATACGCTGTCTCTTTGGATGTACAATGAACTAGTAAATTGTAAAGTTAATCTTCACTACTCACTATCCAGTTTGCCTTTGGTGTCATTCCACCGAGGAAAAAGAGCCCTGCCAAAGGTCCTGCTCCACATGCCCCAGTTACAACTGCGAAAATCTGTATTGATAAAGATATTACATAGAATATTGGCAAAATAATTATTTTTTGCATTTGACTTTTAGCTTAATGTTTTCTTGTGATTTGGGCTAATCATAAACATTTGCAAATTTATGTTTGTAGCTATGATTTTTTTGAAAAATAGAACTTTTACATCCATATAAATCAAAATATTATGTAATAGACAAAGCTTATTATCTACACCACTTCAACGTAAGTGAGTGGGAAATCATCTGAATAAATACGGGTGTACATCGAAGCAGAAAAACTCACCTGGATTACAGAACCTGACATGGAACTGATACCATACGCCAGACCAATAATTCCCAGTCCATACAACGAGACTACAGAATAATTAAACAAAGCACACAACAGTGGTTAGTAGTTTTCAATAAAGTATAAGGATCATATCATATATATCCAAATTGTGAAGCTACTTTCATCATACAGCTTTTTTTGCATCCTTCTAGGACATAGTGATGTTGAGTGCTTATGTTGCTGAAACTTGTTGAAAATGAATACTGAACTCCTCAAAAAACCGTGATTTCAAAGCAGTATTTTCACTTACAAATCACTGTCTTAATCGTACTGCAATTTCATGAAACATTTCACAATTATGCATTGCGGGTTTTTGTGTCTATCAGCCATATTATAGTGTGTTTAAAAGAAAGATCATTTCCCCGAAATTGATAGCGGTTGTGTTATATTTATTCCATATTCCATATTCCATATTAAAAGAATATTGAATTCAAAACGCTATATCAGTGTAAAAGATAAACTTACCTAACAGTTTCCCTACGAATGTTTGTGATATTGTTTTTGATTTATGTAGACAGCTGCCGAGAATCTCTTCCACAGTGATCGCTGATAGAGCGTTGATTCCAGAGGAAAGTGTACTTACAAAAGTGAAATAATAACGTTAAAGTACAATTATACAATATCAAACACAAAGTGCGCTTGCTAATTTATCATTTATTTTAGACATAACAGTAACGTTTTATCTGAGTTCTACCAATACTGTGTTTGATATACCAGTGTATAAAATGTTTCAAGATGGTAAGGAACACTATATGCAAATGTATTGCATTGTAGATGGCAATCCTAGATATTGCTCTAGTTGAGTAAATCGACAACACTCTACTATATATCTTATAATTACCTCAAAGTTCCACTAAACAAACAGCTGATATAGACCCCAGATAAACCTGGAAGTGACCGCAATACGTCCAGCACGAAGTATGGCATCAGCTTCAATACAAAATTTCAAACAATGAATACGGAATATTTAATTACTATACATGTATAGTTGTATAGCGTCCGTTCCATAAACCGAACACAACATCATAATCAAGTAGAAATTTTCGGAGCAGTTAATTAATACTTGCGTATTGTTTTTAATGCTAGAATGCTGTTCTGTAATTAGGTCTTCATGGTCACTGCATTTACAAATATTTCAGTAATAAAATCTTCATACAGTGCCGAGAACCAAGCGTAACCAAATAAAGATAAACAGAAAAGACAAAGAAAGAATCAAACACACGAAACCATAGATGAATAACCAAGCGATATCAATAAACCAACAAACACAAGCCTCGACGCTTTCTTCTCTGGAATAAATTACCTTTGTATCCTGGTTTTTTTCATGGATCTTGGTGTTAATCTTACCTTTGGTGATATTTTGCCCTAGCTGTATCTAATTTTGATTTTGAATAGAGGTTCTCTTTATATGTTATGCATTTTCTTTTATTCCCAGACCGTACATCGTATTCAAATCACCGCAATCTAGTTATATATCTAGAAAATACAATGGTGGATATTATGTGCAGTATTGAAAAAGGGATGATCCTTTCATCAGTTGACCAGATTAAGAGAGATGTTTATGATTATTTATCGAATAGTGCATACAAACAGACCATTTGTTACTTGAAAACCAAATAATGCATTGTAAATCATACCTGATTGAAGTTTGTTAGGAGTCCGGATTCAACTGGATCACAATTGACAGTGTTGTAATAGGAGTACAAAATGATACCCAAATACCCAAGGAAGATAAAGTAGACCACAATCATTGGACTCAGCATCCAAATGGCACTGTATGAAATATTTGGCATGACATTTTTCTGTCAGAAAGGAATATTCAAATCAATTAATACATCTTCATCAATCTGCTATCGAAATTATTCTCAGAAAACACAGAATTAAGAACAATATGTCGGTAATTTCTTGGAGTTAACATAAAAAGAAAAAATCTGAACAAACGAGATGATCCCTATTGAGTACGTGTCGCACGAAACAATAAGGTCCGCACCGTTTTCGAAATTTGGTAATTCATACATAAACTTATCAATGCTTAGATGGTATTTGCAGTAGCATTAGAGGGAACACAAGTTTTATTTATGAATAATAAATTACATGCTTAGACTAGTAGACTATTTAGGACAGAACATTGAGTGTTGTGTGCCATAAACTTTTCAGACGTTGATGTTTTCAAATACATTATAAATATAGAACATTCAAAATGTATTAAATTCACAATTTCAGAATATAAGTAATCTCGATCATTGTAAAAGTTCTCAAATGAAGTAGAAATACCGTTAGCAGCAGATGTTTGAGAACGACTAGAACTTGATCATCACGGTAAAAATAGTATTGCGGTTTGACGTAGCAGACGCATCAAAGGCTCAATAAGGTTTTATTTACCACAAAAAGCTACCCATTTATAGCATCTACCCTTGTTGGCGCGGATATTAACACGCGAGATGGATCTTACCTGATTCAGGGTGTGTGATACCACTCGATCTGACAACTCTATCAGGTAAGGTATGTGAAGGTATGGGAAGGAAATGATAAACCCAATGTCGATCAGAAACGAGATAATTCTATATTTAATAGTTTCCATTGGCTTCTGACCGAAAAAAAATCAGAAAAAAGTACAGTGCTCACATTTTAGTTGCTCTGAGACTGCGAAGAGAGGACATTCTCTGGAAGCTTGACTGATTACACCAGTAACAGAGGAAGGTAAAGGCAAATCCTACACACGTACCCCAAATAGTGTGGCGGCTTCTAGGATCAGGATCAAAGCTGTCAATTATCCAAATACCAGAATGTTACAAAGATAATTAAACTTATCGATAATCGCACATCTAAGTCTTATTCTTAATCAAAATGACAAAGATTCAATATCAATTATATCGTAGACAAAATATTTCAGGACAAAACTCAAAAAAATTATCATTTTAATCTGACGTTTTGATGACTACACTTCCCTAAAATGTAGGTGACAGAGTAGTCAGAAAATAATCTACAACTAATGAATCCATGGTGTTCTAAGGATTGAAGTTGTAAAATAGTAATTTCACCTTACATAACTTAGATAAAAGTTTTTCTAGTATAGCTAACAAATGTAATGAGTTTTTTTTTCAAAATACACGTTAAAGACATGAGTTATCCACTCGTATATACTTAACAAGTTGAAGTTATTTCAGCTGATTCCCCCTTACTTGTAAAAGTCAGGTGTTCCAGCTTATTTCCCGGACTTTTAAAAGTCAGGTATTTCGGCTGAATTCTCCTGACTAATGAAAATCAGGTATTTCACCTTAGGTACCTAAGTCATGATATCAAAAGTCAAGCGATTTTATCTTACTTTATAAAATCAAGCCGTCGGCCTTCATTTGCGATTCCGACAACAGAATGACGTGTTTCCATTAGCATACCGCCCTATTAAGAAACCACATAACAAGATTCGAATTAATCGGAAAACAATTAATATAAACATCTTTATTATGATCACGTCGAAATGAAATACCTGCCATTAATTGTAGAGAATTACTTTTCTTTATTAAAAAGTACATCTTTTAAAAAATGGATAGTCATTTATAAACACATTTTCTGTATATGTATGTCTACACCTTTTAGTACTTAGTTTTAAAAACACTGTTATGAAATATCGGATACCCTATTCCTTACCTAATGACATACACCCTCTTATTAATTAAGTTCGCCTTTGTAAAATCTTTGCATGTGTCACTTATTTTAAATACCCTAGGATGTTTTTATCGGCTGCGCCAGTCAAAATCAATGATTTTGTCCATAACATTACCAACTCAGACATCACATCATCATACGTGTTGCCAATAAGTTAATTTACCTACGCGTGATTATAGTACTTAAAACATAAATTTATATGACCTTTACAGTGACCGCTACCAATCCAATAAAAATCATCACAAACTGGAACGCGTCTGTCCACACTACACTCTGGATTCCTCCCTAGAACAATACGACAATGTAACAAAGGTTATAAGATAACATTAAAATATTGCATCGATACAATTAACCACAAAGACTGGTAGCATGAACTTGTTTCGTTTCATGTCCACATGAAAAAGAACAACTTTGTCATCACTTCATGGCTATACATAATGTTAATTCATAAGCTCTCAGTTTTCATAAAAAAAACTGGTATAGAATCGGTAAGTTTGACATATGACAAACATTTAACAGCAAATTACCTTGGTGTTTATTACTGAAGAGAATTTCATCTGACTTTTCCAAACAAAGTTCAAACATTCAGTACAGTGCAATGTACCATCAGAAATGACGGGAGGCTCTCTTTATTTTAGGAAAGCTGTAAGTACTGCATCATCAATACTAAGGGAGCTAAACTGCATATGATACGGACAAAAAACCCAATGTTTGATACAGAAAGTATCGGCTTTTGTTAATTTGCCATTACAGAAAAAACACTTTATCCAATCACTATCATTTAATTAATACACCTTTTCTCTTTTATAAAGTATGACAAATATGCTTTCAACTCTACGCTGTTAAGATTGTCTTTAATAAAAACAACACTTCACGCTAACGCTATCTGTCAAAGAGATAAATTTATCTAGCTTATTTGTATATTTGTTTTCCTTTTTTATTGTGTGTAGATGATAAATAAAGTTTCAAAACTAGTTACGTTTTACACATGTAAATAGAAATATTTTTTGGGAAAAAACTTACGATTGTTGTGTATAAAGTACAAACAAGCCCAATGACAGCTATAGAAACCCACAAAGGTATTCCAGCCACTGTAACAGAAAGGTTTAAAAGATTAAACTATAATCAAATAACCTTTATTAAAGACAATAAAGAGAAAAGATATAAAACATTTTCAAACATGATATAAAACATCTTCATAGCTTATTGATTTAGTTTACAGAAATAACAGAATTTGTTTTTAATTTCAAATCAACATTGTCTAAAAAGGAACACAACTGCCAAAAAAGTTAAATTTCTAATATCACTAGTATATCAACATTTCATGTGACATTAATAAAGAAGTGTTCTTTTTTAAAATTCTAAATCAAATGATTTGCATGGAAATTTTGCATTAAAATTCATAATGCTTATATGTTTACATACCGAACTGTAAAGCTAAACTTGGTGCATACAATGTCACTCCCATATCCATGATCTGGAATTAAAATGGTAGGATTATAAACCATTATAAAATATTATATCAAACGATGGGTTAAATGAACCAGAGTTTGCACTCGGACGGATCTAAGATAACTTACGTTTATAACTTCTAATGTCACAGTACGTGACATACATTCTTAGGTCGTTTAAGTAATTGTAAGGGAACACACATTTTTACCCAGTGTTTTATCATAGCAGGCAGTGCTATCTACTGTACTTGAGAGCCGTTGAATACGTTTGCCTTTATGCTTTATTAGTTATAAAGATATTGTTATCACCTTTAACACGATTCATAGTGTTACCGTTTAGAATTTTTGACTGGATGGTTTCTTCATATCAAAGAGGATACATACAGTTAGAAGCATCCCAATCATCGTTCCTATCCTTCGTACGGCCTTGGACTGGAACCTTAGTTCTAGATACTGATTAAAAAAATGCATGACTGATTAGACTTTATTTTTTAACATATTTTCATACGATCAAATTATGTGAATGCTTTTAGGGCCAAATATTGGTTCTGTTTTCAATATAAGTTGAAACGATTTCGTGTAATTTATTGTGTTTTTATGTTTACTTTTGTCGATGTATTCATGAATACTCAAAAGATATCTTCGAATCTTTATTGGGAAAAAAGAAAATTATAATAATTGTTTATAGCTTTCGTAATGCCGGTTCTATTGTCATTGTTTTAATGGCAATATAAACTTCAATACACTTCAAATTAATGTCGATTATGGACAAAGAAAATCATAGACTTTTTACCGGATTTATCAGAAATTTGTACGTAGTTCTATATATAATACTTACCTCAAATATACTGGATAGTTTTAGTGGATACAACAAAGGCACGACGGTAAAATTGGCTATGATAACAGAAATCACATTTGATACGGCGTAGTAAACAATTCGAATTCCATACGCGTATACTTCGGCTGGAATACCCATGAGGGATATTGCCGAAACGAATGTGACGAAAAGGGACATTGCAACTGGTATAAGTGATAGATGTCTATTTCCGAAGAAATAATTTTCCAGCGTAAGATTTTGATTCCTTTTGAAACCATAGTAGATGCCGATTCCCATACAGATACAGAGAAAGATTGCTATAACGATATAGTCCGCAAGGTGTGGTGAAGGCGAGGGAACAAAAAGCAGATCCATTTTTTGTAATTGTGAAGGTTCCCAGGTAGCGACACAAATACCAATATCGTTTTTGCTCGCTTTGATGTCACCATATTACAAATGAAAAAATCGCCATATTTTTATTGACGTCGTGCAGTTCTATATTCATCACCTTTTAATCACCCATGAGCCAATCTTAAACGACCTATATTAGCCTCATTAGTATTGATCGGAGAACAGGTGTTTTTTACCATCATGATAATGCATAAAATATATTGCACGAGTTGTGAACCGTTTCACGATGAATATTCATGCCAAACAGATGTTCGATTTTGGTTGAACGTGTCATAGATTGTGTTTTATCAAAAGCTCACTGTTACTTTTCTGGTAATAAACTGATGATGTTTTGTTATTTTTTTCCACTTCTACTTGTTATTTGACTTTTTTTATTACATTAATATAAGGTTTTTTATCTCAATTTATATTTACTGTCAGATAATGTTCATAGAGAACCATTTACCAGTAACTTTTCTTGTTCCATCTCTGCTTATAACTAGGGTCAACATGGACACACAGTAACATTTAAATTACTTAAATTGGAAAATAAATTTTAAAATCATTAGAACTCCGTTGAAAGCTATACCAGTGAACTTGATTGAGTTTGGTTTATGATTGTGTGACATGTTAATATTTTCTAGTTGTTTTTTCTTCAACATGCATCTTTTGAAGTTCTGTTTTATGAGTTTGTCCGTCAGTTGACTATATTTTATCTTAAAGTAGTGATATTGGGAACAGACCCTTGAATACATAAAAAAACCTGGAGGTGAACATTGCTGCCATTTCCTGGGAAGTTCTTAATAGATCAATTATATATATGTGTTCCCCTTGGCACATAGTTGTGCCCGTTTAATTAGTGGACGGGCAAAACAATTTTAAAGAAAATAGGAGATCAGCTTGGATTAAAAAAAACAACAACAGATTGTTAGTTCTGAAGAGGAAGATTTAAATTCGTTATATCAAAACGCTTTTTAAGAGAGGAAAAGAAGGAAAAACCTCTATATTTTAAAAATCAAATGAAAACAAAATCGGCAAGGTAACTCTTGTTTCACTTACGATTTTCTTTATGGTAGTATCACGGTCTGCCATGCTTAAAATCGTTAAACTAGATTTGATAACAAAGGAAAACAGCAGATCGTGTAACAGACGTAAAGGAATCTGTTGGGGAAAACAGTCTGGTAGTCTTATTTGTCTGACGCTCTACATAAATTAACCAAATGTTTTTGTTTAGAATCGCATTATGATTCCCTCTCTTTGATTGTTTTCCTTTAAACTTTTAGATGAGCAAGGTGATACATTGAATATTTCTTCATCTAAAGTTAATCGGTCAGTATCTATAGAGGAATGGGTTTGTACCATGTCCGGTGTTGGCGACGAATGTTGCTGAAGTTTGCAAATTAGGAAGTCAGTTAATAGCTTCTTAAAATAATAGATAAAATACCTTTAACTTTAATATTAGTATTTCTTTTTTATTCCTCCTTTAAAACCAGAGCCATCATCTAGCCGGACATAAATATATCTACACATGTACTTATTCAGCGACATTAATTCAGTGACAATCAGCCATTAAGGCAATTCATTTAAGTTTAATATTCGTAGGCACTCGCAGGACCATCGTTACTTATTGAATTATGGATCTAGTTCATCTCCCTATCTAGATTTTTTTTTATCACTTTAGCTATTCCCCTGACGTCTCCTAGGTTTAAAATAGGTTCTTAGCATCACTGATGAGCCCTAAAATGACGAAACAGCTGTATGATGCAGATTTATTGTAACTTATTTAAAGATGTATTGAAATGTGCTTTTCACTTGCAAGTCTTTTGACGCTTATTGTTTACTGGGGTATTCAGAAATGTTAAAAATAATCTACTACGTTTATTGTACGTGATATTTGAATGTTAAAGAGGAAGCACTACAAAACATCCCTGTAGGGCTCGTCATGAATGTGAAAAGTCCATATTGTTGGAACCTAACAGGAGAGAATCCGAAATTGGTCGAAATAAACGTCAAAACTGGTACTGACACACAGAGAGAAGCTCGACTAATTTCAAATGAAGGATTTATTCAGAATGCCTTATAAATGCTGAAGGTAATACACAAGTTGGAGAAAACATAATTGAATGAGTTTACATGTTTATATCCTTCACCACATGACATTTACTCAGTATTTACTGAAAACTAGCATTTAAAGCATATTGGTGCTAAGTATTCTATTTAATTAGTAGAACAACTGTCAGAAATTTAGAAATGAAACGTTTTATTTTACAGCACAGATGTTCCCCGGTCTTTGTTCTCATGAGAAACCGTCGTTTGTCCCGGTGTTGACTGCAAATAAAAACCAAATATCTTACATAAATTTCCTGCCATCATATTATTTATCTAATCTCAAATGAAAAACATGTTTGATTTTTTATTGCAACATATCACACGTTTAATACTTTAAAAACTGCCAAGTCTACGTTGCTATGTTTACAGTAAAAGAAATAAAAAAAAATTATCAATGATTTCAGGAATATTCGACGCACCTACAATGGGAACAGAGTGACTAAACATCAGTTTCCACACCTATCTCCTATCTACTTCGTCAACAATTATCGCAGCTTTTACAACAGTTTGTCAGTACAAACCAGCCTCAAACATCGCTTACAAAATTAATATTAATTAACGAGATAATTAGCCTCTCAGGACTTCAAGTCTTCCTACTATAATTATTTGTCTTCAAGGTAACAGCTTGAATGTTATTGTAGGAAGTGCAAATCATTTAAAAGTTAGATGAAATATATGAAACGTATTTAGATAATAATGAAATATATTAAATGTGTTTTAATTCACATATTACATAAATATTAATCATACAGCAATTCAATAACTGAGACAAGAATAAGACCTGAAGTCACTTTGTATGAACGTCAACATAGACAGTCAATCTTAGATTAAAGATATGTTATGAAAATTAATCTTACAACGTGGAAAATTTAATCAGTATATATTACATCAACCTATTGCGAGACATATGTACATGTTTGTATACGATGCATGTACCTTGTTTTCTGTCTCTGTCAACTGATATGTAAAATCAAGTTTGAGACGAAACAGTTTTCTACAGACAGGGAAGATCAAACAGGCCTCCACAACTTTCCCTCGGTCACCACCTGCAAATAAATCAGAACTGTATAGTCTTATTGTTATGAACTTAATTCTTGATATTCTGAGCTCTGCGTCAAACTCAGAGAATGTAAAAAAAGTCCATAATACCAAACGAAAACAACTTCTCACATAACGTACGTTATAGCCAAAGGACGAAAGATTGCTCAAGATGGATAAGGTGTTATTTGACAGAATTACTTTTATTATGCGTACCTGTACATAAGCTGACGACGATGCCGACAATCAAAGTGAGGAAGAATCCAATGAAAGCGTACCAGAGAAAGGACACATCGTACAGGAAAAACCCTTCATCAGATCTGAATATTGAGACAAATAAGATAATTCATCTTTGAATTAGTTATCATGTGTTAGGACCTTTTACACGATAGAGCCTTGACGGATTGGTGATAAATTTATTCGCGATCTCTTCAATTAGAAATCCACTGATAGTACATTATTATTTAAAGTTTTAATAAAGGTATTGATTGCATCGAAAGATAGATAAGTTCCTTTTTAGTACGAACAATCACTGACAATATCATGTTGGCGAGGAAAATATTATTTTATAGACATAACAATTTACCAACATGATTATACAACACATTTATTTACTGAAGTAGTGTGTGACAATATTCATTTTGACAATAAGTCAAAATCTTTATAAATATATCCATATACTAATATTTGAATTGTTTAATTTTCTCAATAAGTCAACATAATCCTTTGTTCGTTACCTGTATGCCACGTTTCAATTGGCACGGTTCAGAATATACATATTTACTTGACGTTGTGCTGAAATTATCTGACATATTTATTTATCAAGATAACTAAATTTAATTAAGATGCTAATGACCTCTCCGGCTATATTTTTACTTTTCTTTTGATCACTTTTGGATTTCCCCCCAGTCGCCTCCTAGGCTTTAAAATGTAGGCCCTTAGTATCACTGACGAGTCATAGTAGGACAAAACAGCTGTTTGATGCAGATTAATTAATAGATTTGTCTGAAAAGCCGCTATTATGTTGTGTACCTTTTATGCAGTATCCGGTACTACTTCAGTTACCATTGCAATAGTATAAAGATTAAATATATTTACATGTAATCGGTGTTTTTCCGCGGCTACAAAACATTAAAAAAATTTGCGATTGTGAAATTAACATAATTGTTTTACATTACGTGATTAGAGTGTCTGTTGATTGGCTGAAGTCTCCAGTTGTATCATACGAAGTCGTGGCAATCGTACTGTTGTAGATGTAAGCTGACAAATGTCCCACCGTGACTGTACGATTGTCGGGAAGGCATTGGCTCGTAGGGTTGAATTTTAAATATAATGGACTGTTCCCGTATAACTGTGCACCCACTATAATCCAAATATTGAAGACAAAAGCTGTCACACTGCCGGCAAGCGCTCCCTGAATCACAACATACTTAGTATACATATTTGAAATATTTTGATATAATTTGGCTGATTTATATCTTAAATAAACACCCTTATAACAATTATCTGACTCAGACTGGAAAATTACTTCAAAAATATAATCCCTTTTGTCCATGGGGGCAAATTATCTACCAAATCATTTACTGCACATACCGATTTTTAAGACTCAGAATCTGGAATATGGAAATTATTTGGATATCCTCGAGTTAACACATAATTCAAACAGCTGTATTGACTGTCACTTACTATCCAGTTTGCTTTCGTTGTCATTCCGCCAAGATAGAAAAGCCCTGCCAAAGGTCCTCCACAGGCGCCAAAAACAATCCCCGTCGTCTAAAGGTAGAGATATCAATTCTAAAGTCTTCGTATGACGATTTTCCCGAATATCTCGAACAAATTATCATATATATATATCATACAGAATTATCTTCAAACTTGTTGGTCTTCTAATAATATTTCACGATAGGAAAGATAATATACAAAGAATTACATGTTTTTTATCTCTTATTTTCAAATTCCCATTTAAATTTTATATAACCAGTTACCGTTCTACAATACAATTACGATATCTCAATAATTATCTTATTGTTGTGTCTTTGATAAAACCACATTTGCCTACAAAGACAAATGATACTTATTTAGCGTTAATCCTTTTTTCATGGATACCACTTTTTACTATTGGGGTACTTACCTGAATCACTGATCCTGGCATGAAGTTGATAGCGTATGCTAGCCCAATGACCGCCAAGCCATATAACACCACTACAATATGAAATAATCTAAATACTGAAGTTCTCGTTTATAATTTATGATTTCTAAAAGGTTCCTACAGCTTACAGTATATTTGAAATGTAATAAAGAAAAATACAATTTGGAAACAAAAATATAAATTTATATAATAAGTCGTTTGCCATGTTTTTTCGAGATAAAAAATATGTTACGTGATATTTTCCCGACCACATAACTCACAGCTCACCAAATAACTTTGCTACAAGCGTCTTTGAAAGTATTTTGGTGTCTTTTACACAGTCACCAAGAATATCCTCCACGGTATTGGCAGCTAAAGCATTGATACCCGACGAAAATGTACTGAAAAATACAACGTGCAACTTGCGCACTATACGTTAGAGTACTAAAAAAGACAATAAATTCATTCCTGGATTATAAAAGCTTATACAGGAAATTGATATCGTGATGCTTGTAATCTCTCTTACTTAGATTCCGTCTAAAACGATAGTAAAGAACTGATCAAGTGAGCTTGTTTTCTCCTTATGTCATTCATTTATAAGATATGCATTTTCAAGTTAAAACCATTGAACAAACCTTACTTAATATATCTTTATCTGTGCAAAATAACTGTGTAACCATACTTTAGTTTTTTCCCAATTTATTTGTCAAAGAGGAAATATGCAAGTTAATTGTTACCTTAGTGTTCCACTCAACAAACAGCTGATAAAGACACCAGAAAATCCCGGGAGGGATCGCATGACATCAAGTACGAAATACGGTATCAACTACAATAGTAAGGATGCACAACGTCATGAAAGTCGTAACAATAAGCAATTTATTTCACATCAATCACTAAAAATACCTAGTAAAATATCAATTTCATCAGCAAAAGTTTTACTTTCATATATTATTTCTTCGTTGATTCAAACTCTTAAAGAATATAAAAGAAACCAAAGGGAGCGATTAGTGTCTTCAGCTCACCATTGACATCAAACAAAATGTGATTTAGATACTTAACATTAAGTTTTATTGCTGTGTCGATAAAAAAAAGCCCATGGTCTTGGTGCGAGTATGTGTTTTAAGCATTACTCAAGCAACATATCCCCATTATAATTTTTATTATTTTCTCTTATCTATATATCTTTTTTATATATATATTCACATTAGATATGATGCACAAATCCTAAGTAATTGTTAGAAAGAAGGATAATATACATAGTTAAATAAAATTTGTACCTGGTTGATGTTTGAGATAAATCCTCCTTGAAGCGGATCACATTTCAATACATTATAGTATGAGTAAACTATGATCCCCAAGTATCCAATGACGGCGTAGAAAATCAGACAAACCGGACAAAGCAACCAAAATGCCCTGTGAGGCAAGAAATGGACGTTGTGTTTCAAGTACATATATCAGTACGTCGTAAGTATAACTAGCGTGTAGCGTGTATTGATGATCGCTTTCATTTTAAACTTGTTCGCAATTTAGGTTAATAGGTATATGAAATTATTAAAATAAATGATTAATTATAAAATGTGTCTTTATAAGACAAGTGCATTACTCACAAGTAAGCTGATTTAAGACTCCGTAGAGAAGAAAACCGCTGGACACTAGCTTGGTTGCACCAGTTTGGAAGAAACATAAACACATAGCCTATCCACAAACTCCAGTTACTGTAACGAATCCTGGGGTCTGGGTCGAAGCTGGTAAATATATCACAAGTAAAGGTACATTATCTTTGTTATATATTTCCATTAGCAATGAATATATTTTATATAGGAAGATAACAAATACTGTAATATACAGGTTTTGATCGAACGCATTTATAACAGCTTTGGAAATAAATTACTCTGAAGAATACATACATACCAATTACAAGTGGACGCTTTAAACACAAAATACATTACATATCATTACAAAACCACGAATACAAAACTTGCATAGATATAATTAATGTAGTAAGAATACCAATGTGTAAGATACATTTGAGATTAAATGAAGATCTTGTTGAATTTTTTTCAGTGAAATTTATGACCAAACGCCATAATTTATGTTTTTAATATAAATGTGCGATCTTTTCGAAGTCGTTATTTCTTGCATGAAGAAGATTTTCCCAATTAATTGATGAATGTTTTGCAATTTTTGGCATTGATTTCATACTTAGAAAACTCAAGTCTCCTTCCCTCGTTTGCGATTCTGAAAATAGAGTGACTCGGTCCTATCAGGATGGTGCCCTATTTGTGAAGGTAAAAAAGTTAGCATCTTAAGACGAAATATATCCATAATTGTATAACGTTTTACGTATAAATAAACGTTGATATTGTATTCACAAAATAAATGCTTCAAAATGCGGAAACATGTTGGATGGGTTGTAATAAAAATGAGGAATTGAAGATCTCGAATAAAAAGGATTAAACATATAAGCAATTGTGCAACGACTATGAGAAGTAAAATGCATACTGCAAAATGTAACTCGGTTCTCTGCTAATTATTTCATCTTTTTATCTACCACTCGTGTCGAGGTTAACCGATTTGCACATGAACGAATCAAATTATATAAAAATATTTTATCGATTTTATTACCTTGGTTCCTATCTAAGAATATTAACTCACCATATTAAATTGACAAAGATTACTATATATCGTCCGTGGACCAAAGGATGAAACTTATCCTTTTGAAACTATCACTTTTCATTACGTTTTCTGTTGGTATCATGCAAATTTTTCGTTTGTTTGCATGCTCTAATTCTCCAATTTAAATTAAAATTTCACTGATATTATCACCTTTATTAAAACAGCCATTATTCCAATGAACATTATAACACACTGAAAGGCGTCCGTCCATACCACACTCTTGATTCCTCCCTAGAACAACAAGAGAAACTTGCCATGGTCATTTCACTCTGTACCGTAGTTATAAATGATCTGAACATCATAACAAGGTAAAATTGGGATGCCTGACAAACTCGTGTGGCATGTTTGATTTTACAGATGACTGTTTGAAATTACTATATTTGTTTGATATCTTTACTGATATGTTCTTTGATCGTAAAATGAAAATGGTTCATGATGTCAGTATAGACTTTAAAATAAATACATACGATTGTAGTGTATATAGTACAGATAAATCCAAAGATGACAATCGAAACCCAAATTGGTATTCCAGCAACTGCAATGGAAGTGGATTCATAGATAACCCCTATCATCCCAACAATTGGGATCGATTACGCAAAATGATTTCAATGATTAATATTAGATTAACCTTTAAACTCTTACAATTTGGATCTTACAAATGCAGTAAATTCATGGAAATCTAATATTAGGTTCCTTTTCAAACGTAATTTCATTTTACAACAATTGCGAAACAAGTTTTAAGCTTATATTAATCACTTTTTTACCCGGATGGAAGTATCCGGGGGAGGGGGTTGGTTCTGTTGGAGGAAACCAGAGTACCTGGAGAAAACTCATGGAGTGGGCAGGTGATCCCATACCTTTTCATGTCAGTTCTGGGATTCGAACCCCCGGACCCCTTGGGGAAAGGTGAGTTTGTTACCAATGCAAGCTTTCTTAGTAACTACCTAGTACTATATTGGTAAAGAATTTAGACTGATGATTTTCGTGCGATCTGCCCCTTGTTTTCGTTTCGTTCCAAAGTATATAACGTCATGAAGTTAAATCAAAACAAAATCTGAACATTTCTCCAATCACATTAATTGTTATGCCACACTTATAAAATTGGTATTATTATACCGATTAAAGGGAAATCATTCATTTATTTATTGTCATTGCTTTTGTAAGATTATGACAGAAATCTAAACCATATCGTTTTCTGTCTTTAACTACACATTAAAGTTTAAAAATATGCAACAGCAGGTAAAACAATTAAACACCACACAGATAACTAGATCAGTGTATAGCTACGTACCAATTTCAAGAGCTGATGCTGGAGCATATAGAGTGATCCCCATGTAAATCACCTGCAAACAATTAACATTTGCATAGATTATAGATTGCACGTCGGTTTTTTCAAAGTAGTCAATGGGATTTGATATCAGAGATTGTTCAGAAGACACACATTTAGAATTAGATACATTAGAGCGAAATATTGAATTCACATTGTAATACAAATGTTTCGCCCTTCTAAGACTCATCTGTGATTCTACCTGTACTAAACGTTGAAAGCTATCGAACGAATAAAGAAAATCCAAAGAGATCGATCGAAATGGCAAAACCTGAATGGGGAGTTATACTCGCTAAATAAATCCTAAAATTTCGTTACTTTCATGCATTTTATAATTTCAGAAGGATGTCAGTTACTTATGTAATTTCTGAATCGAGCCACTATTCGAATGATACAAAACGTTGCATGTAGGTTATGGCTAACCTTGAGGACTAAAATTCACCAGTAGTGTTTACCACCTGAGACCTCAAAGACAGCAAAAAGTACGCACAATAAGTGAATAGCTTCTGTATATGAAACATAAACTCCTATTAATGTGAAAGACTGGGATAAGGAGTACATTCTTGATGAAAACAGAATAATTTATTTTTGATAGAAACCTCTTCGCAACGGATACTTGATATAAGGTAACAATTTTGACCGTTATTTAAATGAATGATATCAAAATATTCGATGACGCATTACTAGCGCTGATGTGCAAAACCATTCCTCACTTCTATATGACTATCAACATGTAAACCAAAGTACCTAACAGATAAGTAGTTCATTGTCAGGACAAATATTAAGACTTTATTTAACTGAGTGAAGTTGCAGTCAAGTCATCTTCTTGATTAATCTCCTTAAACAAAAATGAAGACAGTCCACAATCTATTTTTAAAAGGGGTCATAGTCCAGTGAATCTATGGTGTGTTTTATATGTTTGGTTCGTATTCAATTACTTCTATAACATCCGTGACAAGATATCCCGGCGCCTTAACGTCCATCTGATTGTGCTCACAAGCAGAAATAACTGGAATAAATGGTAGTTTAGAGAAGAGAACATTCAAAATGTTTTTTGTACAGGAACAGAAGAGTTTTACCTCAAGTTGAAAAGATTTTTGTAGTTCAGTCAACTTTGTTCTTTCTCGCCACATCAGCTTCTGGGGGTTAGCAAGGGCAAGGTACCTCAAGACCCTTCCATCTATGTTTAGTATCTTATTCTACCATATTTCAAAACTTTTTGTCAATTGGATTCTTTTTTGGCCCCATCCATCCGCCCCGGTAAGTCAGCCAGGGTAAAAATGTATGTATACATATATAGTAAACTTTACTCACTCCCCAGAGCGAAATAAGAGACCTTGGGGTCATGAAATTTACAAATATGGTAAAGCATCTTATTTAGTGCAATTCCATCCGCGATGAGAATTTGGTTCTACCATATTTTGGTATCGAGAAGATTTTAAAATTTCAGTCAATTTAGCCCTTTTTTTACCCCTCTCCTCTCGCCCCTTGGGATGGGGACCATATAAAGGAATAAAGAAAAAGTAATAAAATGTCATATGTTTATGGACAGACGGACACTTGAAGACGGACGACGCCGGACAGAATGGTATCGCAACAGGTTACCATGAGACTTAGTCTCAGGTGACCCCATAATATTTGCATTATGAAAATCAACAAACCTACCGTGTGAAGCATTCCAATTGCCATCCCCATGAGACGAACACCTTTGGAATTATATCGTAGTTGTAGGTACTGTTTAGAAAATAAATAAAAAATTATAGTACTTCATGATTTAGCTTTAATTTGTTGTCATTTTCGAATTCCTAGTAAAATGAAATACGTTGCTTACAGAGTTTGATTAATTACTATAAGAAATATATGTCCCAAATACTCGTATGGATTGTTATCTATCATTGCAATTCATCATATGTTCATACGTCTTCTGTGGTAACTCAGCCTTTGTCTTTACTAGTGAATTGTCCTTCATAACAGATGTTAGTAAAAATGGTTACAGAAATACGATTTTATGTATGATTTGTTTAATGAATATGGAGACACCAGGAACTTTAAGGTATTTTTCAGAAAAGATAATATAGTCGAGTAACTGATGGAAACAAGGAACGTCATGGAATTTCTTCTGGTAATGAACAGCAACTCAGAAAACAAGGAGTCCACACTCCCACAGAATATCTGATATACACACTCCTACAGGATATCTGATATACACACTCTCACAGGATATCTGATATACACACTCCCACAGGATATCTGATATACACACTTCCACAGGATATCTGATATACAAACTTCCACAGGATATCTGATATACACACTTCCACAGGATATCTGATATACACACTCCCACAGGATATCTGATATACACACTCCCACATGATATCTGATATACACACTCTCACAGGATATCTGATATACACACTCTCACAGGATATCACACTCTCACAGGATATCTGATATACACACTCCAACAGGATATCTGATATACACACTCCCACAGGATATCTGATATACAAACTTCCACAGGATATCTGATATACACACTCCCACAGGATATCTGATATACACACTCCCACAGGATATCTGATATACACACTCCCACAGGATATCTGATATACACACTTCCACAGGATATCTGATATACACACTCCCACAGGATATCTGATATACACACTTCCACAGGATATCTGATATACACACTCTCACAGGATATCTGATATACACACTCCAACAGGATATCTGATATACACACTCCCACCGTATATCTGATATACACACTCCCACAGGATATATGATATACACACTCTCACAGGATATCTGATATACACACTCCCACAGGATATCTGATATACACACTCCCACATGATATCTGATATACACACTCCAACAGGATATCTGATATACACACTCCCACAGGATATCTGATATACACACTTCCACAGGATATCTGATATACACACTCCCACAGGATATATGATATACACACTCTCACAGGATATCTGATATACACACTCCCACATGATATCTGATATACACACTCCCACCGTATATCTGATATACACACTCTCACAGGATGTCGGACATACATTTCGTGCAAGAAACACATATGACTTGACCAGTCAACTAGGCATTGTTTTGGTCATAACCTTTGTATCAATATATAAACTTCTGAAATTTTCTTCGGGAAGTGACATGTTATTCAAAATTTTCGAATTGTATGAAATCAAGGAAATACTAAAAAATGCCTCTTTTAAATATCAAAGTTTCCAGGAGGTTGATGATAATCAAACTTGATCGACAAAAAAAGTCAAAATGTAGATAGGAGGATGTACTTGCCAAATAATTTGGTAAATGTCGTAATTTTCAAATAAATGAAAATTGCATAAGGACGCCGAAACCATGAACAGAAAACACATATCAGAAAATATATAAAATGCATATCGTATATGAATTTTAGAAGGATTCGTAAGAAGACAAAATGCCTAATTAGTGTTATATAACTGTTCCTTGAACAAATCACCTCCACGATCAACTCTGATTCCAAAAGTAAACATTTTTTCTTGATAAGAAATAGTGTCTTTTTGTAGCCTGTTTTAACTAAGGATCCTTAGGGGAAGATGTGAAATCTTGGTTTAAAGTAAATATTTTTCAAAAATCCATTATAGAATCGTACTATTTATCTTCAAAACCAGTCCCCCAAATATGTTATTTCAAAACGTTATTGATCTTCAATCTTACCTCATAAGTACTGGTCAATTTTAGTGGGTAGAGTAGAGGGACAACAGTAATATTAGCTATAAATAAAGACAACACGTGAGCCACGCCTCCATAAATAGCTCGAATTCCAAACTCGTATATCTCGGCTGGAAGACCCATTACCGATATCGCAGAAACAAACGTTACAAAAATGGACATAGTCACTGGCAGGACACGCAGACGACGGTTTCCAAAGAAATAATTCTCCAGTGTCGGGTTCTTGTTGGTCTGGTAACCATAGTAAACACCGATTCCTATACAGACACAGAGGAAAATGGCTATAACGATATAGTCGGCGATGTGTGGAGCGGGAGCTGGAACAAATGTCGAATCCATGTTTATTTCTTAGAAGTCAGAAGATGTACATCAGTATATATATATTTTTACAACACGTATACATTTTAATTTCAGATGCTGCAATATGATAGCTAAATAACGTTATTTATCTTGAATTAACATGCATATTTTATATGGTTTATTTCGCATTGTCTGCACAGAAGATGTATATCAAGATATTCATATATATATATACATACAATCAATTTTATTTTCGATGCTGCAATATGATACTTAAATAAAGTCATCTATTCTACCTGATTATTTCATTGCTAAAATATCGTCTTTGTAGTATTGTATATATTAATAATTACTTTTAATGAGAAGCACATCATTCTGAAATTGTGTAGTATTGATCGATATTTTAACATTTAATGATATTACTAATATTATAGTCAGCTGAATTTCAAATATGGAATCTGTCCATTTTATCCATATTTTCCCATAAATGTCTTCTACATGTACTAGTCTACCATCCAAGGGAAAACTATATATCATTATTGGTATGTCGTTCTTTCTAATTTCCCCATAAAGACAAGAAAGTTACCCAAAAAGTATAGACGAAAACAAGGTGACGTTATAGAAAGTTGTTCCTCACATTGATGATATTTCATTCGCGATTTTCACGTGTAATGAAAGTTATATCAGCTCACGCAACAAAAATGATAAAACGAAAAATCGCTTACTATCAAACCTAGTTCAGTGATTTCAAATCTGATGGAATTCCCCCTCACAGACATAAACGCATCGATCCACACCATACTTTTCCTCTTTAGAACTTCTTAACGATACAATTAATGGCATTGCAATTTAGATAAGATAAGAATTATCCTAGAACAGTTTTCTTCTACATCTGACTTTTGTATATAGATAAAATGCTTTTTAGAAAGGTTATCAAACTAATCATTTTGCAAATTATCGTAGGAATGTAACATGCATCTTTATTTAATCAGAGTAAGATAACATGTACCTTTCGTTATCACTGTTAGGTAACACTCACCCTTAAGTTATCACAGTAAGGCAACACGCATCCTAAAGTTATCACAGTAAAGCAACACGCATCATTATGCAGTAATATAACATGCTTTCTTATTTAATCATAGGAAGGTAACACTCACCCGTAAGTTGTCACAGTAAGTTACCACGCATCGCTACATTTAAGTATTATTTAGGTAGCATATATCATTAGGTTTCCATACAATGATATCTACTATTCTTGAGAGTCTTGATTGTTTTCTCTTGTAGGTTTATGTTATCAATAATTATGAAATTAAAACATGAAAGCTTTTATCAATATCATATTGACGATGATAAGAATATCAGACGTGATGGTTTCCTCCTTGTAAAGAGAATAATACTGTATTCAAGGAAATAATGGATGATTAATATCTCTGTGCTGTTTAGATAGAATGTATTTCACCGGTATGTACTTAACGTCAGGGATGATAATAATGTATTGTTGGAAATTTAAAAGTCAAACAGAGACAAAAAAATCATTAAGTGATCAGACATTTCGCAATGCTGCTTTTGTTTACACTGTTGCAGATTTCAAGAAGGAAGTACCAGGAATGGATGCAACAGCGACATCCAAACAGCCCCAATATCTACCACGGAGCTTTTTGGAGGAGTTGGAGAATTAGGAAATGCATCATGACTCTCTCCTACCGAGCAACATTTAGTTGATTTTGGTCTGTATTCTCGATTTGTGCTATTAACAATGGTTTCAACCATTATAGCTCTGTTGTGAATTCATCTCACATAGCTCATCTTCTTTCCACAATAAAAACTTTGCATCAAAGAGTATTTCTTTCTACGATGATTCATGTTTTACATCTGGGTTTAGTGGCAGAGTTTGGCAACCCTCACGTATGCTTTTCATCAGGTGATTATTATAATTTAACATATTTCTAACAAATGATGTATTTGTTTTTACCATTTTGATATGAATAATGTGAGAAAATAATGTTCAGGTGTGTCATAATTATGTCTATGTGTTTGTAAAATCCATTAAAAGTCACCATATGGTGACCACATTCATTCATATCATTCTTTTGGTTGTTTATGTGACTAGATGGAGAATGCATAAAAGACAACTGTAACGTAGATTCTGGATTTGTGCGTGCAAAACAGAATATGTTGTATCCTACATTCATATTTATTCTGACGAGTTCCCTAGTGTTTGAAGGTTATGGAAGGTTATGTTTAGTTCAAACAAATCATTAATAACTATATAGTTCCACGCTTTTGTATATCCACAGAGATAACTCATATCTGTATGAAAATATTACACAAATAAAATTTCTGATAATTGTCCATTTAATAGTTTAATAATGAAGGAATACTATTCCATTATTTCACACAAAATTTATATATTTGTCTATACACGCATGTGTGTCAGCTATAATATGATACACGGGAACTACAAAGACACTGAATTACGTCATCAGCTTATGCCTTTTAACGTATGATAAAGGTTCCGTGTGTACATATTCATGAGTTGGTGATATAAAATGTTGAACCATAAAATACGGAATCTAATTACATGTTTAACAATGCAGCTGTGCTGTACAGATGAAACACATTTATGACGTTAATACATGCTTGTCTGTTGCAACGTAACTGGCTAACACGCAGCGATGGAACATATGTGAAATTGACACAAAATCTATACACTTTGGAATAACGTCTTGACTGTGGTTTTGAAACAGAATGATAATTAGTCACTGGTTGTACCTTTTTATGTCCACTAATTTGCATATATCTGTCGGAGGTATTCTGGCGTTTCTTTTATTTTGATTTGTAAAAACAAAGAAAAGCCCTTAAATTAAATAAATTTCGTAATTATCGTTTATCAGATCATTTTAGGAGAGTGTTAAGGATATGTGTATATTCTAAACCGTGCCATAATAAGAGTGAATCAAAACGTGATATGCAGGTTGCAGCGAATCCAGGGGACTTACGGTCCAGCGGCAGTGTAAACAACCTGCTATCTATTCTAATCTCTATTTCAGCAGTTGACTCATTTCTAAAACTTCAAGTACAATTGGCTTTTTATTCGTGTGATAAGTGTAAAACATTTTTTCCTTCCTTGAATACTTCATTTTTTAATAGTAACATTCCTGTTTACTTAATAATTGTCCTTTATGTCTGTAGCAGATGGTGTAATATGAATGGAGAAGCTGTCAACATCGTGATTTTCCTGTGAGATGTAAGTAGCTAACAGGACAATAGTAACAACACAGGGTTATGGGGGACGCTGTTTAATGAAGGTTATAAGAAAGTTTCATTGTTGTTATCTCTTATTGAGGATTATTCTTTTCCTTCTGTGAAAAAAGTATATCATCGATGCTTGTTTATGTACCTAAAGCGTACTTTATCGTTACATTCGTTATAATATTGAGATTGTGATATATCTTTTTCGTTTTAGATTACCAAGAAACAGGGTGCCCGTGAAAGAACAGATTTATACTTTACAATGAATTGTTTTGTACTTTTTCATTGTCTATTTGCAATTTTTTTTTCTGATTTTTGTTAGCAGTTTTGCGTGAATGTCGTTTCTCTCGTTTTTCGAAGTGGGTTGCTCTTGCTTTTTTTCAACATGTCGGTATTTCCTTTTTTAGCTATGCGTTGATGAAATAACCGGTAATGAGCTTTATACTATACACAGAGATGTTTTCAAATATAGTCTGTACAAATATATTTTATATAATATCAACCAGCATAATATCTCATTGATTCCTCCAATTTATAATTCAATGCACTTTTAGTAAAGCAAAAGCATGAGGAAGAAATGAAGGATGAGGCTGTTTGGAAAATTTTTTTGACTGCCTCATTTGTTCAATTATCTACATAAAATTATTAACCCGAATGCATTTCTTAATCATAATTCATTTTTGCATTTTTGTAGACTTACAGAGGAGCAAACATATGCCCGGATCATGTTTTATCTAAAGTGAATAGGTTTTAATCGACAATCCAAGTAGGTAATGTTATGTTCTCAAATGAGAACAAGGTATACAATAACGGAAACAACATACAAACAAACGAGCATCAAACACGTCCAGATTCTTTTCGCACAAATAAAACAGAACATTTCTCAATGAGATCACCATGAACATTTTTATTTTACAACTTAGACGTTCTCCATTCTTTGTCAGTTGATTCTTCGTTGACAGGCGTTTGTTCCAGAGTTGGCTACAAATAAAAACAATTGTTCTACTTTCTTATCATGATATTTAACTATACTAAACAATTACCATGTAAAGGAACACATTAGTTCTTTTCCATTAGAAATGATGTTGATTACAGCATTATTATATCGAACGATTCAGAATAGAAAACACTGTCAGCTCTTCCTGGCTATGACTTGAACTGCCTATTTTTATAAAGCTGTTCCGAGGTAATGAAAAGAGTGCTTTAGCACCATTTTCCATTTTCCCCTCTGATTATGTACCTACTTAGTCAACGCTTATTAAGTTTTTACATCATGATTAATAATAACATGAAGAGACGGTGGTAGCCAATGTCAGCTTCTAACATCTCTTACAAAATTGACATTAATCACCGAAGATTTATATGTTTGCGCACCATTCTAAAACCATACGAAGATGTATATGTTTGCGCACTATTCTAAAACCATCCGAGGATGTATGTGTTTGCGCACTATTCTAAAACCATCCGAGGATGTATGTGTTTGCGCACTATTCTAAAACCATCCGAGGATGTATGTGTTTGCGCACTATTCTAAAACCATCCGAGGATGTATGTGTTTGCGCACTATTCTAAAACCATCCGAGGATGTATGTGTTTGCGCACTATTCTAAAACCATCCGAGGATGTATATGTTCAACTACCACGTTATTTTAAAAAATAAAGATATGTATTAACAAGTCATATCCATGTCCAGGTACCTTAATGAATAATTTGATAGTTGTTTGTTTCAACGGAGTTTGTCATAATGTTATTCAATGATCCCGTCAAGAAATTTGGAAATCACTCTGAATGGAGGCCAATACAGACAATCAATATCAAATTATTAAAGATATACAGTAAACATTATCTTACAACGTTTAAAATTTAATCCATAAACATGATACATGTTGTGACACCTGTTACATTGTGTGTATGATATACGTATACCTTGTTCTCTGTCTCTGTTAATTGATAAGTAGAAGTAGCTTCCAGACGAAACACTTTTCTACAAACAGGGAAGATGAGACGGGCATCCACAGTTTCTTCGCGCTCACTACCTGTTTAATTCGGAATAAATGCCTCATTGTAATCACAGTGACCGCTGAATCAGAGTCACATAAGGTATATACGTAATCATTAAAACCTCTTACACGATGTCCGTCCTGTAGTAAATAATTTTTCAGGTTGTATAAGACGTTTATAATGACAATAACGTTGGCATAAAAATCACAGATACAAGGGAATGTGTTTTAATGGTTGTTTGTATGTATCTTTTGTCATTAATATCTATCAGTTTTCAGTGCAGATAATGACGTTCGGGAATGGATGACTAGTTGATTAACATCGTTAAACGGAAAAGAAATCAGAAATTAGAACTTTTCTTATGTGTATATACTTACTTGTACACAAGCTGACGACAGTGCCGACGATCAAAGTTAGGCAGAAACCAGTAAGACCATACCAGACGTAGGAAATATTGTACAGGAAAAAACCTTCATCATATCTGAATATTGACATAGAAACACATAGCAATAACTGATTTTAAATACTTTATCCGGTAATGTTATAGAGCTAAGGGTGACGATGTTCATAATTCACAAATTGTCTTTGCAAGTTATAATTGAAGTTTGTATTTTGTAAAATGAAATAGACGTACGAATCGGGAAGTGTCTTTGTATTATTGTTTTTTTTTTTTTTTTTTTTTTTTGTGGAAGTCTGAGTAATTGCAGTGGTTATATAGAAATTAAGTAGATATGGCCCTTCTAGTATGGACGCCTTTTATATCAGCAGTTTACCTCTTATAGGTACCCTACTTCATTCCGAACCTACGATATTGACAATTCTTTACGTGTCGTGGTTGATTTTCCTATTAAAGAGCTTGTGTACAATATCACAATTTCCACAAACTCTAACATGTATATATTGAATTTCACGAAATCACACAAAACCTTCCAGAAGCCCATGCCCCATTGATTACGATTTTTGACCCAAACATCACCATTAGTTAACCTTACGTGTTATGATTGTTTATTGATTCACTGGAGTATCCGCCTGTCGTTATGTTGTAGTTGTAGGTCGTTGATTCTACCATCGTGGTCGTGATGTTATCGGGAAAACACCGGTTCGTGGGGTTGAATTGTAATATTTCAGGACGATTCCCGTATAATTGTGCACCTACTGTTAGCCAAATATTGAAGACAAGAGCTGTTACACTGCCGACAATCGCACCCTGAAATATAACTTACATATTATACTTTTCATTTATATTCTTAAGTAAATATAGCATACTTAAGTATACAATCATGTGATTATCCATGTGATTTCAAAACGTATAACACCTCAAACAAAGATATAATCAAAATCTTTTTTAAAATAAGTTATTGATCATTTACCGATACTATACTAAACGATTTTAAGACATTTGATTCTGAAATAAATGTAAACAATTTTGATATCAGGCTAAAACATAATATATAAAAGTATATGATGATAACTTACTATCCAGTTTGCTTTCGGTACCATTCCGCCAAGATAGAAAAGCCCCGACATCGGTCCTCCACATGCGCCAAAAACGATCCCCGCCATCTAAATGAAAATATTATGATTCTGGGGTCTGTGAAGATTAAACATACTTATCACCTTTCTATATCCATTTTTTTGTTAATCTTCGAACAATCTCTTATGACAAGGAAAAGTTTGTAAAAGTTGGTGTTATGTCTTGTTTTTATACATTAAGGTGATATTAAGTTTCGAATTTCTTTAACTCAATTATATCCAGCATACAGACTTTTCGAACGATGGCACTTTAAGTATTGAGGTAGTTACCTGAATCACTGAACCTGGCATGGAGTTGATTGCGTATGCTAGCCCAATGACCACCAATCCATAAAAGATCACTACAGGGAAACGTCAATGACAAACTGAATATTAAATTTAATTGTAAAGGAATACGTTTGCTGTTAATGTTGTTTAAATGGAGAAAAATGAACTGTATTACGCGACATTTTTCCTACTAAACAATTCACAACTCACCAAATAACTTTGCTACAAGTGTTTGTGAAATCATCTTGGATGTTTTGACGCAGTCACCCAGAATATCCTCTACAGTGTTGGCAGCTAAAGAGTTGATACCCGACGAAAATGTACTGAAAATACAACATAAAACTTACATACTGTGCAAGAAAAATGCTGACATATAAACAATATCGATATTGAAACAAGCAATCGATGAAACGAGACCAAAAAACGCAAAACTCTGAATGTTTTTTGTTTAAAAAACCCATTTAATATACCATGAATGAAACAAGGCGCAATCTTAGCCTTTACAATTTTTCTATTTATAAATCTGCCAAAACAATAATCTTGAATTTAAGTTTTCACACCTTTCATTCTCTTACCAACAGAACAACTCTGCTTTGCAATATCTCAATTAAATATCCAATGTAGAAATGAGTCAGCTAATTGTTACCTAAGTGCCCCGCTGAACAAACAGCTGATAAAGACACCGGAAAATCCTGGAAGAGATCGCAACACATCGAGCACGAAATAAGGTATCAACTACAATGGAAAAGATATGCAACGTTTAAGTCATGGAAAGGCATAAAAGGAAAGTCTTTAGAAACTCATTCACAGCAAAGAAGCAAAATATTTCACGTTCGTATTGAATATACAAAAGAAAATTATAATTTCATCAAAAGCTACACCTAAATATATCATTTATTTGTTGATTCAAGCTTTTTTCTATTGAAACAATTAAGGATTCTTCAAACATGATTCCTGACAAAATGGTAGAAAGGTGATATATCACGAGAATACTACCTGATTGATGTTTGAGATGAATCCTCCTAAGAGTGGGTCACATTCCAAAGTGTTGTAGTAAGAATAACTAATGATACCCAATAATCCAAGGAAGACATACAAAATCAGAAGAAGTGGAACCAGCAACCAAAACGCTCTGTGGAAAAAAGAGGGACAGCTACTTTATCAACTATGTGTTTTTGTGGGTATATGTGACATTTAATCTTTAAGTGTGTATCGAATATACCTTTCATTTAATACGTGTCCCAAAATATTGGTCAATGGGTGTACGAGTTTTTTAACCAATAATTAATTTCTAACTCCGTTTCTATGAGGCAAAATACATTACTCACAAATAAGCTGATTTAAGACTCCGGAGAGAAGAAATCCTCTGGACACTTGCTTGGTTGCACCAGTTTGGAATGTTCATAAACACAAGACCTATCCATAATCCCCAATTACTATAACGAATCCTGGGGTCTAGATCAAAGCTGGTAAAAATAACAAATAAAGATACTTGAACTTTGTGATAAATTTCAATGATATAGGGTTCTTTAAGATAAAACGAAGTGAACCAATACTACAATATAAAGTTTTAGTATTTGACGAAAATAATTCATATAACAGTTTTAAAGAAAAATAATTTAACGGAAGATACATATACTAATTGGAAGTGGTAGCCTAAACACATAATATCAAAAAAAAGTATTATCATTACACATCCAGATGCTACGTATGCATAGACTGAGCAATTGACTAATGGAATAATGTGTTTTTAATCTTTTCATTTTTGTCTCTTCTTCCAAACACAAAACCTACATACAACGGAGACATTCAAAACTTGATTTTAATTTCTCTCGTTGTTGATTGTTGTCATTGCAATCTTCCTCCTCTTTTCTCCGGATCTTGGGGGACAAGAAGTCACACTTTCTTTCTTTAATATCAATAAGCTGGTTTTTTCTTTTCTTTTTGCTTCTCTGTTATTTCTTACATTGTAGATAAACAGGATGTTTTCAATTAATTGATAAGTAATTTGCAATTAAAGCAATGATTTTATACTTAAAAAACTCAAGTCTCTTCCCAACACTTGCGATTCCGAAAATAGAGTGATTCGGTCCTATCAGGATGGTGCCCTTTAACAAAAAATATATAAACATCTTAAGAAGACAACGTTTTATTAAATGTGCCATTTTTACGAAAGAACTGTCCATATGTTTGTAAAACGAGTTCACCCACAATATCAATGATTTTCAAAATACAGAAATATACTCGATGGTTTGTCGCAAATCTGTTAAATGGAAGTAGACAAAGATAAAACACAACATGTTTGTTTTTTTTTTTTTTCTATTCTATTGTGAGAAGTGCAAATTACACAGCAGAATGTAATTGGTATCTCTTTCAATCATTTCATTTGTCAGTTTGAGGTGAAATTATGTTATTTTCTTAATGACTTTTATAGTATAATTCCATTTGTGTTAGCACGGTAACCCAGCTCAGAGACTGCAGCTTGTTATTTGTTGTACATGTCTTATAAACAAAAAACAACAGGGAAAAGAAATGTTGTCAAATGGTCATTTATTAAATGACAGGAACATTTCAAATACAACCATAATATCAATCACTGTTGTTATATAATATATAGATCTGAATGACATTAACTTCAGTCTATATGTACAACAAAAAGATGGGGTACAAATTATCGGCACCGATGAGTGGCGCAAGATACATATGTATGGAGGGATACAGGATATGTAGAAAAATGCACCTCATCACGACTTTTATAACATAATTCCATTTACACTTCGAGATGTAAATACCTTTATGATAACAGTTATCATTCCAATGAACATCGTAACACACTGAAAGACGTCCGTCCATACAACGCTCTTGATTCCTCCCTAAAATAAAGGCGAACCTTATTGAAATTATTATGGCCGTTTCATTTTTCCGCAGTCATTAGTAAAATCAGACATTTAGATATCACTGAAATACGATTATCCTATTTTAGAAAATTGATAATAGTTGAAATGAATGTTGAGAAAGCTACGTATTGGAATGTTGCAAATTGTGAAGTTTGAAATACTTTGTGTAAATATTCGTGTTCCATGTTAAAATGTTATTAATGTATTTGTGTGAATTTTCTTTATTTTTTCACATATCTATATCAGCTTTAAATGATAGTGATTAATGATGTCAGTATAGACGATGAAGTAAATACATACGATTGTTGTGTATATAGTACAGACAAATCCAATGACAACTATAGAAACCCACAATGGTATTCCAGCCACTGCAATGGAAATTGGGACTTGTTAGTACGCCAGGGATCCATATAGCCCCTCTGTCATACTGACACTTGCGACTGGTGATTCAAATCGACTTACATGAGAATGATTGCATTAACCGTTCAATTTCAACTTATATTAACAAACCATTTGGATATGACTTTTGTTGCTAATACATGGAAATCTTGTGTAAGGTTCTACATTGTACTACATTGTAACAAAAGCTGAACTGGCGATATTTTCAAGCTATATTTCTTTATTTAGTTATGCCCTTATGTATATGACGACAGGAAGTTAAACTAATTCAAACGTTTATCCAAAAACAGCTTCGTGTTATTACATGTAATATTTTATCACAATTAACACTGATAAAAGGGGAGTCGTTAATCCCAATGTGTTCTTAAACTTTTATATATTCACGTAATATTTTTCAATCTCATACTAAACAGTCAGGTCTGAAAAAATGCCGACTGCCTGTAAAATAAACGAGCACCAAAGAGTTAATTAGATCTATGTATAACTACGTACCAATTTCAAGAGCTAATGCTGGAGCATATAGAGTGATCCCCATATAAGTCACCTGCAAAGAATTAAATAGATTTCGGTGATTTTGAGTCGGTATTATCTAATTTCTTCCTGATTATCGTCTTATGCCTCTGTAATATACTATGTACGCATATATACTAATGGAAAATAACCAGAATATTTTCCACACAGATAATTTCAAAAGAAGTATCATGGGTTTGGTAAAATCTTTTGTTATGCTTTCGTTATGCTTTAATGGTCAACGCATGTTTTTGTTTCCTTATTTCGAAACTAGGTATCGCATACTAAAAGTTCAATTAAGAAAATCAACGTTTCTCCAGAAAGAATTTTCCAAGAGCATGCCATGAAAATGAACGATTGAATGCTGTGGCAGGACAGTTCGGAGTGCATATCAATACGATAAATGTTTTGTGGAGGCGAGTTCAGCGGACGAACACGTCGCATGGGCAAGTTAAGTAGAAACTTTCCAGGTCTTAGACGATGTAATGCAGTGTACGAAACACATGGCAAGAGGCCGATATCAGCCTGTGGCGTTCTATCTAGTTTTGCCGCAACTTGACAGAGTTGTGCGAGTAGCAGGGTACAGGAAAAAATTGCGATTCACCAACAGGAATTGGGCTGACGTGCTTCTTAAAATGAGTCTAGATTTAAACTTAACAATGACGGTCGTGTTCGGCCATCTGGCGGGCGAGCGTTGTACTGGTGTTTGTGTACTTCGGCGTCGTCAGGTTGGAGAAGGAAGCATTATGGGCTGGGTTGGCGTTACTACGCTGGGAATTACCTATTTGGTTATAGTGGAAGGATGCTTAAATAGGCTGACAATTTCACTTTCAAATATACTGATGTTGCCAAGATATTTATTTACCATCGCATATACCCGATAGAATAGGAAGCGAAACCGACAGGGCAAGCGCTATCGCAAACTGTATGATCATCCTTTATTTGGATTTTGCATTTCTTTATAGCATCATCCCTGTTTCCCGAACCTATGGTGTGAATGCATTACGTCGTACATTGCAAGGTACACAGCAGAACATGCTATCAGGACATCTGCGTACTTAGATCAATTCCATACGTCATAGATGTGCATCGATGGGAATGGTCCACATACACATCATCGAACTTGTGGAACTTGAATGGCAACTCCTTCTGTTGCAATCAATTATAATCCTGATTGTTTGATTGGCGTATTCACTATGTCATTATGAAGATAATGAATAGCAATGATAACAAACGGTACCATACACTTTTAATCAAACAATCCTTTTTTCCCCAGTAATATATATGACTCTACTATGTAAAATTGTACCCGATATTGTCATTGTTAAGAGTCAGGACAAATATTAAAACAATGCTAAGATTCGGACAATTTATTTGTCTTGAATAATTAACAAATGAATACATAAAAAACAATAGTTCATAATCCCTTTGACGTGAAAGCATTGTCTTTGAGGAATCGATATTTTTTACTGTTTTTAATGTTCCCATTACTTCTATTAATTGTGTGAAAATACACTCATCGTGAAAATGGAAAACCTACCGTCTGCAGCATTCCAATTGCCGTCCCCATGAGGCGAACACCTTTTGAATTGAACCGTAGTTGAAGATACTGTTTGAGAAATAGATAAGAAGAAATAACTTGTCGTTTATGATATCATAGCATATAAATACCTGAAAAACAAATTTGGACAGAAGTGCAGAAAACACGCAGTCAACGTTCATACTGGAAATATGACATTGAACTAACATGTAAAATGTTTTATTCCTGTTTCCTCGACGAAGCCCGACATTAACAGTTCCTATTATTCTTTTCATTTCGTTGAACATATAGCATTTTATTGTCGTCAAGTTTTCATGCGAACGGTATTATCTACTTGTATGTCTTATGTAAAATGACACTATCATCACCAAAATCTTGGCAGCATATAATGTAATTTTATATCTGCATTGCTTTTGACGCATTAGTAGAGTTGCGAAAAGTTCTTCAATGACAACATATCAACTAGCGTGTTAGGTTGCATTTAATCTCAACTGATTACAGCAATTGTTATTTACCTTAGAAAACGTTTTGAATAGGTAATAATGTATATATATATATATATATATATATATATTAACGCTTAGCCTGCTGGAAAATCTGGTCTTATTTTCCTTGTACATTTCCATAATCTTTAGATAATAATGTGCACTAGTGTGTTTGAAGCAAGATTATATTGACATGTTAGTTTTTTGTGAATCAATAATGTAAATGAATGCAAGCCGATGCTTAGGTATTTTTGCAATGTTAAAGACGCAGGTATTATTGTACATACTGTGAGCAAAATGAGATTATCGTCCCTAATGATAAGATTACAAAAGCATTAAAAGATAAGCATAACAACTGAAAACCTTTTACTTCCATTTAAATTCTAAATAAAGCTGGGATTTTATTGAATACACTTGTCCTGTCCATATAAGCCAACGTTCATTGCTAGAGTAAACCTTACCTCGTATGTGCTGGTCAGTTTTAGTGGGTACAGTAGAGGAACAACGGTAACATTAGCTATACATATAGACAAAAAGTACGCCACAACTCCATGAATCATTCGGATTCCGAACAAGTATATCTCGGCTGGTATACCCATTACCGATATCGCAGAGACAAACGTTACAAAAATGGACATAGCCACTGGTACGACCAGCAGACGTCGGTTTCCAAAGAAATAATTCTCCAGTGTCGGGTTCTTGTTGGTCTGATAACCATAGTAAACACCAATCCCTATACAGACACAGAGGAAAATGGCTATAACGATATAGTCGGCGACGTGTGGAGCAGGAGCAGGAACGAATGTCGAATCCATGTTTATGTCTTAGAAGTCAGAAGATGTACATCAGTATATATATATTTATACAACACGTATACATTTTAATTTCAGATGCTGCAATATGACAGCTAGGATAACGTCATTTATCTTGAATTACCATGCATATGGTATTGTATATATTAATAATGCTTTTAATGAGGAACACATCGTCCTAGGAAAATTTACTATTGATCTATATTTCAACACTTAAAAGTTTGGTTAATATTAATAGTCAGCTGAATTTCAAATAGGGAAACTGTCAATCAATCGGACAGACTTGTTTTCTCTATTGACACTTGGTACATGTCTAAGTCTACCATCATAAGAAAAATAAGATTTCATTATCGGTATGGGGTTTGGTCTAATTCATGGCATCGATACCCCGAATTCCAGGTGAGAAGCGAGCAAGTCACAAATACACCAACCTACCACCCGAAAATGATCACCTTATCATGTTTATAGGAGATGTTTGTAAGAAAAGACACCCTTTTGTATGAAAACCAACAAGTCAATTGACAGCTAATGAAACCAACAAAGATATCCCAGCCTCTGTTACGGACAGGTTCGACGGATAACATGACTTAGAATATAATAGTAATATCTACCTACCACTCTGAAGTACTTAAGTTCATATATATATATTGCTACTACTACATCCATAATTTGAAATGAAATCAATAGTATATGAAAGATTTTTTAACATTGAGTGTCATGACATTGCAAAGGCAATTTTTCTCAGGTTTCTACTACTTCGGATCTATTTTGAGATACATTTTGAGTTTATTCATAAGTTAAAATGTTACAGTAGGTGACATACATCATTAAGTCTCTATGTAATTCAAAGGTGACACGCAGCCTTAACTTTATCACATACATCCTTAAGTAACACACATTTAAAAGTCATCACAGTAAGGTAGCATACATCCTTAAGTAACACACATTTTAAAGTCATCACAGTAAGGTAGCATACATCTTTAAGTAACACACATTTTAAAGTCATCACAGTAAGGTAGCATATATCGTTATTTTTGTGTATTAGTTAGGTAGCATGCATCATTTGGTTTCCATAAAGGGATATCTTCTGTACTTGAACAAAGTTGATTAAAGTTTCCCGTTGTGCTTTATTAATTGATCATCAAAAATTGTTCTAAAGGAGCTTTTATCAATTAAGTATTGCTACCGATATAGTGATGGTTTCCTCATATTAAAGAGGTTAATATTGTATGGCGAATAATAATGCATAATTCATTTCTGTGTATTGTAAGATAAAAAAAAAACGTAAATCAGGTTAGGCTAGGAAATGAACATATGTTCATACGACAATATATTGTCTTGATTTTCGTATAGCTGTGGATCTGTTGACGTTATAGGTGTTCAACGTTGAACGTATTAAATATAATAAAAGAATAGATTAAACGTATTGAATTTCATCATGTTTTTGGCAAAAAAACAAAAACAAAAAACAAAACAAAAACAAACAAAAATAGAACAAAATAAATAAAAAAAAAAAACCTAAAACATATAAAATAAACTAAAAAAACAAAACAACCCCAGAAAAACACTATTTGCCGAGTACAAAATATCCATTACTTACTATATTTTACGTTAACCTAACACATCTAGGTCAAGAATCAACTAATCCCATTAGAACCAGAATAGGTTCTTGTGAATCGTGTTGACAGATAAAGCACTACTTAATCTGGCATCGACTGATATATGTGGTGGTTACAGGATATTTATTTATATGAAATGAACTGATGGAAAACATTGTATATCTATCACTTCGTATGATACACGCTTCCATAAAGTATTGACCACATCCTAGCGACAAGGAATCAAAAACATGACAAACCCAGATCTATATCAGTGGATATGAGATCTGTCCTTTGATATTGAATTAACAAATTAAAAATTAACTACATAACTTTATCAGTGTTTACATAACTTTATCAGTGTTGATGTAACTTTATTAGTGTTGACATAACCTTATTAGTGTTGACGTAACTTTATCAGTGTTGACGTAACTTTATCAGTGTTGATGTAACTTTATTAGTGTTGACATAACCTTATTAGTGTTGACGTAACCTTATCAGTGTTGACGTAACTTTATCAGTGTTGACGTAACCTTATCAGTGTTGACGTAACCTTTTTAGTGTTTACGTAACCTTATCAGTGTAGACATAACCTTATTAGTGTTTACGTAACTTTATTAGTGTTGACGTAACCTCATTAGTGTTGACGTAACTTTATCAGTGTTGACGTAACCTCATTAGTGTTGACGTAACTTTATCAGTGTTGACGTAACCTCATTAGTGTTGACGTAACTTTATCAGTGTTGACGTAACCTCATTAGTGTTGACGTAACTTTATCAGTGTTGACGTAACCTCATTAGTGTTGACGTAACTTTATCAGTGTTGACGTAACCTCATTAGTGTTGACGTAACTTTATCAGTGTTGACGTAACCTCATTAGTGTTGACGTAACTTTATCAGTGTTGACGTAACCTCATTAGTGTTGACGTAACTTTATCAGTGTTGACGTAACCTCATTAGTGTTGACGTAACTTTATCAGTGTTGACGTAACCTCATTAGTGTTGACGTAACTTTATCAGTGTTGACGTAACCTCATTAGTGTTGACGTAACTTTATCAGTGTTGACGTAACCTCATTAGTGTTGACGTAACTTTATCAGTGTTGACGTAACCTCATTAGTGTTGACGTAACTTTATCAGTGTTGACGTTACCTCATTAGTGTTGACGTAACTTTATCAGTGTTGACGTAACCTTATCAGTGTTGACGTAACTTTATCAGTGTTGACGTAATCTTATCAGTGTTGACGTAACTTTATCAGTGTTGACGTAATCTTATCAGTGTTGACGTAACTTTATCAGTGTTGACGTAACCTCATTAGTGTTGACGTAACTTTATCAGTGTTGACGTAACTTTATCAGTGTTGACGTAACCTCATTAGTGTTGACGTAACTTTATCAGTGTTGACGTAATCTTATTAGTGTTGACGTAACTTTATCAGTGTTGACGTAACCTTATTAGTGTTGACGTAACCTTATTAGTGTTGACGTAACCTTATCAGTGTTTACGTAACTTTATCAGTGTTGACGTAACCTTATTAGTGTTGACGTAACTTTATCAGTGTTGACGTAACCTTATCTGTGTTGACGTAACCTTATCAGTGTTTACGTAACTTTATCAGTGTTGACGTATCCTTATTAGTGTTGAAGAAAAATTACCTTTTTGAAACACATTACTACAAACTATTCTAGGCTTTTTTGAACTATTAGAATGACTAGAAAAACTTAGAAATAATGGCTTTTATTTTAAAAAGATGCTTCCCGTTCTTTGCCAATCGATTCGTGGTATTCATTTGATATCTTCTCCTGAGATGCAGGCGTTTGTTCCAAAGTTGGCTACAAAAGAAACAAATACTCTAATTTCTTGATATGATGACATATGACATGATTAATCTGATATTTTTATGAAAAATAAATAGTTCACGCAAAATCATCTTATAAATTGATTCTCACAATAAACCCGTCTTCCCTGCCTGATAATCATATGAAACTGCCTGCGTTTACAGAAAAAAATATGGCAATTTAATCGATAGGCTCAGAAATCTACCATGCTACGACATAATGAAATGTCTACCGAGAATATGTATGTTTAAACACTGTATGTACCCTTAATGGCAACATACGGAATATAATTTATCTACCAAGACACTGATTTTTTAAGAAAAAATGTATGAATGGTGTATATCAATATTCAATAAATTAATTAAACAATTTAAGTTTCAAAAGTGTTCAACAACTGGAAGAATTAGTATGAAAATCACTGTGAATGGAGGCTAGTCCAGACAAAATTGAATTAAAGACATGCATGATTTTTTTTCTAATAACGTTTAGAATTTGATAGCTACTCATGATGCATGCCGTGACTCATGCATGTATTTATGCTATACACGCACCTTGTTCTCTGTCAACTGATATGTACAATTAGGCTCCAGACGAAACACCTTTCTACAAACAGGGAAGATGAGACGGGCATCCACAGTTTCTTCGCGATCACCACCTTTTTAATTCAGAATAATTCATTTTTTTAATTATTGTAATTATAGTGGCATCTGAATCACAGTTATTGAAGATACATACCATAACGAACATTACCTCTCACACGATGTTTGTTCTAATATAGTAGAGGCTGATTTGGTAAATTTGTATCAGCGGTTTATTGTGACAAATAATCTTCGGCATATCATCATATATCTTTAAAATCACATGCAAGTGTTTTACTGGTTTTCAGGGCTATCTTTGGCTATTAACATTTGCATTGTTTTAGTTTTCAGCGCCGTTAATGATGGTCGGAGACTGGTGACATTTGTATATATGAAAACAATAATAAAAAAGGTGTAAATTTTCCTATCACATAAACTTACCTGTACATAGGCTAACGACGGTTCCGACGATCAGTGTGAGGAAAAATCCAGTAAAACCGTACCAGGTATAGGAGACATTGTATAGGAAAAAGCCTTCATCAGATCTGTATATTGAAAAACACACATTATTAAGTGATTTCCAAATATCATAAAGTGCCCGGACTTGCTGAGTGAAAGAGCTTATAGTGACCTTAGATATTGTACATGTTATCCTCAAACTTTCTTTGTATTATTGTCATTCAATTACTGTAGTAATTACAGAAAATAGATAAAGTGTGTCTCTAGTATGGCTGACATCTACATCATCCTCTTCTTATCTCAATTTTAGTCAGCGATGTAACTATCAGGGTTACTTTCCACTAAGTTTCATTTTCAATATAGATATATTGCAACATATCAAGCATATGATGTTTACATGTCACGTTTGTTTAACTGATCAAGATTTACATCAAAAATGTCGAACACAGCCGAAGAGGTCAATTTAAAACTTACTAACTGGTATATATTGAATTTCACGAAATCACACAAAACCTTCCAGAAGCCCATGCCCTATTGATTACGATTTTTGACCCAAACATCACCATTAGTTAACCTTACGTGTTATGATTGTTTATTGGTTGACTGGAGTATCCACTTGTATCATATGAAGCAGTCGTTATGTTGTAGTTGTAGGTCGTTGATTCTACCATCGTGGTCGTGATGTTATCAGGAAAGCACCGGTTCGTAGGGTTGAATTGTAATATTTCAGGACGATTCCCGTATAACTGTGCACCTACTGCTATCCAAATATTGAAGACAAGAGCAGTCACACTGCCGACAATCGCACCCTGAAATATAACTTACATTGTGTACATGATATGATATTTTCCAAAATATACAATTATGTGATTAACCACGTGATTTAAAATACGGAACTTTCTTACCTTATAAAAAAATTATAATCTATCTAGCAAATCGGTTATCAATCTTTCTACGATGCATAACGATTTGAAGACTTTTAATTTTGAAAGAAATGTAAACCATTTTGATATCAGGCTAAAACATAATATATATAAGTATATTGATGATAACTTACTATCCAGTTTGCTTTCGGTACCATTCCGCCAAGATAGAAAAGCCCCGACATCGGTCCTCCACATGCGCCAAAAACGATCCCCGCCATCTTAACACAAGGTTTATTGGGCTATTTTTTTCATATCAGATTTCTTGGTTTTCAATTATGATTTACGAAAAAGAAAAGAAAAATGATAGTAAATTGTCTTATTTGTGTTCCTCAATTTCACCTTTAAATATGATATAGATCCTGTCATAATATCTTCGTCAGTATGTGATTTTCACGTGTACTTATGTAATCCCATATTTACACCATTTGTCTATATAGAAAAAAATAAAGATACTGATTAAGCATAAAAAAAACTTTTTCACTTATACCACCTTTAGTTATTGGGGTACCTGCATTACTGAACCTGGCAAGGAGTTGATAGCGTATGCTAATCCAATGACCGCCAATCCGTACGAGATCACTACAGCATGAACGTCAATGCAGAATTCATTTTAACACCGGAGCTCATATTTCAATCTTCAGGTTTATAAATTAAGAATTGTTCAAGGATTTATGTATGACTAAGGTATTTAATGTAGCCAATGACAAACTGAAATCAAAACTTATAGAAATACGTTTGCTTGCAATGTTGATTAATCAAAAAGAAAGGAACTGTATGACGAGGTTTATTTTCCTGTTGAATAATTTACAACTCACCAAATAATTTTGCTACAAGCGTCTGGGAAATTATCTTGGATTTTTTGACACAATCACCCAGAATATCCTCTACAGTGTTGGCAGCTAAAGAGTTGATTCCCGACGAAAATGTACTGAAAAATACAACATACAGCTGCCATTCTGTGCATTAAAAAATGTACTGACACGCGATCAATATTGTAATCAAAACAATGAAATAATTGAAACTAGAGCTAAATATAAACTACCGAAATCAATTGAATATGGCAGCCAGAACCTTGAAGGGTTTCATTTGAATGAACATGTAAATATACAAGGAATGGAGCGAGACACATTCTTAAATCATAAAATCATGCTTTTCGTTATCATTTTAAATTGAATATCTCCATAAACTCAAATGTTATGATGTTCGTGTAAAACAATATTAAAGTTTGCTTATTTGTATGGTATTAAGTTTACGAACATGAACTGACCAGACAAATTTTTTTTAAACAATCTTAATTTCTCTGCTTACCAACAAAATACTCTACGTTGCACTTTCTCAGTGGCATATACAGTGTAAAAATGTATTTGAAAAACCAAACAAACAAACAGGAAAAAACAAAAAAAAAAAAAAGAAAAAAACGGGAACACAATCATAATCCAAAATCAAATTCAGTAAATCAGGGCAAAATATGAGTAAGTGATAGATTTACACGTTGGCTTATGAAAAAGAACAAGGAAAATATAAGACTAGATCTTCCGGAAGAGTAAGCGTCTTCTGCTTCATCGACGACACTCGCCTTGTAAATCTTGGTCAATGCAAGTAAGTAATGTCACCGTCTTAAATGAAAACAAGGACTCCAACAACGGAATCACAATGTAAAATAACGAGCATCAAACTCATCTAGTTTCATATCGTACGCAGAAATAAGAAATAGATATGGAGTCAACTGCGACATTTAAAAGCCATTGGTTGGTGATACCGATTTGTTGCTATCCAGAAATGAAAAATTCACAGTAGGGAAATTAAAATATATATATATATGTAAGATAAGCGAATGATGTTAATTAATTTAACGAATTATGGGGTTATTGTTACCTAAGTGCCCCGCTGAACAAACAGCTGATAAAGACACCAGAGAACCCTGGGAGGGTTTGCAACACATCGAGCACGAAATACGGCGTCAGCTACAATAGTAACGATATAGAAGTCATGGGGAATGGTAACAAGACGCAATACATTTCATATCAAACATTAAAAATACAGAGCAAAATATTTATTCTAACAATGAAAATTTTACGATTACATGAAATTTCTTCCTTCATGAGAGCCTGTCAACGTTGATGTCGATACTAAATGTTGCTACTAAGATATTCATCTTTCAGTTTCATGACTACGTCGACAAAAATACGCTCATCGATGTTTAAATGGTCAAAGTACCAGTATGTATTACATTGATTATCATTCATCGCGACTCCTTTGCAACTTTCCCTCAAATAATCAAATAAAAACGTATTACGTGTACGAAGAAATGATCTGGTTACTGTTGAAAGTATTGAATTTTTGTGGAACATGATTCCTGATTAAATGTCTGAATGTTGATGTATCATAAGAATACTTGATTGATGTTCGAGATAAATTCTCCTTGAAGTGGATCACATTCCAAAGTGTTGTAGTAGGAGTAAATAAGGATACCCAAGTATCCAAGGATGGTATAAAACATCACAAGAAGTGGACCAAGCATCCAAAATGCACTGTAAAATCCAAACGACAGCTGTTTTTTACTATGTATGTTTGCACGTAGTGGGTATATTGGACATCTTATGATTAAATGTTTATCGAATTTTTTTAATTATTTTTAGTCAATTCTTGTTAAATTGGTCAGCAGGTCTTTTTAAAAACCAATTATCATTTCAATCTGTTCTCAAGAGGCACAAATTATTACTCACAAATAAGCTGATTTAAGACTCCGTAGAGAAGAAATCCTCTGGACACTTGCTTGGTTGCACCAGTTTGCAAGATTTGAGAACACAAGACCAATCCACAAACCCCAATTACTGTAACGAATCCTGGGATCTGGGTCAAAGCTGGTGGAAAATAACAAATAAAGACACTTAAACTTTGTAGTCAATGTATAAAAGTAATGAGAATTTTTTTTTTAAATAAAATAAAGTGAACAGATATATCAATATAAAGTTTTAGAATTTGACGGAAAAGATACACGTTTAGTGATCCGCTATCATAATGTATATTTTTCGTTATTTCAGGCTACTTTTTGTCAAAGATGTTGTTTTATTTTTGCATTATTGTCTCCTACTGAACACAAAACATACATACAACGGAGACATTCAAAACTTTTTTTTTATTTTGATATTCTCCCGTTGTTGACTATCGCCATGGCAATGTTTTTTTTTTCAAGATTTTTATTACTTTTTTTCAGCTTTGAGCTGAAATAAAATGAAGACAAAACCTCAAACTTTCTTTCATTGATATCGGTGTGTTTTCTACTCCGCTGTTTTTTGGTTTTTGTTCTACTTATAAGATGGTTTGAATTAATTGATATTTTTTCTATTAAGGCAATGAGTTTATACTTAAAATGCTCAAGTCTCTTTCCCTCAGTTGCGATTCCCAAAATTGAGTGACTCGGTCCTATCAGAATAGTGCCCTATTTCAAAAACAAATAAAGATATATACATTTTATGACAAAACGGTTGATAAATTGTGTCATTTCTCACGTGTATATGTTGAAAGTGTACATTCATTATAAATGATTTTCGAAATATAATCTGTTGTTTGTCATAAATCTGCTAGATGACAGTAGCATAAAACATCTATCATTTTCCAATACAATGGGATGTTTGAAAAGTCCACAGTATAATGTAATTCGGAGATCTGTTATTCGTTTCATCTTTTTTTAATCATCTTTGTTGGTCGAGTTAAACCGCTTAGGGATTAATAGAAAGACTTTTTATTTTGTTTCCATTTTTTTTCAAACTGGTTCCGGTTCGAGAATTTGTCCAGATTGACATTGTGGACTACGTAAATATTTCTTTTGTCGTCATTTGCTCACGTGCCACCAATTGTAAGTTTGAACTGAAATTTGGGGAGTATTTTAGTATTGTCTTTTACACAATAATTCCATTTACATTTCGAGATATAATTACTTTTATGATAACAGCTATCATTCCAACGAACAGCATAATACACTGAAAAACGTCAGTCCATACAACACTTTTGATTCCTCCCTGAAACATTTTGAATTTGCCATGACCATTTCACTCTGTATCATAATCATTAGTAAACCAAACGTTGAGATATCAATTAATTTTAATTATCTCACTAAGAGAAATTGATAATAGTTGAATTTAACATTTGACAAAGTTATGCATCAAATTGTGGCAAAATTGTGAAGTTTGAAATACTTGGTGTAAAATAATCGTGTTCCATGTTTTAATATCATTGATGTATTTGTATGAATTTTCTTTATTTGTTAGATATCTATATGGATCATTTCCCTTGACTGTAAAGTGATGGTGATTCATGATGTCAGTAAAGACGGTAAAATAAATACATACGATTGTTGTGTATATAGTACAGACAAATCCAATGACAACTATAGAAACCCACAGTGGTATCCCAGCCACTGCAATGGAAATTGGGACTTGTTAGAACACTAAAGGTTCATTTGACCTCTTTTTCATCCTATCACTTGGGATTGATCACGCAAAGTGATCTCTGTTCAAATTATTAAGTAATCCATTAAACTTTCAAAATATCAGTCGATTTCGATCTGACTTATGTTGCTTGTTCATATACATTGTTCTTATATAAGGTTCTATTTCAAATGAGGTGTTATTTCACCGAGACGAAAGTATGATACTTTTGCAAGCCTCTTGAGAACAACCTTGTTGTATACCGATATGCAAGCCAAATTAGCGATCTTTTCATGCTTCATGTCTTTGTCTAGTTACGTCGCGGTGTATATAACATCATGAAGTTAAAGCAACACAAGCCATAGACTCATAGCTTCGCTATTTCATCTATTTCATATCCACACGATATTTTGTTTCAGTCTGAAGCTAAAATATCGGGTCCGAAAATATACAACTGCAGGTAAAAGAAACGAGCACCAAACAGTTAGTTATATCTGTGTGTAGCTACGTACCAATTTCAAGAGCTAATGCTGGAGCGTAAAGAGCGATCCCCATATAAATCACCTGCAAAGAAGTAAAGGTTTCATAGATTTAGTGGCAGTATTATCTTAAATATTGAGACTGTATTTCCTTGTGTGGAGATTCAGACAAATCTTTTTCTTAATTACTGGTAATAGAGAATCGAATCAAAGACATAAAATATCGATATAAGCATATATACTAATTGAGTCTTTTCCTCACCGATAATTACAAAAGACATATTTTGAAGTGTTTTGTGTTTGGTGAAAAACTTTTGTTATGCTTAATGGTCAACACATGTTTTTGGTTCCTCATATATACTGACGGAAAATATAAAAATAAAAAAATAAATCACCGATAATTTTAAAAGTTTTTTTTAAGTATTTAACCTATTTGAAGTAATAGATCCTTGTTCGAATGAAAATTTGATTTCGTTAAGCTTCAATGGTCAGTGCATATTTCCCCAGAGTTTTGAAACTAGGCACCACAAACTAATAACACAGAAAATAATTGTTTGTCCGGAAATATTTTGTCATGTATTAAAACGTTACGTGGACAAGTAACGTATATACGGCAGTTGCATTTGCGAATTCGGTTCCAGTAATCTTCATTGATCGCTAGCAATATCTCTGGTCTTAAACGGATCAGTTTCAGAACCTCACGAAACATAAGGCGAGAGGCTACCATCCGCCTGAGACGTTCCGCTTTCTATTTTGCTACAACGTGACAGAGTTGTGCAGGTAGCTTGGTGTAAGAATCTTCTCCTATTCATCAACAGAGAATGCTCTGAAGTGTTACTCACAAACAAGTCAAGATTTTACTTTGTTACAGAAAGGGTTGTATTCGGGTGTACCTTCGGCCGGTAGAACATTTTATCGATGTTTGTGCAATTCAGTGTTACCAGTTCGGAAGAAGAAGCATTATGATCTGGGCTGGCATTACAGCCTCTGGAAGGACCTCTTTAGTTATGGTGGATGGAAGCTTAACAAATGTGCGCTACCGCAACGAACTTACACCTTCTCACGTTCTCCCATTTATCTAAATTAGCCAGCAAAACATGACTACGCAACAATACCAAATTTAAAACTGAAAGAGTGCCTGCGATCTTTTGTTTTGAGAACATTCTTTTACAAGAAAAGTGAAAGCTGGTACAAACATATGATTTATGAACTATAACCGAAGCGTAATAATATCTAAAAGATGGTATTCAGTCGTGTGTCTTTTGGAAAAAATACATCCATATCAAAGAAGAAAGAACGAAATGATGAATTTTATTTTTCTATCAATAGTTTTTACATTTCTGGATAGCGACAACCTTGCACCCCCAACCTATGGTGTTTACACATCGCAGTCAAAACGATATTCTTTGGCTAGTTCCACGTTTGCGTCAGGAGTCCAACTCTCTTGTGAAGTTAGAAGCATTGTACGTCTTACATTGTAAGGCATATGTCAGATATGTCAGAGCATTCCCTGAGCATTCTTGCGTGATTTGATCGGTTCCATGCGTTGTAGATGTGTGGCGTTCACCAGTGCAAATGGAGGACATACAAAGTATTAAAGAATTGAAACTGGAATGACATATTCTTTCTTTCAATTCCGATTGACTGATTGCCTGCTTCACAATATCTTTATCATTAACACATACTTTCAGGTAAGAATTCATAATTCAAACAGGCGAAATACAGTTTCTTTTTATCATTGTTATATACGAGCGAGTCTTTAACATAAAATATATCTTACATTATAATTGGCAAGAGAAATATTGAAACTTTATTCATTTAAGTATAATTTCCCATATTTTTTCTTGATAGAACAGTCGTTACGGAATCCAGTTTTTCTGTGGTGCTATTAATTTATATTATACAATTTTTGATTGCATTCGCATTATTTCTGCATATGACACGCATCTTGAAACTTACCGTATGAAGCATTCCGATTGCCGTCCCCATGAGGCGGACACTTTTGGAATTATACCGATGTTGTAGATACTATTTGATAAATAGATTTTAAAAATTAATCTGTTGTCAATAATGATATCGTAGAATATGAAACATAGTTGAGTACAATTCCTGGTCAACTAGTATATTATTGCATGTTCTCAATAGATGTCGTCAGTATATCTCATATGGACTATAACTTCAAGCATGAAGAAGTCCTTTGTAGGATTGTGAGGATATTAAAGATTTCGTTTTATGCCATCTTATACGATTTATTGGGCTGTATCTCAGTGACTTTTCCATAAACAAAATATCGAAACATTGAACATCGAAAATTTTACTTTTCAAAGTAAGCACTATTGTGGAATGAAGGTTACGTGGAACTTAGGACTTATAATAATTCGTCTGTAGACAGAAACACAGAAAGCACATTAGCACACACAGGATCATGAACAAAAAACCATGCATGTCACTTAAAATGTATATATCTATATGCGACGTGATGCTAGTGCATCTTTCCATCTAGATTTTGTCATTTTCGATCCATTTAGCGCTTACCCTTTACATCTGGTCTTATTCTGCCGATTCTTTTTCCAGGAGTACATATAAATTTCTTATTTGTTCATATTTTGAAACAGCTTTACCGAATTCATGTTTGGTGTAAAAGTCTGTTCCCTATTGGTATTTTGTTTGTTTGATTGTATATGAATCAATTTACCAATGAATGTCATCACTAAGGCGTTCATGAACTTAAAAGGCGCAGGACTATTGCACATAATGTGAACGAAATGAGATAGTCGTCCCTAGTGATGAGACGTCAGATGAAAAAGATGATAAGCATGAAAATGGAACAGCTTTACCTGGCTTCAATGTGAATTATAAATGATGACGCGTTTCATTGAAGACACCCCTATCCTATTGTCATTCGTGTATCCAATAAGCCAAATGAGAGTCTTTGAATGTTAAGTAAACCTTACCTCGTATGTGCTGGTCAGTTTTAGTGGGTACAGTAGAGGAACAACGGTAACGTTAGCTATACATATAGACAAAACGTACGCCACAACTCCATGAATCATTCGGATTCCGAACAAGTATATCTCGGCTGGTATACCCATTACCGATATCGCAGAGATAAACGTTACAAAAATGGACATAGCCACTGGTACGACCAGCAGACGTCGGTTTCCAAAGAAATAATTCTCCAGTGTCGGGTTCTTGTTGGTCTGATAACCATAGTAAACACCAATCCCTATACAGACACAGAGGAAAATGGCTATAACGATATAGTCGGCGACGTGTGGAGCAGGAGGTGGAACAAATGTCGAACCCATGTTTATCGGAAACAATCTGCAAGCTTTTGGCGTCTCAAACTCGTTCGCGAATGACGCGCAAAAAAGATATATGTATGAATACGCATATACATTTACTTTATATAAACCATTGATAATAAATTGTTTTTTTTTATTGTTTAGGTATAGTCCATATGGTACTGCATATATCTATAATACTTTTCCATGTACCTATTTTATATTAACTTTCTGAATCATTTTGTATATAAATAATGGCAGTGCGTCCTTATCTTAAGCTAATCTCGCAAACGATATCCAAAAAATATTTATGTATTGACATAACGTATTGATCTGAATGTTAAGATGAAATGGTTTGTTTGATTAATAGTCAGCTGAACGTCAATATGGGAACTGTCAATCAAACAGACAGGCTTTTGATGTCTTCTATCAGTCTGCCAAAGTGAAAATATAAATGTAACAACTGTTGTGGGTTTGGGTTTTGTTTTCCTGTCACTGGATGGCGGACACAAGGCTTCGAAACGGACAAAAGAGTGTTCTCATGTAACGGCAGTTCAATTAGATCCTGCAAGAAATTGACAAAATGTGAAATGAATTACGGTCATAAATAGCCTAGGGTTATCAATGCTGATGGAAATTCTCGTTCACGACACCCAAACACACCTTGCACGCGGAAGGAATTGACTGCAGCACCAGCTTACTATCATGTTGATCACCTATATGTGTATGTTATTCTAAAACTATGTCTTGATGCAAATGCACCACAACTTCGAAAACATTAACGCCTGGCTTAGTTTTGATACATTCCGAGATATGGAAAAAATCAATCCAAACAATGTAAGGTATTATGAAAAGCTCTTATTTCCCGAAGATATAAATATGAAATGTATTGATCAAAATAGATTTATTTATTTAAGAATCTTTCAAAATCTATATATATGTTTCCTTGTACTTTTTAGAAGTCTCCATACAAATATTGTTTTTGTTAATATTTTGCCGCAGTGTCATCGAAATAAGTCTATGGACATCGATGTGCAGTCTTGTTCTTAGCTAGGATATAAGTGATGAACATTGATTCTAAAGAGTCTGCCACATATTACTCTGAATATATCTTATTAAGCCAGCAAATGGAACATAGGAGACTAACAGATGTGTATATTAAAAGCTATCGTACGATACCTCATGAACTCAGACCCTAAAAGGGTCGGTTTAAGTGTGATCGTTGTTGTCCTCGGTGAAGCAGATGACGCTTTCTTCTCTGGAACATCTGATCTTTTTATTCGTGTACTTTTTCAGGAAAGAGTCTCCATGTAAATCTTCCTTTCGTTCATATTTTGCCCTAGTTTTATTGACTTTGATTTTGGATCATGATTATGTGGACATGTTGGTATTTTCTTGTTGATTTTTCTTTTCATTACCATTTGGGGCGGAGGCAGTATACGTCAACGTCTTCACATCAAAATAACATTTTCTTTGACAAGTTTCCTCTCATTTCAATTTCTAACAAACCCATCCACCTACCATCATATCTTTTGCTGGTCCAGTGCCTGCTTGCAGATGCCGTACCTTCATTGGCTGGCAAGCGTTTTGTTCTGTATTCCGTCTCTTGTTGCTCCAAATAAATGAAAGTCATTCTGCTTCGAAATGTTTTTATCATTCAACATATGGTGATCACTTTTTTCACCAGGGTATCAAAACGGTGGGCCCTAATCGTCAAAGGTTTAATGAGATGAAGTCAACTGCAGAAATTTAACCAGGTGAGGATTTTACCAAGTTCTGGGTTGGATTTTGTCACAGGCTGTTGGTTAACTCACTCCTAATCATGCTCGTGACATGATGGCTCTCCTAGTATTCTGTGCACAGCCTTCTGTGTGCTCTATCTAGCCACCAACTGTTCACTTGTTCACCATGGGTGCTTGACCTTTGATGCAAATGCTTAACCCGGGTAGGCAGTCAAGCATTTATGTCATTAACCTTAGAGACAGCTAAGTGTTGTGGCAGACGACAGTATATAAATATCAAATAGTAAACAAATACAAATTAAACACGTTAGCAAGTATGAGTGACTAATTACAATAAAAGTTATACATGGGTCAGTAAAACAATAAATTTATTACAATATTAAAAATAATCGATCAAAACTTGTGGACTTATAGTGTCATAATTTTCTCCGTACCGTTGATAAATCCCTTTAACAACATTTGAAATTTCTGGTTCCTTTTGAATGCCGATATAACAGCTTCAGTTACCTCGCCAACATATATGATATTTTGCATCACTGTAGAACAGAAAGCGTTCTGATGTCATTAAATCATTAAGCCACTTTGAAGGAATTGAGAGATATAATGCGGTTTGTGCTTCGTATTCCATGTCAGAGATGTGTATGCAGTGTCCTTAGAGTGTGAAACAGTTCCTCGATTTACATAGATACACTTGATTAGAGATATTTTATTTGGGCACATTATGACGTTGCCACATATGGTGTTTTAGGTGTTGACGGGAAATTATGATGCAACAATAAAGGATAAATTGTATGCAGCAGCTGTAACCTTCTTAGATGTTAATATCAAAAATGGAAAACACAACATACGTTAGGATACTTAAACAACGCTGGTATATGTCCTCAAGATGTGTTTAACTCATATGAGTATGTTTTAGCAATATTTGACATATAGGTCTGTAAAAGCTTCATGTCGTGGCATGTTTTTATTTTTGACAAATTAGAATCCTACATTCAGAAAATTTGCTTTTTCAAAAGACATTAAAAAAACAAAAAAAAAAAAAAAAAAGCTAAATCCACTTATACTATTCAAATGGTTTATTAGATAGTGGGCAGATGAATTTGTTCACGAAAATGAATTATTTTACGGTACATCAGCATAGGGTGGGATGTGAAAGTAAAAATCAAGAAAGAAATACAACGCCAGGATCAAGAACACTGGTAGGGTGATATTTCTTTTTCATTGTTGGCACAATCATATCTACTTAGCTACTTTAAACCGACTAGACCGGCACGCACATCAAATTAGAACCAATTAAATCAGTATGTTTGACCTGTTGGTTTCCATGTTGTACACCTTGTTCTAATTCAAGAACCTGAAATAACGTACTTGGATTGTCCAAGGTTTACATGGCGGGTTTCGGCTATGAAGCAAAAGACGCTTACTCTTTGGAGCACCTGGTCTTCTAGTAGTTTTTTTTCTTTTGTTACTATTTCCAACTAGCTTTATTCAATTTGAGATTGAATTATGATTATATTGACCTGTTACAATGTTCTTGGTTTTTATTTTGAAAGCCCTCTCCTTTCATCTCCGGACGAAAAAATATCTATAAAATATATTAAATCGTCGGTAACCCAAGATGTCATTCTGTAAAGTTTTGTGTATGTGTAATGGTTTGTTACGGTAGTTTGTCAGATGACAATCAGAAGAAATTGAATATAAGTAGTTATACGAAATGGCTAATTTCTCTGCTATCTCTTCTATTTTTGTAAAATGGTAATATTTAAAACAGTCTTTGTATTTCATATTTAGTAAGAGTTAACTCAATATCACTTCATTTTATTTATAAAGAGTCATTGTAGTTGGGTAATATCTAAGAGTTTTTTCAGTGATTTTGACATATTTCTTCTCTGAATGTCTATATAGTTGCTATTATACATGAGTGTGAGAAGATTTTCAAGGTCTTCAGTATTCGGAGTTGTGGTCGGCTCTGGGCCACAAGCTGACGTAGAATCGATCAAATGTGTCATAAAAACCTAAATTACTTAAATTTATAATTCAAATGTTATGTTATTGATAAAGTCGTTCAATTGCTTATAAATGCTTGGTTCTGCGATCTGCTACTGATAACGACCAAGAAAAAACCCATGAACTCCTGTGTACATGTAAAGATTCCAGTAGCAGTATTGTATTGGGCACCCACCTCCCCCCGATTCCATACGATCTCGCACACAAAAACAAAATGTTTCATATTCCAACCATCCAGGTATTTATGTCTGCAATCTACTAAGTATTAATTCATGTTTCAAATATAATAATCATCTTTATTCTTCCTTAGTAAACAATATACAGTTTCTAGCGTTCTAAATTACAAACAATTTTCAAAGTCTAGAAAAAATTACGCAAGTTCAGAAACGAAAGGTATTGTTGAAAGTTTTTTTTTCCAATTTTCACAATGCTGACAAAACCGTTATACCTACACAAATATATATATGTTTAAGTTTCTTATCTTAAGTCATTGATTACATAATATTAACCCAGACACAAAACAAGATATAATGCGTTGAATTTGTATTATTTCGTTATTAAAGATCGTCTTTGATTTCAGAAATATGTAAAAAGAAAAGAAAAAAAAAAAAAAAAAAAAACCCGACAGTGAAAAAAGGTCACAGGCACAATAGTTCATGAAGTTTATTTAGATATAGACGCATCGGTAAGCCGTGTTTCAATGTTTTTCGAGTTAATAAATCGAAAACTTAAAGTGTCACAAAAGTCAAGAGCCCTAGTTTCAAGAAGCTGTACCTGATGTTTCAAACAGGTAATATTATCAGCATTTTGTTGTAGTGTTGTTCTTTTGATATTATACATCTATACAAGTGTACAGTTTTACAGGAAATCACTGTCGTTGTAAATAAATGAAACCATATAATCTAGAAATGAATGCATGCATGCATTATACATATATGCTAAACATAGCAAGCGATTAGAAGTTATGAACAAAAATAACAAAGAGTGTTTCAAAGGGAGACAAATAGACCAGGAGTAGAAACGGAAAGATATCAGAGTCATGGTAGAAATAACTTGCTTTATAAGCATTTGAATGTCAAAGACAATTACTGGTATATGAGACTACCATGGTAACATTGTGTTTATATATTTACTAATATTGAAATAGTGTAAGACTCTCGTTAAAAACATTGAAAAGGAATAAATTTTGAAAACCAAATTGCTAAATACTTTATTATTAACATCAGAACCATTACTTTAAACAGCGAAAATACGACGCAATGTAGTCAGTTCACCGAAACAAATAATTTATCGGAATACCCGAAGGAAAAACCTACGTGGTAGGGCAAATAACCCCAAAACCTTTTTACAGGAATTGAACCCAGGACGGCTAGGTGAAGGCAAGCGCAATACTACTGCGTCAACGACCATCCCAAAATGATGATCACTTATCACATTCAGTCGGTCATATACCGGAGTGTTTCTATCAAAGAATCTTACCCGGGCTTCACATATAAATCATCCGTGTACTACTATGTGTTCGCGCGGCCTAAATTGATATCACACACAAACCTGACTTCTTTGTCCTTGCTCTCAATTTCAATATAGAATTAGCATAATTTACAGCTAGTACATACCTTCAGTTTCAAAATGTTCTGGCTAAGTTACGATAAGAATTCAGTTATGATCCATTTAAAATAATGTTTTAAACACTTTGAATTTGTAATGTTAAACGTGTCTGAACATATCGTAAACATGTCATTAGATCGTTTGTAAATTTTGTTGTGTTTTCAAATAGCTTTTGTCATGACAGATTAACACCAAGGTATATAATAAATCAAATGTAAGTAAAGTTGCAGATTGTGCACATCAAAAAAGAATATGCACACAGGTTTGATAATATGACTTAATATGACTTCAGAAAATCAGGTTACCAAGTAACCAGCATCAATTTAGCGTCATTCAAGAAGGACAAATCCTGACCTTAAAAGAAAACAAATAAATTCAAAATCACGGTCAGTGTATATTCTATATGTCTATAGTCTCATACCTCACTCATTGTTGTTAGCAACAAGTCAGCATATATCTGTGGCCTTGTGTGACCGTTTGTATTGATTCCTAAAATGGAGTTTCAGCCAATTCCTAGTCCTCATATTGCCGATTACGTCGTTCTGGGACTGTTTCTCTGCGTTTGCATGGGGATCGGAATATTCTATGGGTACAGGACTGACAAACAAAAAACACTTGAAAACTATTTGTTTGGAAACCGGAAATTACTTTTGGTACCCGTTTCGATGTCACTGTTTGTTACTTTTGCTTCTGCTATTTCATTGATGGGAATTCCTGCTGAAATCTACATCTACGGGACAATGTTTATGTACTCTACGATTGGCTTTCTATTTTCTGTTTGGATATCAGGAATAACCATTGTTCCGATGCTTTACCCGTTGAAACTCACTAGCACATATGAGGTTTTTGTTTTTGATTACTCAATTTAGTTGTTGTTGTTTTGGTTATGTTGTTATATTTTTTTCTTGTGTGCGTGCATGCGTGCGTGCGTGTGTGTGTGTGTGTGTGTGTGTGTGTGTGTGTGTGAGAGAGAGAGAGAGAGAGAGAGAGAGAGAGAGAGAGAGAGTGTGTGTGTGTGTGGGGGGGGGGGCATGAAATGAATTTTATGCAATGGAATAACATCCTCTTATTTCTTTGAGTTAATACGTACGGAAATCGTGCTGTATAATATCGGTATATATATATATTCTCGTGTAAACTTAAATATGAAGAATACATGATAGTGTAGATAAGAGATAATTAAGAAACTAGAAGGTACTGCTTACAAATTGGATGTTTACAATATCCTACCGCTAGCCTATCTTGCCTAATTTGACGAGTATTGAGATACTGGTACGTGCCTAGAATGTATTACAGTTGCTAATTCATTCATTGAAGTTATGTGTACTCATGTAGTTGTTTATACTGGTAAGGTAACTCAGAATAGGGTATTAGGTTGAATATGAATTTACTTTCATATGGGATCTTAAATGTATTTTCATTTAATATGAATTAATTTATATATGCAAACATATACGGTTTAAGTTCTGATCGTCTAAGAAACAGCAAGGGAGGTTACTCTGAAGTTCACAAGCTGAAGACGAAAATTTCCTTGAAGAGTTGCTACACTTATGTAAATGCATTGACAATCAGATAGGGAACATGAAAAAGCTGATATATAAATCAATCAATTATTTGACAGACTAGAGAGAGACAAACAAAAGGATACGTGTTTCCGTTTACTACCTCTCTAACTAAATTTTAGCCCATTTTTGTTCTGGCACGATTACCTTGTGAACATAACTAGTCTCCAAATCTTAACCTTTAGATTCGCCTGTAATAAATATATCTAACAAGTAAACAATATGTATTGTCTTTATTGTACAGTGGAGTGAAATCATCTTTCATATACTTACTTTGACATCGGTTCACAAAACGCGCTGTACAACATTAATCACATATGAAGTTAGTGTAAAGGACAGTTTCTGTTTGGTGATGCAAACTCTAATGATATGTCGTCGCTGATTATACATTATTAGAAATACCATATTAGGAAGTGATATCTTATTTCCTGAAATGATAGGAAATGTAGATTTCAAAGCATGCATGCATATTTCATTTCATCAACTTGTAAATAAGAAGATAAGATTTCGACAATAGTAACTGCTGATATCATTATTGCTGTTAAAATGGCATTAACGATGTTTTATTATATTTCTTCAAGGCAGCATTGTTTACTGGTCAAATTAACGAATGTACAACCGATGTTTCGAAAGTTACTGTTTTATAATAAGCCAGATCTTGATCATTATGAAATATTCAGTACTTGCAGTTGCGTTTCCGCTCTAAAGCAGTCAGGCTTCTCGGTACGCTGATTGGGATGTTGCAAACGGTAAGAAATAAAACACGTTTTATTCACAGTTTGTTATTGTTTTCATGTTATTGATCAGACTGTATTTCCAAAATTACTAACAAATCTATTATATGTTTATTTTTGAAAGTTCATAATTTTAATGAGCCTTTTGTGAATCAGCAATGTGTTGAATTACTAAAACATAGAAATGGCCATTTTATGACTGTCAAATTAGCTTCACGATTTTACTGTGGATGATTTTGATTATCGTAATGTGTGAGTCGTGGTCCTCAGTTAATTCGGCCAATATATGTTCATTTGGATTAGATATATAATGAAATCATGTGATATTTGAACCAATTACATTTCAGATTGCCTATATGGGAGTGACGTTATACGCACCCGCTCTAGCACTTCAAACAGGTAACATCATCGCGATGCACTTTAAATACTATCAACAAAAACAAGATATCACTTACCTTTATTTTTATACCAATGATGTCATATTATGTGGAAATGCAGATATGTTTACTTACCTAGATAACATCGAATGTTGCTTGTTGTAAACGATTGCTGGAGGCAGTACTCACTATTCTACATATTCGTTGTTATGCTGAATTCAAAGTGATGTTTGCTTGACCACGAAATGGTTACATTATTTCTCAAGATATTTTATGCCCTCATTCACAGTCGCGGCATGTCATCACTTTTATTATGAATTAAATATTGCTAATGAATTTTGATGTTTATAATTGACGTACAAATTTTCTCAAATGATAATTGCGATCCTTTAAACCAAGATTATGTAGCTCGTTATTGGATGCTACGTCTCTTTATTAAGTAAATGCATCGTCTCCTCAAAATTGAACGACAAACATGTTTAAAGACATTGACAAATGATTTTCCTTTTTAGTGGCAGGGTTTCCGCTGTGGGTGTCAGTTGTTGTTATTGGGGCTATAGGAACATTCTACACATCAATTGTAAGATATTGCTATGTAATTAATTAAAATCATTGCTATGCTTTTATTTTACTTCTCCTTTTTCCGATCCTAAAAAGAGTTCATATTGTCTTCTGTATTTTGTAAGTCAGTTTTGTCACTATAATCTTAATGTGTTGCATGATGTGGGTACGGCATGAAACCTTGACGAAATACATGTAAGCTATCGCATATCCGTCTGTACTTTGTGCGGTTCTATAGCACAGATGTACGATTCTATCGTGGTTGATGTAAATTTAGAAATGATTTATAGATAAGTGTGGGATAGGATTTATTTCTAACAACTAAGTATAGTTCCTAATCACGCCATTAATGTGTCTGTTAGACAGGTGTAGATTTATCAGATACAGACTGAATTGTTCCATAAACTCGAAATTCAATGTCTTTCGTTTACAAAGTGCTACACGTGACCATCATTAGCATACAGACACTCATTATATATATATTGCATATGTAACATGAAATGAACGTCTCTGTTTGTCTCGAAAATGAATCATCTAAAATCTCATTGTTCGTGTGTGCGGATGCTGTGCGCCCAATGAGCGCACTTTGCGCGGACGATGTAAACACGAAGCTTTTGGTGCGTTGTGAGTTACCACAACTATATTTTATGAAAAAAAATGTCAGATATTAACTATACTAAGTATCCTTTATTTTCCTATTTTGTTACCATTTATATACTCTGTTTTATCCGCCATCTTGCTATGTACATTTTTTTTTATATCAAACAATAACGTTTTAGTCTTAGTTGATGAGTAATAGTAAACTATTATATAGTTGAAATATATTTCTACTTATCAGTATACCCCCTCCTTATTTTTCAGGGTGGTATTAAAAGTGTGGTATGGACCGATGTTTTCCAGTTCCTTATGTTATTCACAGGGATCACGGCTGTTATAATCAAGGTAGGCATATACTGCTAAATTGTAACTCTCTTGTCGATATTTCAGAACAAAAGTTTGAAAACTTCTAGATATGGTTTGTTCTCTAGTTTCCTCTTACAAAAGGTAAGTTTGGTTAATTTAACAATATGGTCATTGTTGGAGTGTGATTTACAACGAATACCTGTTTGTCTCTCCAATCTATTTTCCTACAAATTGCTTGATTCGTAATCTTGACGCCAAAGATTTGGTAGTGAATCAATGCTCAACTTACCTTTGTGGTACCTGAAATTATTTTTATCTAAAATTTACAAACTGGCTCATTTATAAGGCTATCGTAAAATCATAATGAAAAAAAAAATTGTAATGGGACGCCTCTCCATTTTTCGCCATCCGTTTTATTCTTAATCCGGAAAATTTGCTGTTAGTATGTGACTGTCTAACGTCATGTAGTAATGTTTAATGATAATGTTTCTCCATTAGTGATGTAGTTTTATCCATGCTGTCAGTGTTTCAGTATAACTGGGATCACACACTACCCTATCATCTAAAAGGATAGTATATCACAATTCTTTCACATTCTTCAGGGTTTAATATTGGTCGGCACCGGAGATGAACTAAAGACTCAATTAGAGGGAGGTAACCGCCTTCAGTTTAATGAGTGAGTATACCAAATTATTTCTACAGGATTATAAATGGTTTTACGAAAGTTATGATTTCATGAAAAACCCGTGTAATAGAATGCTGAAATACAGGAAAAGAGAGAACCAGTACAAAACTATGGATGTTAAATTTGCTATGATGTATAACAATTATTCATGTATAAGGTTGTAATATCTTATATAAATAGTTTTGTTGTTGTGACTGCTTCCTTACCATAAAATAAATACAACGATTTCAGTGTTTATACCTAATAATTGTGTCTTATAAATGAAAATTATAACAGGAGACTATCCATGTAAATACATTACTTTCATGGGTTCGTTCATTCGCATTGATATTTCATTTAAAAGTGATGCGGCTCTCAGTCAGATTTCACAGAACGAAGTGTCTGCTGTTTCTTCGGGCAATATTTTCGTGTTTTCGTGTCGTAGAGTGGATTTAGTGGATTAAAATAACCAAGGAAATTATAGATGGAAGTTAACCCTCTCAATAAGTGACAACATTTTGTTTGTAACGGATTCTAAATTTGTAATTTTGACTGTCAGATAGCGTCTACTGCAGTAGACGAAGTTGACAAATTCGGCACTCCAGTATTTTATTACATTAATAATGATTTTGTCTCAAAATGACATGCTCGACAGTAATATGGTTCTGTTACAATTTGCTAGCTTTTTAAATGGGTTTTTTTCCCGTGAAAGTCTTACTAGAGTCCAACAACTTCGGTACACTGTATATTGCTACCGAAGTGAAAGTGCCCGGCGGTCGTTACCTACAAAACATCAAGAATTAATCATTTCAACACCAACCAGATCACAGGAAATTGTATTATACAGTCTCATATTCTACAATTTTGCGTAGTAATGATATATAGGCGAATGCATTTATATCTAGCAGGATTACGTTTTGATGAACGTCTCACATTGGCCACCTAATGTGTATTCATACGCCTGACTAGAGCGACGTTCATGGCCTGATATACTATATATATGACTATAAATTTCCTTATATGCTGATTTCGATTTTTTGTGCAGCCAACACATTTTGATATTTCTATATTTGACAGCATAAGCCCCGACCCCAGCGTCCGTCATACAGTGTGGGGTTGTCTCATAGGACTTATATTTACTTGGCTTCCGAGTTGGTGCAGTCAAGCAAGCATACAAAGGATTTCTTCACTCAGATCAATAAAAGCCGCCCAAAAGTAATTTTCAGATTTTACTCACTTCATTTGATCACATGATAAACTTGATATGGTTACATTTCATACTATACATAGGAATCAGGAGATATATGACTTATTCTCTAACGCCTTGTCTGAGAAGGCCGAAAACACATGTATAGGAAATAATACGCAGTAAAATTTATTAGTTTAGACAAATGAATGTTCATCACTGAAATCAAAATAGTCAAAACTGTCCTTTTTAGAGAGATGTCCATTGTATAGAGACAGAACTTTTTACTCGGTAATGTTGGACGTTTCAAACAATAAGGTAATGAAAATCATGCTTAAAAGTTTGTCATGCCGTTTAATACTCTTCTTTTCTCTAAACGCCAATCTCATTTCTAAAGTCTTCGTTCATATACACATGTTTGCTATATAATTAACAAACAAATACACGAGACTTTCTGATTGGTTAATTGTTCTTTCCATTGATATATTAGAGTTTTGGGTTATAAGTGTTTCAATTGATTCAGAAAATTGTTGCATTATTTCTTACAGTGCCTTTTTCCTCATGCTTCCGATAATTCTAATCTATAACATTGTGCTAATGTTCATGGGATCGTTAATGTATACATACTACCGGATGTCGAACTGTGGTCCTTTTGAAGCTGGCTTTGTGACTTCTATGAATCAGGTAAGAATACAACACTTCTATATATGATTGGTGGATGACAAAGCAAACCAAAGCAGAAATAAAAGAATTTAAGACTTTGATTTGTAAATATCTAACTTCCAAAACTGTAACCTTGTGTGTCTTTTGTAGTTTTTTTACAACGCTTTTAGTGGAACACATCGGTACTAAACGTAAAGCAGTTTTTCAAAAGAAGTACAAATGCTAAAATGCTGTAGACACGGCGAAAGCGCCACACCACACTTTTGTTATGATATCGCAATAGATACTCGTGAACAGTAACTGTATCACTCCATTGTTTGCATTGTTTCTTACGAGTGCATTTGTGTTTTGCTGTAGAGGAAATGTTAATAAGCTTCATTTCTCCATTGATAATTTCTTATTGTCTGTATAGATGACGCCATATTTCGTGTTTGATGTTTTACGGACCCTGCCCGGGATGTCAGGTGTTTACGTCTCCTGTCTGTTCAGTGGATCCCTAAGGTATGACCATTTCCTCGATACTTCTAATCTTTTTAACGTCAGTAAGAAACGTCTCAATTATCAATCCACTGTTATACAAGGCGTCGTACTTCGTCGAATTTTGAATTAGGAGACAAGACTTAACTAGCATTTTTCCTTTACTATACATGTTTTCTTTCAGGTTATGTGTATCATTAAAACACACTTTTTATATACAAGAGAATATCATGTCAAAACACCGAGTGTCATATGTTGATTTGGTAACACTGATACCATTAACGATAAGTCTTTCAACTCATAAAATAACAATAACGAAAAACTACACATTAAGAATAGAGGTTGGTTGTAAAAATACAATAGTTATATACCTATTACCTTCAACATTTTCAATGTCAAGGTGAAAATTGTAATGTGAAAGTTGATTGTCTTAACATACCATTCTTGTTGCTACCCCTATATCAAACTGGTCGATTGAAACCTTGGTACATTTGATTAAGTTTATTTAAGAATTGATTTTTATTTATTCAATATTCATGAGGTCATAACAGCATTGAGTTTCTGAAAATATTCCATCAATAGCGGTAGCGAAATTCATCATATTTTGCTCATTTCTTATAACAACCGGAAAAAAAATCATGATATGTCGAATGCGAATGCTTCAATTCAACAGGTTCTCGGTTTTAATACATTACTAAACAGTTCAACTGCAGTGATAAGATCATCGTTGTTGTAAAATAATGTATTTTTCGCTAATGCTTTCGGTTATACATAATGTAAATTTTCAAAATGTGTTGCCATAAAGAGAAAAATGTTATTAATGTGATATAGAAATTCTTTGTAGCACATTATCGTCAGGACTAAACGCACTAGCAGCTAATACAGTCGAGGATGTCTTGCCACGCTCCTTTAGATCATCAAAAATATCTTTGGCAAAGATAGCTAAATTGACAGGTACAAAGTTAAATGTTATTTCAAAATGATAATGTAATGCACAACATAAGTTGTTATTATAAAAAAAGCTGTCTGCTTGTCATCTATTAGTCCATTTCTCATCCTCTCTTAAATCAAGTGTCCTCTCAGTTCAATCTGTTGTGTCTTTGATGTTAAATGAATATCTTATTTTTCGACATCTAGGAGATGGTGTGTTCCTATCTTAAGTAGGTGATAGTAATTACAGATTCATTCTTATATATATATTTATAATTTTCAGTTCTTATTTATGGTGTCTTCGCAATTGGTATTGCCTATACATTGCAGTATGTATCAGGTCCTATCACACAGGTTAGTGTCCTAATTATCACAAGTTTACCATAGCAGTTCTCAGTTCGCAGTTAAGCTATACATGTATAAATATGTACATTATATACATACCTAATTGGACAACTGTGTCAAATCGTATCCATCCAATTCATAAGGAGGTTAATTAGTTACAAAAAGGCGGCATGTTATAGAAATGACCACCAGCTAATCTCTAGGTATATAGTTTGGTCCACTCTTATCAAGCAGAACATTATATAAAAGTTTAATACAAATCAACCGAATATCTTAACCCAACAAGTATTAATAACAAAAATCGATAATATAGTTTTTGTTAATTTGATATTGTTTTTATAATTTAGCGATGAATTTACGGTACAGTTCGTCATGATTGCATTTACTGTTTATAGATTACACTCGCGATTTTTGGGGCCTGCGGTGGACCAATGGGCGGGTTGTTCTTCCTTGGAGGTCTATTTCCCAACGCAAACTGGCTGGTGATTATGTGTGATTTTTATCACAGAATAAATGCTATAAAATTGAATGAAGACCATTAACATATTTAAAAAAGGTTGAACACGAGTAGAGCCATTTATCCATCGGTAAATGCATTGGCTGAATATATGAATTAATAATCGCCTATCATTTATTCGAGCCTGAATGAACATTTGAGGATTTAGATTAACAACTATTGACACTCTGATTTGGTTAAATATATTTCAACACAGGGCGCCTTGGTGGGAAGTGTATCAGCTTTGGTGATAAACATGTGGATAGCTATAGGTGCGCAGTTATATGGCAGTGCTCCAGTTCGTCTGGAGCCGATTACAACCAGCGGATGTTTCGCTAACGATTCCTCAACATTTAACCCCTTGTCTTACCAAATATGGAACAACACCAACACAACCATGATGACAGACCTTAACGTCACCAATGTAGTATCAGATTTTGTAGATCCTTCCATGTATGTTGATGTGATGTTGATCCTTTTATTCTTTGTTCTTGATATTCAGTTTTATTCTATTGTAAAGACGTCAATTTTGGATTTTGTTAATTCTTTTACTGCCTTTCTCCTGGGTGAGTGATAATCTGTGTTAATTTTGTTGTTTATATGAATCTCTCATTTTGGATGAAAATTCAAGAACAAAATGACTTCAATGCAATGAATTGACAAACAAGTTTTTTACCGATTCCTCAAAGGAACCGACTAAAAAGATAAATCTACATTGTCTGTATTTTAAAAGATTTTTGAGAAGTTTTGAATTTATTGTATAAGTTTATTTACAAAATCGTCCCATAAAAGGACAAGTTACAATTATATTAGCAGTTGCTGAATGAGGGTGAAACAAGCAGGTAGTTAATGATTATAACTTATCTCCCCTTATTCTACCATGTCCTCGTAAGATTCCAGTATATTTGCTCTTATACACTGATTAAAGGTGGCTTTATCTACAATGGTGACATAATTTCTGTTCTCCTCTACGACAGATTTTCAATCTACAACATATCCTATTTATGGTATGGTTTCATCGGCTTTGTAGTGACAATTTTAATCGGAGTATTGGTCAGCTGCGCTACAGGTTATTTATATTTCTTATCATTGTAAATTCATGCACTAATGTTTAGTCATCAAGATTCATTTATTTCATTTCAAATTGTAAATATTATTTTTTAAAATAAACTTTAAGTGTTTACATACATCTCTACATAGTCCACATAATATACATTTTACATTAAGAAAATATTATTGTCATCAAATATCGTTTCTTGTTTCATTCCAATATAATAACTGTTCAGAAACATAGCTATAATGACTAGAGATATATTTGTCGTATTTGGTTTGATGTTCATTTTCCAACATAATGCTATACCTAATATTTGTTTGTGTCGTATGTACTAGCCCACTTTAAGAGGATTATTTCTTATCACAGGTTTCGATAGAGGAAACGTTGTTGACAGCAGTTTAATCTTCCCTTGCTGTCGGAGATTCTGGGGTTTGGAAGTTGACAGATTAACTATGATAGAAACTTACCAAATTACTTTGTTACCTAAAAAGGTGAGAGACAGTCAGATGGTATAGACGATTATTTTTATTGTAAGGTTTTTAGATTTTGCACTGTTCAGAATTCAAAACGTAAACGAAATTTCCACGCGTGTATTTTATAAAAAATTAAATAATACAAGCATTCTCCATTTTGTTGGAAAATTTCACCACTCTAATTGTGTTAAATATTCTTCAGTTTCCCTCTTTCAGTCTACAATAGTTTTTGTTATCTATAATAAGACACTTGAACCTATAATATCAAATTTCATTTTAGACATATCCTTTTGCCTTGTTTGTTTCAGGAATCACAAAATCAACATATACCAAAACAAGCTATTGTTTCACGAACGCCACCGTTTGATTTGCCATCACAACCAGAATAATGGGAATCAATATTCCTCGTTTATTGTGCATGTCTAAATCCGCTAATCGGCATGGGCTTATGTATTTACATGTTACTGTGGTAGAAGCTTCATATTTAATGCTATATATTATCTGCATTATTCATAAAGAAATATTTATATTTTCTTCAGTGTGTTTCAATGAAAAGAGTATACTTATCATATGGTAGAGAAAATATTTAAATAAAAGTCTCCTATCGTAAATTTGATTTCATTTTATCAACTCGTTTTCTTAAAGCAGATCCTTTGGTCACCATACCATGAAATTCAACTTCTCGTATGTAATCACCCAGTTTGTGCAAAATGAAAAGCGATCCGATCGGGAAATATGGTAATGTCAGCTGTAGGTCTTTTTTTTTTTTGTTCAACAACGTTTAACTTAGATTAAAGCTGATCTTGACCGTGCGAAACCTTCAGATCATTAGAAATCAAAACTAGATAATTAGATCTAGATTTAATATGGCCATTTATTATAGTAAACGACATTTGTTATTTGTTAAAATTTTATCATATAAATAGACCCAACAAATCTTGTATAAGCAAGGTGAAGCAAAATCGTCCCCAACCCAAAGCTATGACGTTCGTACTAGCTTGCCTTGGTGGAGGTCCGCTATAAATACATTTAAAGAATAAATGCGCTGACGCATCATTCATTACACCAGAAAAATAGCACGTGAGTAGTGATGATTTCCATTTACTCCTACCTATAGACATTATATGATATACATTTCGAATTGGAACTGGCTCCTTCTACAACGTTAAAACAAAATTATATCTCTATGATTTTGATTACGCCTTTGATACAATTTAGGGTTAGAGACAATAGAGCCACATACTGAATTAAACTGCGTTATACAGCTGTTTCGTTCTTCTCGGACACATCCTGAGAAGGGCCGTAATTGTGAAAGCTATGAGAATGATCAAAAGATGAAAATTCTACATCAACACGAGAAAGTGTATAAGCCATATAATTAAATAGATATCGCAATTTTTTTTATATCTTATTATTTTAAAATATGAATATTCTGAACCGTCTCACTATATCGAAAAAAAATTAACATTTGCAAATAGATTACGTACATGATGTCTGTCTATAGAGTGTAGACTAAATACCGCATTGTTTTGTATTTGATTTAATAATAGTGTCTTCTTTCGTGGCCAAATGCTCCGGCCCTCTCACCTATCTCATAAACACCAATCTCCACGCGTAGGGAGTGCAATCAACAAATCAGGAATCTCTTCTCCCTATGTTACATAGTCAAACGCTCTGAATTATCCAAGGGAAAATGTCAAAGAGGATTATCACCTCATTGGACAGGATGAAAGGCAGGAATTTCACTACTGCGCTACACGATAAGGCCAAATACAAAACTGCGTTTCCAGTTTCCCTACTACACTTATATGTTAGCTACCTACCTTTACCTTGTAATATTGATAATAACGGAACAGTATGAATTTCTAAACGAAAGGCAACACATAAAGGAACATCCCAACTATCTCGTTTAGAACTAATAAAAACTCGAACATGCATACTCCCATAGTTCACCAAAATCTACAGTACACTTATCAATCCAAACTTGCAACTTCGGTAAAACGTCAGGCCAAGATGCACCTGTGTCTGCCTATGAAAATGATACATACTGGATATCGGCCGTGATAGTTCATCTTGATGTCTTCATGCCTTTTTAGAAACAAAAGCCGTTTCCTTGAAATATTTAACAATTCCATCTTCTGCATGGTAGCTATATCAGTTAGAATAAAACCAATATATGTTACACAGAGACCCCACTCCTTCCTGGCATGTTCCCTACTCCTCAACCATGTGGACACTTAGGATGATATATGCTTACCATCTCTGCGCTCATCATTAATCAGGGGAAATATTTCACGGGAAAGGGAGATAAACCAGTAGAAAAAAATACTACTTAATGACTGGTAGCCAGTCTAGCATCTTTTCTGAATTTGATAACTTTGCTTTTCCTTGGCAGATATTTAGATATTGACAAATACTTCTAACTTTTTTTCCTTTCATTTGATGCACCCACAGAATCACATCTCATAATACACATATACAAGACTGAAACACACTTGACGCATGGGTATAAACTATTCCCTAATCAACTTGCCAGTGTCAAAAATCAAGCAATCAAGTTTTTAAAAACAATCTAGAAGCTAGACCCTGATGGTTTCAAGGAGAAACTAGAAACACAGAATTTTAATTTTTTGGCCTGACCGAAGTCAATTCTGCTGAACACAATATGGAAATGTATATATTCTTAATCATCGCAACATCTCGACTTATACGGTCATGATAACAAATCTTAATATATTCAGGTCATATATATGTGGGTGTTGATCTTACGCTCCGCTGAAGTGATCAACAGCATTTATAACTAAAAGTGCGAATAAACAGCCACGTAGTCAATAACGATGGAGTTGGAGTTTGTCCCTATCCCGACACCACACTTTGCTGACTTTATCGTTATAGCCATTTTCCTCTGTATTTGTTTGGGAATCGGTATTTACTATGGCTATAAAACAAACAAGAAACCGACTTTGGAAAATTACTTCCTTGGAAACAGACGACTTTTACTTTTACCGGTAACAATGTCCTTATTTGTGACTTTTGCATCAGCGATTTCACTCATGGGTACTCCGGCCGATACCTACGTTTACGGAATCCGCGGAGCCTATATTGGCCTGGGTTATCTCATATCCGTATTGCTAGCAAGTATTACCATAGTTCCTCTGCTGTATCCTCTACGGCTCACCAGTACGTACGAGGTAAGTATGAAGATGAAGATAATTTTTCCTTCTAACAGAAATTTTGTAAATAATAATAAAATGAAGTTCTCTTTTAATTCCACATGTGACCTAAAATCTGATCAATGAAGACCACACTGTGTTTAGGACATTATTTCATTACTTTCCCGATCTATGAAGACCACACTGTGTTTAGGACATTATTTTATTACTTTCCCGATCAATGAAGACCACACTGTATTTAGGATACTATTTCATTACTTTCCCGATCTATGAAGACCACACTGTGTTTAGGACATTATTTCATTACTTTCCCGATCTATGAAGACCACACTGTGTTTAGGATACTATTTCATTACTTTCCCGATCAATGAAGACCACACTGTATTTAGGACACTATTTCAATACTTTCCCGATCTATGAAGACCACACTGTGTTTAGGATACTATTTCATTACTTTCCCGATCAATGAAGACCACACTGTGTTTAGGACATTATTTTATTACTTTCCCGATCTATGAAGACCACACTGTGTTTAGGACACTATTTTATTACTTTCCGATCAATGAAGACCACACTGTATTTAGGACACCGTTTCATGATTTTTTCATTTATTTATTTATCTTATTTTTTTTCATTACGTGTATTTGTTAATTTACAGTATCTTCAACTTCGTTTTCGTTCAAAAGGCGTTCGTACTTTAGGAACAATGATTGGGATGCTTCAGACGGTATGTTGACATACCCTTATATATATGAAAATATCAGTATTGAATTAAATATTGAAATGTTGTCTACATTCATAACATGATGTACATCCAGTAAATACATATTTAATACATTCACACTTAATACTTTATTCTAAATAGGAATATCAATAGGACTCAGCTTTGCGCTTATTAGTATATATAAGTAGATGGTGGTCTACAGGAAACTGCTTACAACTTACATTATTACATAATTACTCATAATATAACTGACATTATCAATTACACAAACTCTCGTATTCTACATATAATATCTATTAAAATACCTACCCCAACTATGGGTCGGGGGTTTGCCAGACAGAAAAAGGTCTGCGCGTGGACTAATTGTAGATCTTGCATCAATCTGTAAAATACATGTAAAGGTATATTTCACCTGTTATTTTAAATAACTTCAATCCATATATACGTACATGAGATCACAATTACGTCACTTTATGAAAAGCACCGTTTCACACATTAATTAACTTTACTTCATCTGAATCCTCAATTATAAAATGAATCAATAATTTACAAAACCCAATTACGAGAGCAGCTAGACTGAGACTTTATCGTACATACCAAATATCGGAAGAACCAATTACAAGGCCCAAGATTCAAATCTTGCGGACACAGGTCTAGATCTACTATACGTCCGCTCTCCAGGTCTGCACACAAAGGACTAATAAAAAACCGCGCCAAACATAAAGACAACCGGACTGACCACTGACCAAAACGAGGTAATACCTATATTAGGAATAATACCCATATATGGACAACACAAAGTAAGACACGTGACATCAAACACTTACAAGGACAGTACAGGTAGACGGAACAGTGGCCGCACGCAACACAGTATTACATAACAGTACAACGAACGCAGCGCAAAAATTCAATTAATTAAAATATAGTTAAACAGTGTCACTAATTAAAACATCAATATTTGCACATTGTTACATTATTTTCTGGTGATTTTAAAATTCACGTCTTATCTTCAGTCGGTGGTTTTACAATTAAAATCTTCCAGACTGAAGAAAAATACTGTTTAGCTATGTTAGTTGTAGTACTATCATTAGTTTGCTGTGAACTTTTCTTATTATGGAAATATATATATATGGCGGATGTCTTTTGTTATCTTATTGACAATGCAGATATCCTCATTTAAGCAATACATTGACTATATTTTTATTTATCGTTTTTTCCCGCAAAAAAGCTAATAATGAAATGACATCAGAACAAATAATTGTTTACAAGTTGATGATCCGTTATAAGCAACGGATTTATGTCCAGAAGTCAACGACAGGCAAAACAAAAAATATTGGTTGTTGATGTTTTATTTAGCTCTATAATATCTAGCTCTAAATTCATGTCAAAAGTTGTCTTTACCGTGTGCGTTTTGTACAGTCTGTGAGAGTGCAGGTGTTAGACACTGCTGGTGTAGTTTACGTGGTTCTACTAGATCTTATTTTTAATTCATGTTAAAAGTTGTTTTTACTTGTGTGTATTTGTACAATCTTCGAGATTGGTAGACACTACTTGTGGACGTTTAGTCCACGCGGCGGTGTCATAACTTGCATTTCCCCTTTTAATTAATACGAATAATTTCATGGCGTATTATATACACATGTACTTTGCGTTGTTCAAGAATTATTTGATATATGAAAATTACGAAATCTATTGAATGTTGTGGTACACCTTCTGCCTAGATTGTTCACTTTTCTTGCAAACATTTGTTAAATTCCCGAGTTGCTTTGATTTCGACCTTTATGTCTTTAGCATCACTGTCTAGTCATACAAGAGTGACACAGATTAATTCATTATTTAGCTCTGCTGTAACTGATTCTGAATTAGTATTTAGAGGTGTTTTAGTCTTTTGTGCCTTTGTACAATTTTCGATATTACATATGGAAGTGACTGCATGCCGAATTAAAATACTCCAAGTAATGACCATGTTCAGAATATGCATATGTGTCTGACGTCCATCACAGCTTCTTGATGTATGAAATTTGTTGAATTGTGGGAATCTAAAGCACCTCTCAATCTAGATTTTGACATTTCGTTCTATCACTTTTGGAGTTTGGCTATATGGAAATAGAAAATGAAATCATCCCTCTGATCGTAAAGCTTGGTGGAAAGCTATGTTGTATATTGTATATTGTTAAATATTGAAATAACTAGTTATTTCCCATAGGTATACAAATAGTCTGTAGGAAGATCTTAACACCAAACTCGAAGAAGATTTCATCAACCAGAAACTCGATCACTTTAATCATTTTAATTTTGTGTTGTGTTCTTAAAACGACATAAGATTTGTCTTTCAAACGTATAATTTTGCAGGTTGCCTATATGGGAGTAACACTTTATGCACCAGCTTTGGCCCTTCAAATTGGTATGTTGACTTTAGGTTTATACATTGACATCAAAAGGAAAAGGTTGTGGTGTATTTCAAATTGTTAAATCCGCGGCAAGAGATGAAATATTTTATATTGGATAGCACATTATTACAGTAAATGTGAACGTTATTTGATGAATACACATTTAACTTATATAAATTTAACATCGAATCACATGTCTTTTTTAATCGGGCAATCTTGCACTAGGAATCCTGATTGAACGTGTGTAGTAATAAGGACCACTTTCCTTGATTTGAAGAAAAACGGAATACAAACTGGAACAAAATTACTAAAAAAGAGACCATTACATTTCTAGAATATATCAATCATGATGTGCGTCTAAAATGTCGATATGAAGGCCATGTATTAAAGTACGGGATTATGTATCTCTTCAATATCTGTCTGTAGTCAGTGGTCAGAATATAATTGATCTTGTTTCAGAGTAATCAGAGGATAGTCAAACATGGATGGTTAACAATTACCAACAGTGTACGCTAATGCAATCTAGAGTAAGACCACCGATGCGCTTTGCAAGTTGACTATGTTAATGTAGATTTCAGAGAGAATGTCTTTGACTTCTTGCAATGCAAAATATATCCGGATTTAGATGCATTCACTTGAAAACAAGTCGATAATAGCGTGCCAAGAATGGAAAGAAAGACAGATTGTTTCTTTATTGACCGTAGCAGGTCTATTTATTATCTCATCTTTAACTGCTAGGCTATGTTTTCAGCTATTAATAATAGACTTGTACAATGGGCACGTTCTTACGAATGAAACAAATGTCATTTATTTTACTTTAACAGAAAGATTTACACTTTTGTTCATTTCAACTTCCTTGTATTGACAATGAAACTAGCTGATTTGTGGTTGTAGTTGCTGGAATACCTCTATGGCTGTCAGTTGTTGTTATAGGCCTTGTTGGCACCATATACACATCCATAGTAAGTATGTCCGTGCATTTCTCCTTCTTTTTATGAATCATAGTGTTGACACCTTCACAGAAAATGTAACTGATGTAAATAGGTACAAAAATATCGCAAAATTAGAAATTGCAGGTGAAAATAATAATCCGAACCCTTTGGGCGTCTCATTTTAGGGAGGAATCAAGAGTGTAGTGTGGACGGACGCGTTTCAGTTTATGATGATTTTCATTGGCTTGGCGGCGGTAACCATAAAGGTAATGTGTTGTTTATTAATTATATCAACTTGTAACCGTTCAGTTATATACAGATAATTATAACCAACCATCACGAAAACTCCATGTGACCAACCTGCATGTTCAAATGTACAGGTAAAGTAGTCGCCTTTACAAATAAAGTGCGAGGTCGCACGTGCTTAGCGCTGTTTTGTGACGTCCTATCACAATGCAGGTGTGAAGTCATTCAAGGGCTCGCAGTGAAGTCTGAATAGGATGCGTGTTTTCATGGAACCACGATAGCTCAGTCGGTATAGCGTTGGTCTACTTACAATCAGGAGCAGCTTTGTGGTGTTCGACAATATCTACCCGTGACGGATGTGTTTGTCAGCAAGCTGAGAAACGGTCTTTGATGTCGTTGAGGAATATTTAATATTTCTTTCTATTTACCTCGATATGCCTTACATACATCCAAGGTGTCAAAATATAGGTCGTTAGCATTACTGACGGGTCTGTACAAGGTGTGGTTTAATTCATTATTTGAGCATATTGTCTTAATAATTTTAATTGCAAATGGCTTAAATGTTTCAGTTATATTGGGAATTTCCTTTGTGAGTCAATAACCAAACTGATACATAAAAAAATGGAAAGTTCATTAATATACACAAACAGTAAGTAACACGGTTTTTCTTTTTATACCTTACAGGGCAGCATCCTTATGGGAACGCGGCATTCAATCTCCAGGATCGCAATGGAGGGCAAACGACTCGAGTTTTTCAAGTACACAGCTTTTTACAGTCCTGTATATTATGTTTCAGAATGAAGACATTTTTCATCTTCATATGTATAAGTTTCCCATAAATAAACACTTTAAATGACAGATATTACAGGTATTACTTTAAAATTATTTTCCATCGATTTCAGATGCACCTAAAATAGACTCGTTCCTTTGGCAAATTTATCATTGTTAAAACCTTTAAAATAAAACATATTTGCATATGAATTAATTCAGAACATGTTTAATCAGTGTGTGCTGTTAACGGAACACTCTTACTTTGTAGTTTTGACCCGGACCCTAGAGCTCGACACACCGTTTGGGGAATGGCGATCGGCCTTACATTTGCTTTCCTTCCTAATTGGTGTAACCAGTCGAGTGTCCAGAGGGTCTCGTCCCTCCGTACTCTCAGAGCAGCTAAGATGTAAGCATTCACTTTTTAATGAAATTATCGGTAGCTTTCATGGTTGAAATTGAATAGTTATAAGAATGCAGCTGCTTACTGCATACCGCGAGTTCACTTTACTAAAACAACTTCGATTTAAAGTTGTCGCTTGAAACAGTAGAACGAAATTATGCTACAAAGTGGCCATATACTGGTATCGTCTTATCCAGACTACAATGTATCTAGACTGAGGACATTATGATAACAATCCAAACGATATATTATGCGAACTTATCTTATTTTCATATAGGGCATTTTGGCTTATTGTGCCTGTAGTGATAACGTACTATGCAGTTCTAGGATTTTTGGGAATCCTCTTGTACTCATATTACAACACTGTAAAATGTGATCCTGTTCAAGCGGGATTTCTAAGCAACTTTAATCAGGTAATATTAATAATCATTTTCATATTCCTCTCTCTTGATAATAAATCGTCCAAGACTTTAAATCTTGATATTTAAAGATTGTACAAAAGACACACATGTGAATAGCTGTATGATGTAACATCACTGACGAGCCATAGAAGGACGAAACAGCTGTATGATGTAGCATCACTGACGAGTCCTAGAAGGACGAAACAGCTGTATGATGTAGCTTGACAAATTATTTGGATAGACTGTGTCTAATTTCAATTTTTTTTGAAATGTTGTCTTATACATTATTTTTGCCAGCTATGATTGTGAAACTTGGTAAAATAAGCACTTCTTTTTATCGATAATTTCCCAACATAGCATTGAATGTTCTGTACTTTATGCTTTTTGTATCATAACATGAAAATATTGTTTTCGGCGTTCGTAGTTTTCCATATCTACTCTTATGCCTTTGTTTGCATTTGCAGCTTATGCCGTATTTCGTCCTCGATGTGTTGCGGTCACTGCCGGGTATTCCTGGAATCTACATTAGTTGTTTATTTAGCGGCGCTCTCAGGTGATATGTTTATCTAGCAACGCTCTCAGGTGATATAATTATCTAGTGGTTCTCTCAGGAGATATGTTTATCTAGCGGCTTTCTCAGGTTATAGGTGTATCTAGCTGCTCTCTTAGGTGATAGGTGTGTCTAGCGGCACTCTCAGATGATTAGGGTATCTGGTGGCTCTCCCATGTGATATGTTTATCGAGCAACGTTCTCGGGTGATATGTATATCTAGAAGTACTTTTAGGTGATATGTGTATCTGGTGGCACTCTCAGGGGATATGTGTATCTGTTGGCTCTCTCAGGTGACATGTTTATCTGTTGGCTCTCTCAGGTGATATGTTTACCTGGTGGTGCTCCCATGTGATGTGTGTATCTGGTGGCTCTCTTAGGTGATATGTTTATCTGGTGGCTCTCCCATGTGATATGATTATCGAGCAACGCTCTCAGGTGACATATGTATCTGGTGGCTCTCTCAGGTGATATGTTTATCTAGTGGCTTTCTCAGGTGATATGTTTATCTGGTGGTGCTCTCATGTGATATGTGTATCTGGTGGCTCTCTCAGGTGATATGTTTATCTGGTGGCTCTCTTAGGTGATATGTTTATCTGGTGGCTCTCTCAGGTGATATGTGGTGGCTCTCTCAGGTGATATGTTTATATAGTGGTGCTCTCAGGTGATATGTTTATCTGGTGGCTCTCTCAGGTGATATGTTTATCTGGTGGCTCTCTCAGGTGATATGTTTATCTGGTGGTGCTCTCATGTAATATGTGTATCTGGTGGTGCTCTCATATGATATGTGTACCTGGGGGCTCTCTCATGTGATATGTTTATCTGGTGGCTCTCTCAGGTGATATGTGTATCTGGTGGCTCTCTCAGGTGATATGTTTATCTGGTGGTACTCTCAGGTGATATGTTTATCTGGTGGCTCTCTCAGGTGATATGTTTATCTGGTGGTGCTCTCATGTAATATGTGTATCTGGTGGTCTCTCAGCTCTCATATGATATGTGTATCCTCTCATGGTGTATCTGGTGGTGCTCTCTCCTGGGGGCTCTCTCATGTGATATGTTTATCTGGTGGCTCTCTCAGGTGATATGTTTATCTGGTGGCTCTCTCATGTGATATGCTTATCTGGTGGCTCTCTCAGGTGATATGTTTATCTGGTGGTGCTCTCATGTGATATGTGTATCTGGTGGCTCTCTCAGGTGATATGTTTATCTGGTGGCTCTCTCAGGTGATATGTTTATCTGGTGGCTCTCTCAGGTGATATATGTATCTGGTGGCTCTCTCAGGTGATATGTGTATCTGGTGGCTCTCTCGTTGATATGTGTATCTGGTGGTACTCTCAGGTGATATGTTTATCTGGTGGCTCTCTCAGGTGATATGTGTATCTGGTGGCTCTCTCAGGTGATATGTTTATCTGGTGGTACTCTCATGTGATATGTGTACCTGGGGGCTCTCTCATGTGATATGTGTATCTGGTGGCTCTCTCATGTGATATGTTTATCTGGTGGCTCTCTCATGTGATATGCTTATCTGGTGGCTCTCTCAGGTGATATGTTTATCTGGTGGTGCTCTCATGTGATATGTGTATCTGGTGGCTCTCTCAGGTGATATGTTTATCTGGTGGCTCTCTCAGGTGATATGTTTATCTGGTGGCTCTCTCAGGTGATATGTTTATCTGGTGGCTCTCTCAGGTGATATATGTATCTGGTGGCTCTCTCAGGTGATATGTGTATCTGGTGGCTCTCTCGTTGATATGTGTATCTGGTGGCTCTCTCAGGTGATTAGTGTATCCGGCGGCGCTCTTAGGTGATGATGGAGACCCAATATAATAGTGCTACACGGTCTGTGACACAAGGACTATCGTAATATTATTATGACCAAACAAAGCGATAGTATTTCAGAGTCAGAGTTGTAAATGTGTAAAATGGATATATTACTAACTATCAGCAATGATGTTCTTTCATTCAGTACTCTATCATCTGGAATCAACGCTTTAGCTGCCAACACCGTGGAAGACATTCTTGGAGACTACGTTAAGAAATCAAAATTTATTTCGCAGACATTCGCGGCAAAGACATTTGGTGAGCATTAATTGAATAAAAAGAATAATAAGCAGTTTATGTAATTTTATGAATTTTCTTAAATTCCAATTTCATTATAAATGTAGTATACGAAAACAAGCGATGTGATAACTGTATAGATATAGGCATACCATTTAAACGCATTCTTGGAAAAGTTTCCATTTACAGTTACAGAAAGTCATAATTTTGTTCTTTGTTTTTTATTCAATTATTTTACATTATTTCCTTGTGTTTGCTTGCTCAAATATACAGTATTTGAAAACATGATTTCAATTGTGATGCAAAATAGTTAATTCAGATAAAACACCTTTTTATTCGGCTTAGTTTTGGGATGTTGGAATCGTAAAGCGTGTTTTTTAAACTTCTGAAATGTTTTTAAAGTAATACTGTTTCGTGTTTTCAAATTAAAATTTTCGAGGTTTTAATACAGATAAAAAAGTAAAAATGGTGTTTCTTCTGAGTCATGAAACTGATAACCAATTTCACCGATTGATTCACAAAATGTTTTCTTGTAAACTTCAAACAAGGATGGTGCCATTTCAAATTTATTACAAAATAACGTTCAAATCTGAAAATTATTAATATGTACATCTGCTTTCTCCTTGAATATTTCTGTGTCTAAGAACTCAACCAAAATTAAACACAGAATGGATCATCACGTTAAATACATGTTTATTAGATTACATTACATACAACATATAAAACAAAAAAGGAGCAAATGTTTTTATTCGTGAAATGTTTGATTTGGACGTTTTCTTGCCTTTTTAGTGTTTCTGTACGGACTGACGGTCATTGGACTAGCGTATGCCATTAACTCAATGTCAGGATCTATCACACAGGTAACTCAGGAATCGATGAAATCATTCACGTACGCCATTCCGATTGTGTTATCTGATATAGGATATTTCTTTTTCCTCACACTTCCTGTTGCTTCTCAAATACATGTATATTTCTAAAATACTGATCTTCATTTGACTCGGAACATAATTATTGCGTCAACACTATAATTAGTAGCTTTGAATGATACTAAAAATTTGAGAACGTGACATTAGTTACTTGGATTGACTAAGAAGGTGTCATCGATGGCGCAAAAGACGCTAATACTTCCGGAACTATTCTCTTTTGTTTTCTTGTGAATTTGTCTTTTGTTCAAATTGTGCCCTAGTTTAATCGACTTTGAATTAAGATTTTGTTGAAAATGTCGATATACCCTTTGTTGTGTTCGCAATGACGTGTGTTAAATGTTGAAATTGTAAAAAATATCATCTTCATTTTAACAATTGTGTGATGTGTTGTGACGGATTCTAGAAATGCATTAAAACAGTTTTAATGTTTGCTATTTCTGACAGATGGCGCTCTCAATATTTGGGGCGTGTGGAGGACCTTTAGCTGGACTTTTTTTCCTCGGTGGAATGATACCGAAAGCCAACTGGAAAGTGCGTACAATAGAATCAGAGAATGTATAAGACGTACAATTCGTCCAGTTATAAACAATGTAGATCTAGCCTATCTATTATTACTTGTGGTTATAGACCTTGGTTTTGTTCATCAGTTTAATTATTTCAGGGAGCCACTTTTGGCAGTTTACTGAGTCTTGGGTTCAATATCTGGATGACAGTATCCTCACAAATGTACGGATCAAAACCTGCAGCATTAATACGGAATCCCACGAGTGGGTGTTTCCATGACAACGCTACAGCCACAATGAACAATTTGTCTATAAATAGCTTTAATACTACATTGCATACCCCTCCGTACGATATAAATGGATATACAAATGATTCCTCCAACAGTCTAGGCAGGTAAGAACAAGCTTTTTAATTTTAGAAACTTACTCTATCCTTCATAATACTATTAATCGCATGGAGTTGTATCACGTTACTATTTTGTTTATCTGTCTCACCGTTATCTCCTTTTCAAAATATAACAGATTATCAATGACTCTATATTAACTACACATTTAAAATACTGATATGAATATACTTCTGAAATCAACAGTGTGTACTAATAGTGTCAGTTCATAGTGATAATGTTTGTTTCACGAGTTATGCTTGTCAAAGTGAATTTACTTTTACAGTCCAGATGAAGGTTTTTTCCTGTATAACATCTCTTATGTCTGGTACGGTTTAATCGGATTCTTGTTGACCCTGATGCTAGGTACCGTCGTCAGCCTGTGTACGGGTACGTGTAATAGTCATTTTAACATAGTCAAACCTGTCACATGGAAAGAAAGTGATTCAACAAAATGTGTTGGAAACAACCAACAATTTGATCGCTATAGACTTAAATGTTGATTGCGATTATGTCACATTTGTGCCTAAGAAATCAAAGTGTCTTCTGAACTTTGGTTGTGTTCCATCGTTTTGGTACCGGTGTTATACCACTCAACCAGGGATATTTTTTGAAATTCAAATTCTTCTCAGTAATCAAGCTGTCTAACAATGTCGACAGATTTTGAAGGAGATGATGATGACCTTACTCTTCAAGATTCTATATACTGGTACCATTTCTTTTTCACTCAAAGGTGGCGACGGTGGTGAGCCCGTCGAACCACGCCTCATCTTCCCTATATGTAGAAGGATGTGTGGAGTGGCATCAAGATACAAATATGATCTGGCTGAAGAAATGGTAGGCAAAACAAAGCAATCAAACAGAAGAAAAACTACACCAATTAGAGTTTCTCAATTATTGTTTAGCACTTAAAACAACACTAGTTGTATTGTAACAAATCAGGACATATATTGGCAATCTTATTGAAATACACTGGTATTCGAAGTTAAAGAAAGTTGTTGCAAGGAAAATACCTATTGTAATAATTGTCCGTAATCAATGCTGTTTGTTCTGCTTTGTAGATCATTGATCCGGTTACGCCGGAAGGCGAGGGACCTCCTATCGGTTTCCATCCTGACGATAAAAGTGTTGCAGATCTATGACAGATATATGGTAGTAGACATTATACCTAGATCAATATATCTCTGCGGAGACGATGTGATCCTGTGTTGTTTGTCGGGAAAATGCTTTAACCAGCCAAAGCATATTGAAACAAATCCGCTCTCGATAATCTGTTTGTATTGCTTACAATAGAAATTGAAAACTGAACATGAATCAAGCGTCCTTTTAACAACGATATGAAAGGATATCTCATCACGTGTTTCTCATTGAAAACACGGAAAATTTATATATAAAGAGCAGGACTCGTTTTTCTGGCTATGCTATCAGATAAATTATGTTCAATCCTTTCTACAACAAATAAATGGTTGTCATTTAATTGAAAAATGCATCTATTAATCATTGCAACTGCATATGGAACAACATGTAATTTTTTTTATTCATTTTTTTTTCAATTATTGTACAGCATTTAACAAAGTAAAACACATTTAATATAAAAAAGGATCCACGATCGTTTAATCGCCATCTTCAAAATACACTGTAAATGGAATAAAGACTGTAAATGGGCTACAGAATGACAGCTCCTGTCTTCTCATTGCTATTGGCTATTAGTGATTTTTTCCCAGTGTTGACTTGTAAATCTACCTAGTGTTAAACAGACTAGAACACCTATCTCATTTTATCAGGGCTAACACACTGTTAGCGTGAATTAGGTCAGACAAGTATAGTTAGGTCAGAAAAGTATAGCTAGTCCGAACGAAATTTATTATAACATAATTTTAACTATCAACAATATCCTCTAGGGTTTCAAACTTTAGGCCCTCAGCATCACTGACTAGTCAAAGGAGGACGAAACAGCTGTGTGATGAAGTTTACATTATTAATTTGTTCTTCTCTAATTATATATTTCCTAAACAGAGTGTCTTTTGTATAATCAACTTAGCGATAACCAAAAAAAATTTTTAAAATGTATATTTATTTATTTAATTTTCATGACATATACATTGTCTATACTTAAGACGACATGAATACAATAGCCTATTATACATGTGTTGTTACAGCATTGCTTACGGTTGTGAATCCGAAAAACCTGGTGTTCGAGTTAGAGTTCATAAACATTGATCATGTATGTGGATTACAGACAGGAGGAATGTGGCCAAAGAATGAGTAGGTACATTAAAGCCAAAAAATGAAATAAGATATTACACTTTTGTAAGAGGAACTTTATCTTTTTTTAGAAGGTAAGTCTTATTCTAATTCTACTAAAGTTACTGAAGTGTAAAGATAAGATATGAGAAATTTACACCCGCGTGCTGAAATGAAAAGAGGTTAGCAATATAGATAATCACATCTTTTAGTACATTGCATGTTCGGATAACAGAAATAAAGTCACTCCGTTTGAACAGGATTACAATCTACATGGTGTTACAAGTCACTTCCTTCAACCGAAACCTCAATCGTGATTATGTTCAACTATCTCTTTTAAACCTATAACTTCTGCGTTCACTTGAGCGAATCGAAATTTCTTAATCCTTTTTGAAAGATTTTTTAAAATCACTTTACGCCTGTCAACAAGGCTGCACACAATTTAAATATATATACTTTACGCAAACTTAATCGCCTGGTAAGGAATGCAATTTTGTATTGAAATCATATTTGTTTACTAGATAAAGCTTAACAATTCATGTATACACAGAAATTATGAAATATGGCTTCCTACAGTGCTGTATAATACGATGGGTCAATCGCATAATAATCATGACGTCATATACATAAACATATGTAATGATATTGCAAATTAAGTCTTGAAATATTCAAAACTCTCGTGTAAGCATGCTTCTCCAAAAAATAGGACCATGGTCCTCTTCTGCTGCTTTTGATAAACGTCTTTATCAATTTTTATGAAGCTAGTATTAGTTTCGGAAACAGATAGGCAATTCAAATGACATTCTATATATATAGGGTCTTAAATCAGTTTTCACGCTTATTGGAAAGAAGAGAAAGACACAGAGAAATAGAATATTCGATACGTAAAGACTCCTATCGAAAGATGTTTATCTTCCAAGCACCTCTTCAATGCTGTTATGACCCAGCTCCAGAGTATTGTATACTATTCTGTTACTACGTTAATTAATTACGGAATTCTGTGGTCTGCGGAGAAGTAAATCGGTTGGCAATATGAAGATAAATCTGACAAGCTTGGATTATTGTGAAGCCCCTAGTTCAAGGCATATATATAAGCGTTAAGGTACTGGTCTAATCATATCTTCACATCTTTTATATCCAGATCCAATCAAAAGAACACCCCCTCCACCTCATTTCTTTAAGGCTATATCTTCTAAAACGCCTGAAGCTGTCAGATCATCCGTTTATGTCCAGCCGAACTATAACCACTGTGCATCACATTGACAACATAAATAATGACTGGTTATCCCTCATATACGTATTAACGTTACCAAGAAACCATTCAAGGGACAGGAATTAAAAATACGAGATGATAAATACAGACGAGGACGGAGACATCCCAAAATCTTTTATAACATGTATCAATATTACATGATGTATATCTTAGATAAGTTTTGGTAGATATGGTAAATAATTTATCATTTCTTTATTGTTACATACATGTATAACATCATCTAAATCATCGCGCCCAGTGCGGTTCTATCATGTAGTCACGGTATCTGATTATAAGGGTTTGGATAGATTTATGAAAATGTACATATCAGCTGATATAAAGATTTTATTTTAACTCGTTTATTACTTTTGCTTCAGAAATCCTGATGCACAAATATTACAATATGAAATAGCATTTATTGCTTCATGAACACAAAGTGAAAATGATAAAGATGTTTTAACTAAAATGAAATTGATATCTATCAAGATAAATAAAATAAATGTGAAATGAAAAGATATTTATGAATAAAAAGGAACAAAGAGAAATCATATCACCATGACAACACCATCATATTACCGGTGTATGCAGAAGTAAATCATATCGCTATGACAACCCTGATATAACATCACCATGGAAACACAAACATATCGTCAGTGTATACAGAAGAAAATCATATCACCATGACAAGCCTAACATCACCATGACAACCATAACCTATTGTTAGTGTATACAAAAAGAAACTTATATCACCATAACACCCATTACAAATCATCATTGTATACAGAGATAAATCTGATCACCATGACAACCTTAACATATCGTCATTGTATACAGAGAGTAATCTGATCACCATGACAACCCTAACATATCATTATTGTATACAGAGAGAAATCTGATCACCATGACAACCCTAACATATCATCATTGTATACAGAGAGAAATCTTATCACCATGACAACCCTAACATATCGTCAATGTATACAGAGAGTAATCTGATCACCATGACAACCCTAACATATCGTCAATGTATACAGAGAGAAATCTGACCACCATGACAACCTTAACATATCGTCAATGTATACAGAGAGTAATCTGATCACCATGACAACCCTAACATATCGTCATTGTATACAGAGAGTAATCTGATCACCATGACAACCCTAACATATCGTCAATGTATACAGAGAGTAATCTGATCACCATGACAACCCTAACATATCGTCATTGTATACAGAGAGAAATCTTATCACCATGACAACCCTAACATATCATCATTGTATACAGAGAGTAATCTGATCACCATGACAACCCTAACATATCATCATTGTATACAGAGAGTAATTGTATACAGAGAGTAATATGATCACCATGACAACCCTAACATATCATCATTGTATACAGAGAGAAATCTGATCACCATGACAACCCTAACATATCGTCATTGTATACAGAGAGAACTCTTATCACCATGACAACCCTAACATATCGTCAATGTATACAGAGAGTAATCTGATCACCATGACAACCCTAACATATCATCATTGTATACAGAGAGTAATCTGACCACCATGACAACCCTAACATATCATCATTGTATACAGAGAGAAATCTGATCACCATGACAACCCTAACATATCGTCATTGTATACAGAGAGAAATCTGATCACCATGACAACCCTAACATATCGTCAATGTATACAGAGATAAATCTTATCACCATGACAACCCTAACATATCGTCATTGTATACAGAGAGTAATCTGATCACCATGACAACCCTTACATATCGTCAATGTATACAGAGAGTAATCTGATCACCATGACAACCCTTACATATCATCATTGTATACAGAGAGTAATCTGATCACCATGACAACCCTTACATATCGTCATTGTATACAGAGAGTAATCTGATCACCATGACAACCCTTACATATCATCATTGTATACAGAGAATAATCTGATCACCATGACAACCATAACATATCGTCATTGTATACAGAGAGTAATCTGATCACCATGACAACCCTTACATATCATCATTGTATACAGAGAGTAATATGTTCACCATGACAACCCTAACATATCATCATTGTATACAGAGAGAACTCTTATCACCATGACAACCCTAACATATCGTCATTGTATACAGAGAGAAATCACCATGACAACCCTATCACCATGACACACAACCCTAACATATCGTCATTGTATACAGAGAGAAATCTGATCACCATGACAACCCTAACATATCATCATTGTATACAGAGAGTAATCTGATCACCATGACAACCCTAACATATCATCATTGTATACAGAGAGTAATCTGATCACCATGACAACCCTAACATATCATCATTGTATACAGAGAGTAATCTGATCACCATGACAACCCTAACATATCATCATTGTATACAGAGAGTAATCTGATCACCATGACAACCCTAACATATCGTCATTGTATACAGAGAGTAATCTGATCACCATGACAACCCTAACATATCGTCATTGTATACAGAGAGTAATCTGATCACCATGACAACCCTAACATATCATCATTGTATACAGAGAGTAATCTGATCACCATGACAACCCTAACATATCATCATTGTATACAGAGAGTAATCTGATCACCATGACAACCCTAACATATCGTCATTGTATACAGAGAGTAATCTGATCACCATGACAACCCTAACATATCATCATTGTATACAGAGATAAATCTTATCACAATGCCAACCCTAACATATTGTCAATGTACACAGAAGGAATTCATATCACCATGACAATCCTAACATATCATTCATGTACACAGAAGGAATTCATATCACCATGACAATCCTAACATATCATTCATGTACACAGAAGGAATTCATATCACCACGACAACCCTAACATACCGTCAATGTACACAGAAGGAATTCATATCACCATGACAACCTTAACATATCGCCAGTGAATAAAGAAGCTGTAATCGATATTAATCTCGACTGAATCAGTTTATCTCAGTTGAAGTGTGATCTGCTGGAATCCATATTAATCCCAGCTGTATCAATTGAAGTGTTACCTGCTGTAGTCCATATTAATCCCAGCTGTATCAATTGATCTCAGTTGAAATGTTATCTGCTGTAATCCATATCTATCTCGGCTGAATCAATTTACCTTAGTTCAAGTGTGACCAGCTGTAATCCACATTTATCTCGGCTGTATAAATTTATCTTAGTTGAGGTGTGACCTGCTGTAATCCACACTTATCTTCGCTGGCTGTATCATTTTATCGTCGTTGAAGTGTGTCTGCTGTAATCTATGATAGTCTCGGCTGTATCAATTTATCTCGGCTGAGATGTGACCTGCTCTAATCTTTCTTCATTATATCGGCCGCATTTTAAATATATCTGAGTTGAGAGGTGATATGCTGTAACCCATCCTAATGTGAGTTGTATCTTTTCATCTCAGTCAAGGGTTAAATTCCTGTTGTTTTATCTGTATGACTTACTGGGCAAAATATTTCGGATCGCTGTCTGTGTATTCGTCTCAGTTTGTCAGTAAGAAACTACATACACGTGTACAATTGAAGTGTAGCATGGAACAGTTATGTCTCTGTTGTATCTTATAATTTCTTATTTATTTGTATATCACACTTATTCTATTACATAGCTATAAATAAACAAACAACATTAATACATGTATGATAAAGATTATTTATTGATAAGCAATGTCAAATATATTTCATTATCAAAATAGTATGAAATGAACAAAAAGTGTATGTATTACAACGATATTTCGCCTCTAATCACTGGACACCTATCCTTGTCTTCTCCCGTCGATTTAGCTCTGAGTTTTGTTGATATACAAAATTATCTCTTTATACAAGATAACCCTGTTAATTTTTTCAATGCTTCTATCCAGATGATGGCTGGACTTCGTTTCTCGAATTTCCAATGAGTTTGCGTAGAATCTTCCGCGGTCTGAATTTCCGCGGTTTTAACTTCTTTGCAGTAGAAGCGTGACAAATCCAATCCAGTCGTAGGGTATCCTGAGATGAGGTGCCTGTGTTTGGTTTTGATCTCTTCACCTGATGACCCTTTGGTTCATAAAACAAACCACTAGTATGGTTTTTTCCATCCCAGATGTCCACTATGGTTGTCAGAAAGTTCAGTTTACATTGTTCGTGTCCTCTCCTGGCGCGGAAGAGCTCCTCCGGACATCTCTGTGAACCCAGTCCGTCTAAGTCACCGAGGACGGGAAGTGGCATCACCTTGCAACTCGAAATTTTCGTGAAAACAGTTATGGTCATTGCGATATTGAGAAGAATCTGGCAAGTTCTAGAGACGAATAAAAATCTGCGCTCAATACCTTGTTGCTAGTATCCAAGATAAAGTATCTATGACGTCACAATGAGTATGACGTCGCATAATACCCTTAAGGACCATGATCACGTGATGAAAATATGTTTTTGATAAGCATGTAGACTGGATAGCCTGTCGTGGTTTTTCTGTTTTCTGGTAGACTTCGCTTCGACAAAAAAAGTACTAAAACATGTAATCCAGTGTTACTTCTTAAAAGAGTTCGCCCGTATTTGGAATTCGCAGCAAGTGTGTGGAGCCCACACAAGATGAAAGACATTGAATCAATTGAGAGAGTACAAAGAAGGGCGACAAAGCTAATTCCTGGTCTAAAGGATTTATCATATATCGACCGTTTGAAGAAGCTGAGAATCCCAACACTTACGTACAGGAGATTGCGGGGAGATATCATAAATGTGTATAAAATAAATTACAATTTTCATGATAATGAAGTTACCACCGGGATGTTTGAACACCATAAAGGAGCCAAAAACGAGAGGCAACTCGCAGAAATTACAGAAAAACACATTGTAGACTGGATATTCGCAAATACCGCTTTGGACTCAGAATTGTCGATGTGTGGAACAGCCTACCGGATTCGGTGATACAAGCAAAAACTATCAGAGACTTCGAAATTAATTTGGACCACCACTGGAAATGCTTAGAACTAAAATCTAACCATCTTGCTAGTTTCAAATCCTTTACCGGAAGTGACCATAAATTATTTATGTTTTTTTATAACTTAACGATATGGATATAGAGGCATAAGAATGTCTGCGTCCATTATCTATCATATCATACCATATCATATCATAATACGTGTTACATCTGTATTTTCTAGGAAATATAAACACGTACCGGTAGGCCAGCCGCTTAAAAAAGCCGCCAAGAACTCTCCGGGGGAAAAGAAGAATAATGAATTAACAAACCTGAATTTTGAATAATTAAAATTTTCACAAGAAAACATGAACTTTTTAATGTGAAAATGTAAAACTGTAACAAATACATAAAAGATGATGATAATGTTTTTCGATTTATTTATTAATCTATTTAAACAAAGAAAATATATACAATTTAAATCATTATTTTATAAATAAGTATCTGTCCTTGTTGAGCGTCGAACTCATTTTCTTTGAAATAACTATCACAACAGTGTTAGTAGGGCGACGTGTCGTCTTTGTTTCTCTAAACAGATGCTTCTGCCTGCAACACGTAACTATTTTTGACACTTAAAAGTACGAAGTGAAAGTGGAATGAAGGTGCCCAAAAATCTGGACATATCGTTTACAATGGAAAGCACGGGTATTTTTTGTTTATTTGTTTGTTTGTTTTTTTGTTTTTTTTTTGTTATCTGCATTAAGTAGATAATATCATATTAATTTACATCAAATATTGATACAACTACATGTACATGTATAGCAACTTTAAGTTCCTGGAAATACAGTTGAATAAAATCGTATATCACATCAGAGACATATATAACACATGATATATACGTCTCTGATCACATCATTAAAATTATCATTAGAATCAGTAGATGTCCACTTCAATATCTATCGGTAAAGGACGCCATTGGTGTCTGTGTCCAATGATTGATTGATCGATCGATTGATTGATTGATTGATTGATTGATTGATTGATTGATTGACAGGTTTTCCGTCTCAGTGACTACCCCCGTGTCCGGGTATCGTCTCACCGACGAACGTCAGTGTTCCGGCGACGTGTGTATCCAATGAAGACAATAGGGTTTTATGTCTTGTGACTCCAACGTCACTTCGGTTATGTCTATAAACCTTACTAATCACTTTACATTTTACTCTGTTTGTAACTTTATCTTATAATCTCTCATCCTTCTCTTTTGTAATCATATGTTGAGTTGCTTTTTAAACAGAAATCTTAACTTTGTGGATTACGAACTATTTTTGTTTTATTTTTAAGTAAACACTCAACGATAGAAGATACCATGATTATTGGAATAAAATCCCCATATAGCTCAGTCAGTAGAACGATCCGGAAGATTCTATTGGTGAGCGTTATCACGATTCTATGTTCCCAACGTACCTGAGAAACGGACCAGTCTGTGCTGGCCTGGTTGTGTCCTTAATCAATCAGTGACTTCAAAATAACCCAATGATGTCCATTTACGGCACGATGAACCTAGCTAACAAACAGGTAAACATGTATTTATATTGAACCTGTTTTGAGACAATTTTACTATAGAAATGAGAGTTTCTCTTAAAATTTTACTCGATCTGTTGTACATACAGAACCGACAGTACATGAAAAGGAAGGGAGTCATATTGTCACGTTTTTGCTGCAAATTTATTGGAGGTTAAAAATATCATGAGTTTCCCTTACGTTCCAGATTAAAGAAAAGAGTGTAAAAGATATACAATGAGATAAACTTTTTTAAATTTGATAGAAGAAAAGTCGGGCATGCGTGTCAGCATGTTAATGTTTTTTCATATATTTTCATTGTCATTGCCAGCACACATGCAGCGATTTCTACAGGATACCATGGGTTACGTCCCCTTAACGGTTATCGAGTCGTAGTTACGTGAGCCTAGAGGTAGAATGGGGCCAATCATGGATAAGTGATTTTTTTTTTGTGTGTGTCCGCTGGCCGCTGAGAAGGCAACACACACTCAGGCTGCTCTGATAATTTTGGTGTCATGTGTATAAGTGTTTTCTAAGCACTTTGGTTGATTTGTTTTTTGAAATGAACTTTGGAATTTGAACATTTTGAAGGAAAATATATATATATATATTTTTTTTGTGAACTTTAGTGACAGTGAACTGTGCTCACCTGTAGTCACCTGTGTACCTGGTTTTACCTACCTGGGCTACATTCTTACTTTCCTACTTTGACACCTAGTGTGCTTACCTGTACATACCTGAGCTATGTCTACTCACACTAAGACTAGCAGAACAGCAGGGGGCCCTTCAACTAGACAGAGTATATCGACTAATGTTGCAGTTGATGAAGATATCAGACAGGATAAGATAAGATAAAGGAGCAGTTGGAGAATGTGGTGAAGAAAGCAGATTTGACAGCTTTATCTGCAGGATTAGTGAAATCCAAGGACATTGAGAAAATAGTGAGCTCTATAGTGGAATCTATGAGGAAAGATCTGGAGAGGGAATTAGGACAAAAGATTACTGAGAAAACTGCACAAATGAGACAGGAATTGGACGTAGTTAATGCACACAACCACAGGTCACAGGAATCACTTCAGGGTAAACAGAGGGAGATAGACGAGTTGAAGAAACAAAGTACAGAGATGCAGAGAGAGGTAGAGAGGGTGCAAACTTCAGTTTTCAAAGAGATGGAAGAAGTTAAAAGGATGGCTCAAGATGGCATAAGGAAGGGAAACTACAATGAGCAATATAGCAGGAGAAATAACATAAAAGTGATGGGTTTTAAGGAGAAGGAGAATGTGGATGATGAGAACAAGAGAGATTTGATGAAAGATTTCTGTGATGAGGTCAACAAAGTAATTAGCCATCCAATCCATCGAGATGACCTGGTGACAGTCCATAGAATTCCAGGGAGAGATACTAAGAGAGCTAGACCATTGGTGGTGAAGTTTGTAAAGAAAGAGGTTAGGAACAGTGTAATTAAACAGAGGAAAAACTTGATGGGGACCATGAAGCTGGTGGATGATTTGACCAAGGACAATGCAGGACTGATCAACAGACTGAAAAGTAACGAGCGTATTGAGAACGCTTGGTATTTCAATGGACGTGTTTTCGCAGTCTGTGATGGCGTCAGGAAGCCAGTGGACTTGTTCCAAAGTGTGAATGATGTTTTCAGAGGCAGATAGACACAAGTGCATTTTGTTTCTAATTTCATAATTGTGTATTTCAAATATGTGTGCAATTCCAAATTATTGTGAGTGATTATGTGTGGGATTTAAGAAACACCATATTTTAAGGTAAGCATTTTTGTGTCCAAATTTCTGAAAACTTTGAAGTAATCTTTTTAATCTATTAACTGTTTGTGCATATATCTATTAGCTTATAGATTAATATTATAGTTCAGAATTATAAGTATCTCTGATTTTGAGCAAGTAGAAGTTTGAGTATGAGTGATCTCTGTAAGTAAATAAACTATACACTTGTTACAATTTTGTATAGTGCAGAGCTTGAGAGTGGCCTACACATGTGCTTAGCTATGGTTGTTAACTTTTTAACTCGGTGGTGTAAGAGGATATGTGTTGTTTTGGGGGGAGGAGACAAGTTTGATGTGTGCAGGGTCATCAGGGTAGGGTTAGGGGGCTGCCCTCTGGGTCAGCATTGTTGCTATGGGTAGTATAAAATGTCTTTCTATGAATGTAAGGGGTTTATATTCCGATACCACTAAAAGGAGAGATGTGTTCCACTGGTTTAAACGAAAAAAAGCAGATATTATTTGTTTACAAGAAACGCATTGTACAGGTGAAGTAGAAGCGTTATGGGAAAGGGAGTGGGGGTATAAATGTATATTCAGTAACTTCAATTCACGATCAGCTGGGGTAGCAATTTTGCTTCGAAATACGTTTGAATTTTCTATTCATGGTAGCAGAGTAGACAGAGTGGGTCGTTTCATCCTTTTAGATATATCAATAAACCAAAATAGATTAACAAAAGGTTGTGTCTATGGTCCTCATCAGGATTCTCCTACTTTTTTAAATACATTTTTTTAACACTTTGCAAACTTTCAATAATTCATCAGTGCTATTATGTGGGGATTGGAACTCTGTTCAAGACAAGAATATGGATACATATAACATATTAAACATAAATAATCCAAAAGCACAAGAAGTAATTAGAGATATAATGGACAAATATGATTTGATTGATCCTTGGCGGCAGTTTTATCCTGAATTAAAATCTTTTACATGGAGGCAAAGAAATCCAGTTCTACAAAGTAGATTAGATTACTTTCTTATTTCTAATGATATCTATTCAAGAACCAAAGATTGCAAAATTATACCAGGTTATAGAACTGATCATTCATGTATTATTTTAGAAATAAATTTCAAAAATTCTGAAAAGGGTAAAGGGTATTGGAAACACAATACATCATTATTGAAGGATTTAACTTACATACAACAAGTAAGAGATTGCATTGAAGAAACCATTGAAGAATACTATAGTTCAGGGAATAAAGAAAGGCATGAAACATTAGAGTTAAGAATTAATGACCAATTATTTTTTGAAATTCTGAAAATGAAAATAAGGTCTATCAATATCTCATACTCAGTATCTAAAGCCAAAAAATACTAGGAGGGAAGAAAACAGTCTAGAAACTGAAATATCTGTATTAGAAAATCAAATCAATGAGTCGCCCAACAGAGAACTATGTGTACAATACGAAAATAAAAAACAACAGTTGGAAAATATTAGGAAAACAAAGATAGAAGGATTAATAATTAAATCCAAAGCAAATTGGTATGAAAATGGAGAAAAGGCAACAAAATATTTTTGTGATTTAGAAAAAAGAAACTTTGTAAATAAATCTATAGTAGAGCTTATTGCAGATGACGGTAGAATTCTTGACAGTCCAAGGGAGATAATTCAGGCTGAAGTTGATTTTTTTTCAAAAACCTTTATAGTTCTAGACAAGTAGACAATACTCATGTTGATCATTCTTATTTTTTAAGACATGAAATTAAATTAAATTAAACTGATAAGGATAGCTGTGAAGGAATTATAACTATAGATGAATTGTCAAAAGCTTTAAAAAATATGAAAAATGACAAGAGTCCAGGTTCAGATGGTTTTGGTGTAGAATTTTATAAATTTTTCTGGAAAGATATAGGAATATTTTTATGCAGGTCAATTAATTATGCATACAGTACTGGTCACCTTTCGGAATTTCAGAGTCAAGGAGTTATCACATGTATTCCAAAGACAGAAAAAGATAGACGATATTTGAAAAATTGGAGACCAATATCACTCTTGAACATTGATTACAAAATAGCGTCTGCAGCAATAGCAAATAGAATCAAAAAAGTACTTCCGAATATTATTAGTGAATCTCAAACTGGTTTTATTAAAGGTAGATTTATTGGAGATAATACTAGGCTATTGTATGATGTAATGCAATTTCTAGATGAAAAAAATCAGCCTGGGTTATTGTATCTTTTGGACTTTGAGAAAGCTTTCGATTCTGTAGAATGGAATTTTATTGATAAAGCTTTGGAATCTTTTAACTTTGGTTTATCTTTACGTAAATGGTTCAAGACTTTGTATAATGATTCAAAAAGTTGTATTATTAATAACGGTCATATATCGCCTTTCTTCAGTCTCGAACGTGGCTGCCGCCAAGGGGACCCATTATCACCGTATATTTTTATTATTGTTGTTGAACTATTAGCACTATCATTGAAATCAGACAATGGTATCAAAGGTTTGGTAATATCTGGGAAAGATTTTTTACTTGGGCAATACGCAGATGATGCTTATCTCCTCTTAGATGGATCCAGCCATTCTCTTTCTACTGCTGTACACATTTTAGAAGATTTTGCTATTTTATCAGGGTTAAAGGTTAATTTACAAAAGTCAAGCTTATATTGGATTGGGAGTAAGAAATTTTCAGAAGACAGAATATGCCCAGAATTGAATTTGAAATGGTCAACAGACAAATATAAGTTACTTGGTGTAACTGTTTCTCTTAATATTCAGGATATGGAAAGGATAAATTTTGATAGTAAATTGCACCAAATAAATAAAATTTTCAGACTCTGGTCATGTCGTGATCTCACATTGATAGGTCGAATAACTATTGCAAAGACTCTTATTATACCAAAATTTGTACACTTATTCACCTGTTTACCAAACCCTTCTAGTCTGTTCATAAATAAACTCAATCAGAGTATTTACAATTTTGTATGGAATTATAAGAGTGAAAAGATCAAACGAGATATATTAATTGCTAGCTTAGAAGATGGAGGACTGAATATGACACATTTGGTTTCTTTTATTAAATATTTAAAGGTTAAATGGATAAAAAGAGTTTATGGAGAATTCAATGCATCATGGAAATCACTAAATGAAATTTTTCCTGTTGATATTGATATCTTATTTGATCTTGACAGAGTAAAACTGAGAGAAATTGGAAAAAATGTAAAAAATCAATTTTGGCAGGATGTATGTTTTGCATTATCTGAAATTCAATTTGAAGCAACAACTATTCAGGAATATTTGGGCAAGAGTTTGATAAATTTAGTTCCATACAAGAAAATAAAAAAGGCTGTTCTCTGGAGTCAGCATGGGCTGAAAAGCATTAGTGATCTTTATGAAAATGGGGTACTTAAAAACTACGTTGAATTCTCTGATGTACCATCGTTTGATTTTATTGAGCATTTTTGTCTTTAGTTAATAAGTTGGAAAGAAAGTGGAAGTTAGGATTAAGACAAGAAGTAGAAAATGCTAACACTATCACTCCTATTAAAGGAAAGGACATCATTTCTTCAATTATGATTGAAAAGAATTTAAAGTGTGTGTATAAAATGTTCATTGAAAAGATAGTTATTAAGCCGTTAAGATGTCAAGTAAAATGGGCAACAAAAATTAATTTTAACGAAAATATTAGTTGGGGTGATGTATATACTAGTTGTTTTAAATGTACAAAAGAGACCAAACTTCAAGCATTTCAATATAAAATTTGTCACAGAATACTTCCTACAAACTATATCTTATTCAAAATGAAAATAGCATCCAATGAACTTTGTACTTTCTGTGAAAGAGAACCAGAAACAGTGGAACACATCTTCACCCAGTGTTATTTCACAATCGACTAATTGAGGAATTTACTGCCTGGTATGTACAGTACAATAATCTACATATATATACATCGTTTAGAGAAGTAGATATTTTGTTTGGAAAACCTGAATTCGGTGAATCATTTAATACTATTGTTAAAACAGCAGATTCACTCTTGTCGAGTGCATACCTAACTTTGAAATTTGTAAAATCCTATTCAAAAAGACAATGAAAACTGAAAAGTGGGTTAGTATAAAGAATAATAGATTAGCAGAATTTCAACAAAAATGGGGATGTTTTGAAAATGCGTTGGACATATAAAAATACTTAACGTTGCTTATATATATTCCCCTTTTTTGATATTGTAAGATCATTAGTAACAAAACACATATCAAGAGTGATGTTTCAGTTGGGTAAGGTCCTCTGACAATGCCCCAGGGTACCCTTTTGCACACAATGTCACTCTTTTTTCTTGGTGGAGGGGTGGGGGGAATCCTGTAAATGTGAATTGTGTACATGTGGTAACAGTGAGAATGGTGAGAGGTGTACAGTTATGTTTAGATTTAGCTTATTGTTAGCAGTCGTAATGTTGAATGTAAGGAATGTTAGTATGAACATTTAAGACTAACAGTATGTGTGTAGGTGTGTGTACATGTATTTCATAGTCTGGAATATGAGAAGTCTGAATGATGTGTGAAAGTATGAGAGCCCTCCTTTGTGAGGACACATTTGTAATCATATGTATGTCTCGTCTTAGTCAATAAAATGTTTGAAAAAAAAAAGATAAGTGATTTTATCAAATTTCTAATGTAAGCTTGATGGGTACCATTTTACTGGGAGACCAGTACAGACATGGTGGTATGTTGTAGCCTACACAGAGGTTACACATAGTTCGTTATAGCACGGTACATAACATGTCGGACTTTTTTTCTAATTTGAATCCATTATAGCATAAATATCAATATTCAAAATTACAAACAAAAATAACCACCTTCAATGATTATCATAAACATCAGAGTTTTGCAATTCAGCTCAGCAATATCTGTTGAATAAAAACATGACATTTTATTTTTTGAGTGCATATATAGGGTAAGTTATTTCGAAGGACGCGCCATTAAAACCCTAACTGAGAACCCCCGTGGTTTACATGAACAAGTGTAAACTACAACCATCTCTTTCTTGGGCTCAATTCTCCTATATGATTTTACACATTACTACAGCCAATATACGGAGAAATCGTCTGATTTCATGGGTGTATGATAAAGACACCCATAGATTCGGTTAAAACAAAGAAAACACCGAGATTGATACTGTGGCAATACATCTATCCAATACAAATACATAGTACAGAGCATTGGCTTGGTTGTTGCAACATCATGTTATCAATTTTCAAGCAACAAGTGCGTGTTTTTTTTTTTTTTTTTAGCAAGTTCAATGTAATGATATACAATGTACTAAATGCGTTACTACCACGACATATTTCAGTGACAGTTTGCTATTTTCAATCACGAACGTGTCTGTTGCGTGATGTGTTTTGAAGCTGACAAAAATTATATCAAGTTGTCACTGGCGTAGGCAAGGGGGCAGTTGGGGCAGTTGCCCCCTCCCCCCCTCCCCCGCCCCCCTCCTCCCCCCAATTGCTCCAGAGGTAACTTTTGTGAATACGGTGGTCAGAGCAGAGAAAACTGTGTGCTTATTGAAAAAGGGCCATACAGAATTAGATTCTAATTTTCTTAACAGTTTTGAAAGAATAGTCGAAAACATGATAATACGTCCCTATGAATATCTTCCCATGTATCGTTCAAAGAAGCAGCTTTGATGACCTGTTCAAATTATAACACCCGAAATCAAGAATCCTGTCAGTAAGTTTGCTAATTGTGAAGATTTTGGTATGTTTTGTTCAAAGCAGGCCTTCGACTTTATTATTACACGAAAACATATATACAAACAATAAATAATGTTAATAACGGGAAGAAGAAGGAGAACGTAAATAAATGCATAAGATCCCATATTAAATACTGAGATTTGTTTTAACTGGAGTCATTTACCAAAAGTCTGGTATTTCAAGTAACACAAACTGAATAACAATATTTAAGTACAGTATTATGTAGAGTTATCTAGATTGTTTATTTACACATTTAACCGTTTAAAAAGGCGAGACCATCAGTGAATAAAGAAAATGAACGGGTATCAATTGTTACTAGGTCAGATGATTATTTTCCAGCTATGCGGACAGAGTCATCTCCCTTTATTATACCTCTCCCAATATTTACCCGCCCATTTCAAAACGACGATTTTTCGAAGATCTTGCTACACTTGTTTGAGCGCGGTGAAGGTAAACATTGGGTCGAGGAGTAGTATTTAGATTTTGTATATCGATACAATAGTATTTATTGAAACACATGCAGTAAAAATGTTGAATTTGAAGGAAAATTACCCGTGGGTTGTCGTTTTAAGAGTGCGTAAACACATGATAGGAATCTTAACAGTCTGACATTCTGCTCAGGAATCTGACGTTTATTACGTGAAACAGTGATTCCTGCTGTTTTAGAATTAGCTTTACGTATATTTTACATATAGAGCGTCCGATTCAAGTGCGTTCTGTCAGCAGTACCAAAACACTAGTACTAAGCCTGATTACTGTCTATTCTATCTTCAGTACAAAACACTAGTACTAAACCCCGTTCAATGTACATCCTGTCGACAGTACAGCAACACTAAGCTAAATAACAATTTATAATTAATATTCACTGCATTCCTCATACTCTAACAAAAACATTGTTGGACAAAACTGCAATCGGTTTTATTAAAAATCATATGCTTTTACTATAATATACAAGCTATTTTATATCGATTATTGTATTTGACAGAATGTCAAAAAATCAAAACATCGACCAAGTGTACTTTTCACAACATGTCCTTTACATTCCAAAACCATGTAATGTTTAGAAGTATCAGACCATGGTACAATTACAGGTACACATGTACTTGTTGACATGCCCCGACATGGATGTGATTTTTTTTACCTTTCTTTGTCTTCATTAGCTATGACTAATTAAGGAGGAAAACATAAAACCACTGTATAACAGCCTGATATTTAATTTCAAAAGCGATGAAGATTACTAACTGTTTGTCTAATAATTTTTTTATGTGTTTGAAATATCTTTGTCCTTAATGTGTTATCATTTAACATATTTAATGAGAGAAAAAATCACATGCATTTATAAGTATACGTTCCTGTAGGTAAAAGAGAAATCTGTATGTAATATAATATACATGTAATTATATGGACAATTGGATGTTTGGATCGTGTCATTTTTTCAGACACAGGTATTGAGATGTCAACTTTCAATGGTCCTTCAGGAATCCCTTTACTGAGAACATCCAAGAAGCCTGCAGAGGAGGCAAAGAAAACAACTTACATAAAAACCAAACAGCAGTTCGCAACAGCAAAGAGCAGTCATTTCAGAAAAGGGTATATCAATCTATACACCTCACGATAATATATTGGTCTCAAGTTAAAAACATTATACGCATGTAGTACTGTTTAGAGACTTTCGTATTGAAATAATTCAAGTGATAATAAAAAATATGCATTCAAATTAGTTATATTAACCATGCCAATATTGTACAGTTGTATATATACTAATAGTGTATGTATGTAAACAATTTTGTGTGTATACATATGTATATAATCAATGAAGTAACAGCAACGACAAGCAAATTGTCAAATTTTCGAGGCAACCTGCCCCTTTATCAAGACACAAATGTTACATAAATTACATCGTAGATATATAATTTTCTTTAAGTGGGGGATAGGTGGGTGATATTATATTAGTTACCTCAGTAGTACCGGTATATATATGTAGATATTGTACATTTTATGTATGGTATCTTGAATTGAATGCTAGATTGAATTTATGGCTCTAAAATGATGTCAGTATTCACATTTAAAGCATAATTGTGAATATTGACATAAAATTATCATATTAGAGACGGAAAGATTCAGATTTCAATTGATATACTTTAGAAATTAGTGAATAGCATCTGTTTTGATATTCTGTCACTTACAATACACAACAATTGTAGGAAAAGACATCTTATATGCTTAGTCAAAGTTATATTGGGATATTTCTTTCTCAGATAAAACTAGATATTCATTTCTAATTAAAGAAAAAAAAGTTTTGTTAACAGTTGTTATCAGTGTGGGAATATCCAATTCACAATATAAAAACATATATAGTTTTGACATATTAGAACATTGAGGTAGAAGCCCATTTGTTAGGTTGGAAATAATGAGTGAACTTTGATCTTTATATTTTTTGTTTATTTTCCGATTTTTTGAAAGAAAAACAGAAAAAGAAAAGTTTCTTGACGAAGCTTCTAGACTGCAAAATGAAATATCTGAGTACAAGGAAAGTGTGGCAGTAGCCCAGCAAAAGCTGAATCAGGAAAAGGTAGATGTCTCCGTTCAAGTTTAGTAAAAAATAAGTCTAATTTAGACATTACGAGTGTTCAATTCCAAGATTTTCTGGGTTTTTGTGGGTTTTTTATATATGTATATAACTTCCTTCATACGTGGTAGGCTTGTATTTAATCACCACAAGATGATACAGTGTTTCCAGAACAATCAGCTTTTAAAAAATTTTGGAGGAATTATCGCCCTTTGATTTTTCTCAAACTTTTTATCTTGTGTGGAGGTCTCTGTCAGTTTTCAACCAAATTCTTTTAAGCTGCTTAAGCTTTATCTCTTTTGATATTTAAATTTTAAATTTCAGCAACACATGAACATGATTACATTAATAAAATCAATTTGTCTCAATGTGGTGATTTATGTGTAAAATAATGTTACCTGTAAATGTTTGGCTGTACTGGAGTAGACTTGTTACATTTAAAACATTTCACTTAGTGTAGATATGATGATTTAATTGTAGGACAGATTGTCAGAAGTCCAGAAGTGTGCAGAAGAAAAAGAAAACCGTTTAACAGGTAATTTGATTCCCAGCAACTGTGACCTATAAAGTTTAGGGCATTTAGCCATCTTGTACACACTAGACATTCAAGGCATATGTCAGAAAATGAGAAAAATGGAGAGCCCTTTTTCAGGTGTGAGGTAACCCATAGCTATACCTTGTACTTTTCAAAGTAAATCAATCATGAATATGTTTCTCAATCTCAGGGAAGATGATAACTTAAATTGGAAAGGTCATGTCTATGAGGACAAATAATGAAGAAAGTATTGATATTGATTTGTGATATTGATTTTAAGACTGTTAGATTTTTCAGATTGGATGTATTAAAAGTACACTATCTTAACATCAGTGGTTCTAAAACCAAGTTTTGTTTGTTTTTTTTGAACAGGTGAAATAGAGGAACTGCAAGCAAAGAATTCAACCTTGGAAGAAAAAACGTAAGGATACATATTTATGAATCATTGAGAAATATTCATAGCAAGTACATATGTGTATCTTTATGTCCTCGCAATTTTTTATAGGGGACATATTTATGGTGTTGCCAATAAATATCCCCTCCCATTTCATACTAAAATATTAATTTGTGAACGTCTTATCAGATCGGGTTCATGTTTATCCCAGTATCATAACTAGATTGTCAGAAGTGGTCATAAGTTAAAGGGTCAAAGGTCATATTTGACAACTACTGTAAAATAATTTTTGATAATAATATGCATGGAGTGGGGTCATTCATGTTATACAGATATTTTCTCATTTATCTGCTATGTCTGTTAGTTGCTACTGTAAAATCACATATTTTTGTGGAGCTCTATTTTTGTGGGTTTTTTTTTTTTTTTTTTTTTCAAAAAATCACTCTTGCTTTTTGACACTTGCTTTTGTGGCGACGTATAGCTCAGTTCATCTACTTATACTTATGTTTATAGTTATATATATAAATTTGTGGATTAGAGTATCCATGAAATCAGTTTAAAATTAATCCCCCACAAAAGTGAACGATTTCATAGTAATGGTTATTTTTGACTTCAATAAGATAAGTATGCACTTCCTATATAGCTTCATATGCTTATGCTTTTTATCATCACAGTGCTTTTCAGGTTCTTGTCAAAACCCCAATCACAAAGGTAAAAACACACTGAACTGAAGAGTTCTGTGCACAGAGTTTGGGTAAAAGCATCATACTGGTTGTTACATTTTATTGTGATATTAGACATTGTAACTTGTAGGTATTGTAATGTTTAAAACGAACATTCGTGAGATAGGGAGGAACATGGACCTTAAATGGAAGTCTCACATTTTCATTCATCTGTTCACAGGACCAGCTATGAAAAGAAACTTCTGCTGTGCAACATCAATCCAGGTATAATATTATATACAACATGTCCAAGAAGTTAGAAATGGAGATTACTGCATCTAATTAAATCCATTTGTTCAATAAATCAGTTGAATGAATGAAATTATTATAACTTTCAAAAATCCTGATGTGGAACTGGTACATGATGTATAGTGCTTTTATAGCTATAGATATTTAATGGCAAGGCAGCGCTGTAAGTCATGAGTTTGATGTCAGAACAGGATGCAAAGGAGACCAACAGTCACTCTCTTAGACAACATTTTCTAGACTAACACTTATTGTTTTATCGACTGGTTTTATTTTTTGCCATTAGGAACATAAAATCCAAATTTGAAAAATTAGAATTAGCAATGAAATAATGAAAAGGAGACAATAAAAGACTGAATATTTGGACTACAGTAGGTACGTAGCAGAAATTGTTATCCTTCATCATTTGTGATTCTATGTTTAATGTCAAATACATTTAAAACATAGGAAGAATATCAATCATAACAGCCTCAGTGTAGGTCCTTCAATTTCTTCAGTGTTTGTCGACGAGCTTCACCTATCAGTGGGCTTCTTCAGGACAAAATACACAGTTTTTCTTTCTCAAAGGTTTTTCAAATACAGGTACAATATTCTATTAAAAGCTCACAATATTCTATTAATAGCTGTTATAGTATTCTGACATCATGCATCAAACACATTATTTAGCAAGATAACTCCTGTATCTCAATATATTTCAACATATCATAGTTCTATAGTGTCGTACTGATTCTGATAAACGTCAGCCATATCTCTCGGTAACTGTAGTTACCAGTCTTAAGTGTATGATGTTTTTAAGACTAGAGAAGTGAAGATTTTACATTAACTGTATTTTTAATAACAGTAGTCATACATGCTATATATGTTCTGTAACTAGTGACACTTGAGCACATGAATGATGACCAGACACAGAGAGATGTGCTGTCAAAGAGAAGAGATGTAGCACGGGTAAGTATCTTTTGGGCAATAACATTCCAGCATTGTTTGCTTAAACTTTTCTAAATTATACCAAAGTCTTCAAAGTTTTCTTCACTTTCAGGATGTTGTTGTATTTCTGTATAGTCTCTTCCCTACGTACCACTTGAATATTGTTAAATAAAATTTCACCGAACAGTCTATTACACTAATAAAAGTAAAAAGAGAATACCATTTACAACCTGATTCTGTCTGACTGGGTTTATACTTAAAATAGCCAAGAAAATAATTGATAATTTAGAAAAATCTTTTGGGTCTGTTTTAAGACTGTTATGCTATTTATAAGCGTACTTGGATTGTGGGGCAAAGATCAATAATGAAGAGAAGAAATTTCATTCAGAGTAATATTATCTCCCTTTTCTAATTCCCTATTATGTATCACATATCCTTCTTGATCCACCAACCTCAATCCTTATGAGCATTACAGTGACTTTTCTTTTTAAAATTTTGGTTGGGATGTGTTTCAATTCCATTGAAAAGAGGGAGACCCCCTAGTGTTGGTTTTAATTATACACATAGTAGCTGTTTCATAGTGCCCCAAAACATCTTTGTTAAGCTGATTTTTCAAAAGTTCACTTTGATTTTCAGGAAAATGTGGGATTGTTGAAGAAAAGAGTTGACAGTTTGAATGAAGAATCCTCAAAATTACTTGAAAATATGAAGGTAGGTGTAAATCATATATAGAACTTGTTATGTGCCATTAGAACTGAAGACATCTTGGATTTGGTTGTATTTGGTCAATGTATCATAACACATTTGTTTTCAGTTAATCGTCCTCTTCAGGAGCCCCATCATCTGTCAATTAATTGAAAGATGCTTTTTATTTTTTTTTTTTGTTATATGTATATATATTTTACAAGCAACATAATTTGGATCAAATGAAAAATGATAAACAGGTTACTTAAAGAAATCAAACATTTGGGTTTGAGGGGTTTCTACCGATATTGTGGGTATAACTTGTTGAATAATTGTTTGGAATTATTGTTATTTAACCTATTTAACTCCTGTTTATTCTAGCATCTTTAAAACTGACAATCTGTATTTTATTCAGAATTTAGGTGTTGACATTGACAAAATTGCCGCAGATGTGACATTACCATCAGAAGAAACATGAAGCTACCTGCCTACTTTAACATAAAGAGGGTCTGTAGATATAAACAGTGGTGCAGTGGGTGTTAGAAGATATGTAACCAACAGAAGGGAACTGGCTGTTCAACAAATTCTTTCAGTGACCAATCACAGTTGGACAATGGTCACAAATGTAGACAGTCAAACACATCTGCATATAGTGCGATGAAACATCTTTGATGGTGACGTGTCATGCTGTATATAAATTTCATAGTTCAGTCATTTACATACAAAATAAAGCAGTTCATCAGAAATCAATAATATGTGACATTTGTGTGTATGTGATGAAGCTTTTAATGACATAAAAATCCAGAAGGCCTTGTCAGATGTAGTTGTCTCCCTTTACATGCTTTTAAAAACAAAGCGTACCAACCATAATTTCCCACGTGTGAAAGGACGAGAAAATGTAACATTTATCTGCACACCCGAGTGACCTTAGTGTACTGCAGTGACTTGTATATTAGATTACATCGTAAGTGGAATATTCATGGGTTTTTCCCAGTAACTGGACATAGCATTTATTAATGGCTCTATGATATAGTCCCGAATTTTGTTCTGAAACCCTTTTTATAATTGATTGTCATTGTTTCAAAAGTATGTCATCAAGATGTTATTTTAAACAAATTCTTTTTAGTCATCACCACAATTTCTCAGGGATAGCAATAGGTACCCAATGTATGCTGTGCCGACACATTTAAACTGAACATACTTCTTCTCAACATTTTCATCTTAAATTAGCCTCAACCTCCTCCTTATCATCATCATTAAATCCCAAGCATCGTCATTATTATCCTTATCATCATCATCATCATCATTACCACCACCAGCACCACCATCATCACCATCATCACCACCACCACCACCATCATCATCATCCCTATCATTATCACCACCACCCCTATCATCACCACCACCATCATCATCACCATCAGCACCATCATCACCACCACCACCATCAACATCACCACCACCACCACCACACCACCATCATCATCACCATCATCATCACCACCACCATCATCATCATCATCATCATCATCATCATCATCATCATCATCATCATCATCATCATCATCCATTCATCAAACTATTGGAATCACCTTAACTTTCAATGAAAGCTTCAATGCAACCTTGAATCTTTCCAAAATAAAGTCAGAAAAAATAATTTTGAATCATTAAAAAAATAGTCCATATTTTGGGGGAAAAAAGGTTAAAAAAATATTTTCTGAAATAAACACAAAGTGGGATCAAATGTTGTGTATTTTAGAAAATATTGAAATATTACATACTCACTAAAGACAAACAAACAATATAACTTGAAGATACTGTGTAAATCTTTGTGTTCTGATGCAACATTCATCCTCATAGTAAAATATGAAAGGTGCATACAATATTGTAGATACAAAAATTATTTGTTGAATCAAGAACTATGAAAATGAGTAGATCTATATGTTACTTGATTTAGATGTAGTTGGTTTTATTTTTGCACAAATGACTTTGCTTTTAATGTCCTTGTGCTCATAAATGTCCCTAAACCTATGTGTTTGAATGGGCGAAATGTTCTTCAATAAATGATAAAATTTAAAATGTTTGTCTGCCCCTCTTGTTTTTAATTTTTATTTTTATCCTGTTTATCGGGCAGAGGGCAAGACATTCTTTCTTAAATAATGTCCAGGGGATGACTAATGAATGGAAAAATGAAATAGCATTTGTTTGATCAGCAATATAAGTGTTTGTTAAAATTGTGTCTTAAAAATTAAAATTTCATAATGAAACAGATGAGAAGGCTTGCATATCTTTAGATAATGAGATGAAATGAGTTAAAGTTTGTATGAATGGAAGATTATGTACTGTTATACAAAGAAATACAGAATTTAAAATAGATATATATGTACATATAATATAAACAAAATATGTTTAGTATAATTTCCTGTAATCTTTATGATGGGCAAACTTTTGCTCAGGTGGTGTTTTTCATTTCTTAGAAAACTGCATGACATTTTTTGTTTTAATATTTGTATTAAATTATGGGAAAAAAAGCTAGGAGCGTATCATTTCAAACACAGGAAAATAATGTACTGGATATTTTGATGTGCATCTGAATTCTTTAATATCCTGCCAACATTCAGCAACTCTGATCTGATGAGCATCGTTTGGTCTGGTGTAAAATTACTTATTTGGGCTGACACTACAATATTTCTTATTCTGTACACTCAAAAAATTCAGGAAATAAAATCTTGACAACACAGGATTTTTTTTTATTGTAATTACATTCTCTGACTGCAGTCTTGATCAGGCAGCGGTTTAAAATGAGGAATTTCTGACCAAAAATCTAGGGTTTTGAAATTAGTATATTTAACAAGCAATTTGTGTTTAATTTCACTTGTTAAGTGTTTTCTTGCTTAAAGGAGATTACAAAGTTGAAATACCAATGTTGAAATGGCCAAAATTTTGTGGAAGAAAAAAAAACGGGAGGGTAGGGAGTACTTACACCCTTCAAAAAAGAAAAGTGTGTTTTCCTTTTACGAAAACAAAGGCAACAATACATTGTTTCTAGTTTTATTTAGATTACTGATATCTTATCAAGCTGACAAAGCTTTTCACAACAACTTGGTTCTTGTAGTACGATCGAAAGTCGCAGATATGATGTTGAATTTTGGTGACATTTGATCCCGTCACAAAATAGCAACAAACTACTCCCAACACAAATAGGTCGGCATATTTTTGTATTTATTTCAACGGTATATATGATAGTTGATTGTTTATGTAAATAATCATGATTCTGATAATATTTCGGTGGTAATAAATAGAATGAAAGCAGATTACATTTTTGTTCCCCAAATAATATATATTTTTAGTCGTCTGTCTTGAATAGCAGACATTTAATATTTGAAATCAATAAATCCATTGTTTGCGTGTCCAGTTGTTTCTCGAAAATTCGCTTTGAAAGCTGACAGTCAATGCATACGTGTCACGACTTGATGTTGTCAAGATAAATGATCAGAGTTGTTTCCCTTCTGCTTGCGCATGCTCACATAAACAGCCAAATACTTGTTTTGCAAACATCATGGCGTCTCGTTCGAAAAAATTCGAAGACTTAGACCTTTCAAAAGACGAAGTGAAGAAATTAGGAGAAGCTTTGAAAAATGAGGAATTCCGAAAATTATTTGTTGAATATGCAGAGGAGATTTCGGATCCCGAAAACAGGAAACGATATGAAGAAGAGATTAAACAACTCGAAAATGAAAAAGGTATGGACGTGCAGTTTATCCATCCAATCCCCGGACACGTGCTTAAAACTAGCATTGATGGCGACAAAAAAGCGTTCATTAACATTTGTCAGTCTGATAAAATGCAAAAGCCGGTGTCGCATCCAAAACTCGACAAAGACGGACGTCGTGGCATTAACTGGCAAATCCCACATTCACATGTTCCTCCGAGGGAGGATGTTGACAAGTCGAAACAGAAATGCCAGGTGTTTGATGTTGTTTTTCACCCCGATACCTATCGCATGGCTGAGAATGACAGGTTTCGAAAGCTCGTCGAAGACACCGCAGTTGACGGCATTGAGAACCAATTTGGTGTGAAAGTGGACAGATCCAATCTTAAAAGAATGATAAACATGAAATACAAGGGTGTTAAAACACCATCGATCATTCGATCACGAACAGCCGAGGGCCCAAAAATAGGAAAGGATGATATCCTAAACAGCATGCCGTATCCGTATAGTGATGAGACCAGTCAAGAAAAAGCTGAAGCCATGGCAAATGAGGTAAAGAAGAAGAAGAAAAACTCCAAAACTGTTAAGTTTGACGATTCCGAAGAGCCAAAATACACAATAATTCATCGATCAGACATGGATTTGCAAGAATATAGAAATTCTCCAGACTCTCGACCAAGTACTAGACCAAAAGAGCTGGTGATAACAATATTCTTGCCTCTGTTGTCGTCTGCCGCACAAGTTGACCTTGATGTGTTTGAGCAGAAGCTGGTACTGAAATCGGAGGAGCCAGCAAAATATAAACTTGACTTGAAGTTGCCTTATCAAGTTGATGATGACCAAGGGAGTGCAAAATTTGATAAAACAAAAAAATGTCTTGTAGTTACACTGCCAGTTATCGCTGACAAAGTACCCGAGATGCCATACCTCAATGGAAACAGTGAAATAAATGGTGTAACTGAAGGAGTAGATGAATCAGAAGGAGTTGTTCCACCTCTTATTCAGGAAATTTCAAATGACGAAACTGTCAACACAGAAATGTCTACTGAAGTAAATGCTGATGAACCACCTCCATTGGAGGATTTGGAAGAAACAGATATTGAAACTCCCAATTTGATTGAAAATGAGGCATCACTGTCATCTGTGGCACAAGCTAAAGTAATCGACATTCCATATTCATTTCCCGATTTTACATTTACTCAGGATCAAGGTGCTGTTTCCTTTATCCTCGCTGTTAGAAATGTTAAAGTCGAAAACATATCAAAATCATTCAGTTCCAAGAACACCATGAATCTCACTTTGGTATCTATAGGGGATGGAGGGTTTCCCATACATTACAGATTCTGTGTACAGTTCACAGAAAACCACACTATTGTACCGGAACACTGCAGTGTTGATATCAACGATATTAACATTGTCGTCCTGTTGTTAAAAGAGCGTTGCAGTAGAGGTATCTGGGATGGATTCCATGCTGGTTCGTCCAAAGAGGATTTACAGGTATTGATGTGGTTTAGTACTTATTTATTATAAGTTATGAGCATAGAACAGGTTTGTTTTGCCGGTTTCAAATTTCTGACCCAAAATGGCATGGTGAACATTTTACTTAAGAAAGAAATAATGATATAAATTTTGTTTAGTTTCATTTTATCGAAGACAAATGTATCACACGGCTGAAATGAGTTATTCTGTATTTGGTACGAAGTAAAGAAATTTGTGTGTGGCAGGATAAGCCTGTTGTATGATATTTAAGAAAGGCTGAGGTCTCCATTATGCACTTCATTCAAATTTGGTATATGGTTGTAACAGAGGTCACTATTTCAATGCCTGGGCTAGGAATTGAACCCGGAACCCCTGGCCTACTAGTCTGACGCTCAACCAATCAAGCTAAAGAGAAGTTCTCTCTAGCTGAGTGGTATATTGCGGCTAGTAGTTTACCAGGGTTACATGGTAAAGTTTTTACGTTCTAAAAACCTTTTTTTATATCGGTCTGTAGTTGATGATTATCAGAACTCCAGCCTGATATAAATGAAGAAAATAGGTGACCTGCATAAGGGTCGGCATTCAAATGATAAGAAATCATTATATTTATATGCATATTGCATATGGATCGAATGGTCCATTCTTTATCTACAAGCTTATACCAATGTTGTGTTTAATGTTAAGTGTAAACTTATATATTTTAATTCCTTTTTCTGTATCTACCCATATTTTGATGGTCAGTAACTCGACCACATGACTTGGGATCCTGTGATACCCAAGGTATTTCAAAAAAAATTTTGACGTATATTACTACAAAAATAAACCAAACAAATGTAAAAACACGCTCTGAGCTTTATTTCACTTTCTAAATGAATGTTCTTAAAAAACTATCTCTGTTTTTCAATATTGATTTCAAAGTGATAATCTTAATGGTACTATCCTTTATACAAAATGCCCAAATGGTGGGGTGTAATGGTATTATGAGACATGTCCTTTTTTTGAAAAATATTGTAGATAAAGAACAAACCTTTCAATCCATGTGCAATATGCCAGGGATCTCTCCAGGCAGTGATTCTGCGATTTTCTCGCATATTTTTCAAAATCACACCAAAAGAAACTTCAAGAGATATATTCTCGCGTAGGCCTACCTAAAAAAAATCAGTCCTTTTAAACGAAACCACTCCTTTGTCGAGAATGAAACTTCTACTTTTCCAAAACGAAACCAATTCTTTCCCGAAAATGAAACTAAACAGTCCCATGTTTACTCTTAATCGTTGTCAAATCACTGTTTGATTTTTGCCCTGTCGTTCAAGCACTGATCTGACCCAAGTGTGATTGTGCTTAAAACAACTATAAGATAATATCCGAGACCTTCCAAATGCAAACTCTTGGAAGAAGACTGTGGTGCTGGTGAAGTGGACCGACATGATCGGAATAATGCCGCCTAAAAAAAGTTTCTTCCTCGTAATCATAAGCCAGTTTCTCAGTTTTTGGCTACTTGTGCTGACAAAACGACTAATGGATCAACTGTGGTCAAAAGTAATGTAACAGAAACAAATGTTCAAAAATCACATATGTCTCATTGTTTTCCAAAAAATCTCATTGTTTTTGAAGGAGAGAGATTTTTTATCTTATAATAAATTTTACCCAGTGATCCTTGTATGCATGTGAACGTGACAATTCCCTTCCACAATTATCCTTTGAATGCTGACCAGATGTGGGTTGCTTATTTCTTTTACTTTATATAGGGCTGGAGTTCTGATGGTAATCGACTTCAGACCAATATAAAAAAAAAATTGTCGGAATGTCAATGATTGGGACTGGTTTACAATTAGTGAATTTCAGCAGCAACTTTAAATTATAGTTATTAAAAGCACATGATATTGTCTTGAATAATTCTCAGGCTGTTAAATTTTAATTATTTTGATTAAGATAGAGAATTCTTTTTTACTTACAACATAGGTCACTGTGAACAAACTTTCTTTAACATATGATTTGATTTTATGATTTACTTTTGTGAATTACACAGTCAAAGCAAAATTGCAAACATTTATCACTGCAAAGTAAAACAAATTAATGAACACTAATTTTCCTGGCTAGCGTTTGCTGCTTTATAAAATGAATATTCACTGAACATGCAGTTTATCCTGAATCTACATGAACAGATACAGCTGTAAGGCATTTTGTATATCAGTAGTTTGATTGATTGTCAACAGGGTAATTTATTGCCCTGATCGTTTGATTCTGAGAAGTTCATGTTTTGTAAATGAAACACTCCAGGCCAGTGGAGATCTCCGGCATGTTTAATTTGCATTACGTGACTGGGTGATAATCACCTTATAAATAAAGAACCATGCAAGCTTTTAGATGATAGTGATTGACCTTCACATTGCTCTCAAAACACTAGATGCAAAATTAATTCAAAAGTTGGTAGAGTGGTTTATTCACCTGGATATTGTACCACAAATTGATAAAGGTGTCAAAAGTCGTTTGGGTCTATCAGAAGGGAACTGTGCCATTAACCATCAGCTCATCTGTCATGGCCAAATTATGGACCAGATATGGTGCTTCCTTTAGGGTTTTAAGGGTTTTTCTTTTGCAATTTATGTTTTCGATAAATCCTGATATATCATAATCTAAATAGCATTACTACTGCCGATATGGCACCGCTCAAATATGTCAAAATACCTGTTTTTAGGGAAGTCAAAAGTACTGGTTACACTTGAGTGAGAAATTAAATGAGGAGACTGGTCACATGGTACATTGCCATAAAAATGTTACTTTGGCTGTTGGTGTCTAATATTTAAACAATAATGAAGAAGGTATACACTTCCCATGATCTCATGATTTCATGATTGAAAGTGAAATGTTTGACTTGTAACTAAACACTACAGGTCTATACAAAAAGAAAAGCAAATAAAGACTGAAAAAAAAACAAATTAAATACAAATCTACATCAAAGGATCGTTAGTCAGCAATATTCAATTATATAGTATGTGCATCTCTGAAAACATGATTGTGGTAAGAACAGCACTGTTATTATTATGAAATCACTTTTTGATATATACAATCATATCTTACCTTTGAAGGGAAGAAATAAATAAGGTCACATATGACAGTTGGTCCCGTAAAGGTTCAGAGAAAAACAATAACACAAAACAGGCTATTCTGAATTTGTAAATTGTACCCATTCCAATGGGTCCTCTTGATTCTACTAAAATGTGATTTAGTGAATAGCATGTGGAACTAGATTGGTACATCTGACATTGATATAAATTTTTTGATGAAATTTCCTCTATCATGCACCTGAAATGTGAGGAAACATCTGTTTTACAATATAATGCCTCAGATTCTGTAAGGTCATAAGCGATTCTTTGGTGAGAGTCTGGAGATCTGTAGGTACATTGTATGAGGTATTGAGGTATTTTTCTCAGAGAAATACTAGCTTGAGTAAGATGATACTGTAGATACATGTATTGTCAATTCAACATCAGCACATGAGATGCAAACTTTTTAAACTATGTAGCCCATCTCAGAACTTGTAATTTCTTAGCTTTATATAACTACTATATGTATGCTGTAATTGTGTTTTACTGAACAGCTTTAGATTCAGGCACCATTGTACTTAGTCCCAAACAATTACACACTGAGAAACCTCCTGAATTCCCACCCTAAAACACACTGGAACAGTAACACATAAACCTCCAAAATACTTGCCTCAATACACGTAAACAATAACACACCCCGAGAACCCCATAGATAGTGCAACCAAATTAAAACACCCAAACATTAAAATCCCAAGAATCTTTCAAATTCTCACCCCAAACACTAACACACCCATAAACCTCACAAATACTTACTCCAAACTACCCAAACAGTAACCCACCAAGAAACTTCCAAAATACTTGCCCTAAAACACCTAAACAGTAACACATGCAAGAACCTCCCAAATATTTGCCTGAAAACATCGAAACAGTAACACACTCTAAAACCTCCCAAATACTCACCCCTAAACATTTAACCATGCATCACATGATGAAAGATCTGCAACTAAATTACCCCTGGTAGTGTAATTTTATATTGAAGAGGATTAATTACAAATTAAATGTGTTTGTAACATTTAAGTGTAATATAGAAAACATTCTGAAGAGATGGTTAATGCAGTGATTTTTATGCAATTTACCACCCAGCTGAAGACAATTTCCTCTTTAGCTTTATCAGTTCAGCACAAACAGGAGATCTTGAGTTTTGTCCCTAAAGACCTATGTAACAATTGTGTCCAGGTTGGGGCCATCACTTCTGTGTAAATCAAGGACAGAGGTCCTGGGTTAGATCCATAGTGGGAGCATTGAAATAAATGATGGCCTTTAATTTGTTAGGTAGCTACAGTATATAGATTTACATAGCATTACTTCAGAATCATCAAAGTTTCTGATGAAGTTTCAACAGAATTCATTACACTGGTCTCCTGATAACTTCAGTTATTTTTGCTTGCTGATCAATTAACAGGGTATGAGAAATCTGGAATATACATGTATATGCTAGTACCTGCTTTGACTTGAACTTTTGAGCCAAGCTGGCAATGATCTGGTGCCTGGTAAATTGGCAATCTGACATGTTATACAATATTGATGTTCTACAACTACATTCATTAAGAAGATTACATTTGTTATAATTGAATCAGGTTAATGCTATTACATTATAACCATTCATTTGATGTGAAATACTGTTGGCAACTCCCATTTACAGTCTGACCTGAGCTCTTACGGCTATAATAGTCGGTTGTGTCAAGTAAAAATATAATGATGAAAGGACAGAGGTGTACATAACTTGTATTATCTAGAGGTTTTTATTAAACAATTTCATGCTGAAAGGCAACACACCTGAAAGTACATGCAAACGTGGATTTGGTCAATTCATTTTGAAATATCATTAGTGTTCAAACAGACAATTGTTTTAACTGTATAAAATTATTTATGAAAATACTTAAGTTAAACACTTTATTCTTGGATAATGTAATGATGTAGTTCTCATGAAAAAAAAGAAAAAAATTATTTTGTGATGATAATTTGGATACAGGTCAATTATTTCCTGGTAAGTGTTGGTTCACAAGGATAGGGTTGGTTAATAATTACCAATTTTATTTAACTGTTTCTTCCAATATATTAAAGCAATGTAGCTTTCGCCCTACATTGGAAAGAAAAAAAAGTGGTTATTATTCAATACTGCTGAACCTACTTGCTCAATCCATCAATACACTCACTTGCTGAAATGATTAGAAGTGACTAGTGCTTCAAGAGTGAAGTTGCAGATTTGTTGTCATGTACAACACACCAGGTAAATCACTTGGATGGTGATTTGAAGTTGGATGGCTGTAGTCTAGCTACACCTCTGATGTATGGTCTATTTCTGTTTTCGTGTAGGAGTACAAGACATTCCTGAAGGAATCGTCTAAAGACTAGTTGAACTGAAGTTTTGAGTGTGGTGTATTACAGTGTGTGTATTTTGTGCAGACAGCCGGTTACTATATACTGGATGGTATAAATACATGCTCATTCAGGTGTAGCTGACATTGTCAAGGTCGCAGGGGAAATGTTCTAAGCTTCCAGAACAGTAACAGTGTAGTTGGGCCCACACAGGTGTAAACAAGCTGTGTGTATTTTACCAGGAAAAGCATGCAATGTGTGGCATTGTACCTCCACAGTGTCTAGGTGTGGACTTGTCAGTTTGCTTTTCTAGTCTAGGATAAAATGTTGGAGTTTTAGCATGGAGAATTCAAATTGTGAAGTAGCACAGGTAAACAGGACCGGGTACCATGTACTGGTTCAGTGGTGGCTGCTGGTCCCAAACATATTCCTCAAGATTGTACATTTTGTGTGGGCAGCATTTGTTTGGCTATGGGTAAGTGTTCTATATAAGATCATTGTTTACCAACTGGTTGTATATCAAGTATTATACATGTAGATAGGTTCTGCACTCTGCAAAGATTTTTTGAAATAGTTAAAAGTATTAAGAGTTTTCATTATAATTTATTGTCATAGTACAGTGACATAGAAGCTGGAAATTTTAACTTAAGTGTTTAAAGAGCAGTTTTCCCAATTTAGCACTTAATACTTCCTGGTACTTATTTTACAGTACAGAAAATCTGATGAAATACAACCTACATCCTGATGTTGTACAGTCGACTCCCAATTCTGAATCTCGTCAAATTAAAATCTATCTTTTAATATCCAGCTCATGGTTTTATTGCAATCAATTATATGATGGTCATCTCTTCACAACTAGCAGTTCCATGACATCTGTCCCTAACCTTTTAGAATTTTTCCTTTTGTCCTTCACACATTTCCTTTTTCCTTAAAATATATTAAGGATTTACACTCGTAACATTCAAGCAGCCTAGTCCCTACATATTCACTCCATACATTCAGACTTTCACCTTCTATATATATTATTCATACAAATAGGTCAACATATATGGTAAACCTCATCAGACTGTACCAACAAATAGTTGTAAAATAATTCACTGTCCCTTACTTCCTATATTGTGGAAGTAAACAACCAAGGTCAGTATGACAACAGCTTGATGGGTTTGGTTGAAATATTAGCAGTTTAGTAAATAAATTTTCTCTCTGTTATAATTACTTCATGTGATATATACTTGTGTTTATGATAGGAGTCTAGAAAAACTCTACTTGGTACATGTACCAAAGTACTCTGACAATTATAACAGAACAATACTCGACAGGGCTGAAATCAATAATTAATTATCAGGAAATTGATTGATAGAGGTACATGCGTAACAAAGCCAGGCTCTTCTGTTTGTATTATATTAAACTTGTCATTCAGACTGACCTGCCGTTCACCATTGATCTATATATATCTTATACTTGTTGGGTTTGCCATCAGTTTCAAGTGCACCACAGCATATTTGAATTTCAAAGGCTTCACATATACTCTGTACTTATATCGTTATGATGGAAGCCTGGGTACTGAGATATTTTATTTAGTTACCTAGCTGATTCTGATCATATTAGCTTTTAAAAAGTTTCTCATTTGACATATAAATCTCATACTTGACGACCTTAAGATGAGTGTTTGTGTGACATGCATTTTCCATCATTCCTTATACTACAATTACAGATTTTATAACTGTTCAAATTGGCACAGCTCACATACTCAGATGGGTAAAGTTTACATATGTATAAATGCCAGGTGATATCCTCAAGGCATTTGATCATACACATCTGTATGTACATACATGTACTGGCAATATATATAACATGAGATTTACATGTTTCTAAAAACACAGATTGTAGAAGTTATGATCCTGCATATATGAAATATTGATGCTGTTCTCTTATGAAAAAGTTGACATGGCAGATAAAATTTCATGCAGCTCGTGAATCTCAATGCTGATTCAGCTGGTGTTTGTCACAGATGGGAAAACCCTTGTGTTAAACAGATTGGCCTTGACACTGACCGAGTTTAGTCTTGTTTACCTCTGTGATGCATATGTATAGACTGATAAGTGGCTGAGGTCACTAGGGGGAGGATCATTCTGCAGGGACTTTCAACATTATACACTTCGCACCAGCCTTGTGAGCAAATTTATATCTTTATAAGTGAATTTCTTCTTGCTTAATCTTGGCATGTCTTTTCAGATGTTTGATTCTAATGGATATATAGTGACATCAAAGTTAAGATATGTTGAAAGTAAATGATATGTTTTTCTCTTTCTAAAATGGTTGTGTTGTATACTATACCAATTACTTGTATCAGTGATTATGCTTACTTAAAGAATCTAGTGACATGTATTTTCTCATGACATGATATTGACTCCATATATCGTTGACCCAGATTTCATCATCACTATGGATAAAGTTATGGAGTGACACATGCATGTACAATTTATCCGGACTTGCGCAATAGTCAATAGAAATTGCTTTTGGAAAACTATGTCATGTTGTAGTTTTTCAAGTATGTATGGTGTAGTTGAATGCGATGAAAAACACAAGCAGCTAGCACACAAAAATCTTGAGGCTTGTGTGCTTCTGGTTTGACAAAGAATGTATTTTAAGATCAGCTTCTGATGTGAAACCTGATTTGGCTGGGGATCTGTAGAATCAATGTGTGGTAAATATATTTATAGATCGTATTAGTTAATCAACACACTGTTTGGTTCACAGGAGTTTCTGTTCATGACGGAGTCCAACCTTCAGAGGGAGTTGGCAGAACTGGAAGCAGAAGCTGCACTCCAGAAACAAGACCAACATGCAGCAATGTTTGACTCACCAATGATCCAAGTCACAGACATGACGCAGAAACGCCTCCAAATAGACATCAAGGTTGGTGCTTTTGAGGGTAAACAGACAGCTGTAGATGTCTTTATTGTGATAATTATTATAAATTTTCAAAACAACTAACCATGCTTTGGTTTGATTAGTGTTTTCATAATATACATATATGTTAAATTAGTTCTCCAGTGGCATACAAATAAATGAAAATTGATTGGAATTTGAGAAATATCTTAATATTCTTTATAATAATTATAGCAATTTAGGTAATACATTAGAATGAAACCATTTTTTTGTCCAGAGTTTCCTGTGACAGAGGACACAATTATAAAATCGCCTATCATTCATGATAGCTTAATTTTCTTATGGCCAAGAATGATAAACCATATTCAGTAAATTCTGACATCTTATTATAATTGTTTTCAGTTAGATCTTATTATTATGTACGGTCAAAAATTGTTTGTTTTGAAAAAATTGTAACAAATCAAGGCCCGAACTATGTTAATTTTCTGCTATTGATGGGTAAATTCCAGTTTCTCACCAATAAATTTTTCTACACATGAGAATTTTGTTCCTTATTAATCTAACAAATTCAATCCTTTTATGCTCATTTTGTATTGCAAATAATACCTCAGATGTTCCCAGAATGCATTATTTGGTACCGATTTCTGAAGAAAAAAAATCACTGAGGGTTGCCCTAGGCCCTTACTCCCCAGCAGTCCCAGCTCTTGGCTAAGGCTTTTTCCCTTGAATGCTCCTTTGCTTAGTCTAGTTTCCCTTTAGGTCTGCAAGTAGCTTCTTCTTTAAAACTGAGATTAATCCCTGCTAATAGGCTTATTGTTAAACACATTACTTGTGGATGTATACTTGTTGAGTGGAAATGTTGTGTACTTTTTGTGATCTGTTTGTTCGTGCCCTACTTTGCTAGCACAATTTCAAACATTTGGGCCACAGTTTTGGATGATGGCAACAAAAAATATATGAAGTTCAAATTCTAGTTGATGTTCATTGGTATCATTTCATTAACTTCTTACTGTACAATGTTAATTGACAGAAGATTTAATGTAAATGATCCAGGACTAAAACATGATTTCAGAGAGTATGTAATGAGTCACATGGTTACATATCTATTTTGTCTTGTCAGAAGAAATTGATACAGCAATTTTCTGAAAACGTTGGGTTGCACATTCCAGGCAATTTCACTTCTTATGAAATGTATTTACAAATAGAATTTGCTTCAAAAGGAAACAATGTGTTGTAGCTTTCTGAATATATAAACATTTTCAGATGCTGTTGTCTTGATTTAATCTTGCCCGAATACTGAAGAGTTTTTACTTCATTTGTTACTGGTAGAAGTCAGCTAGAATATCAATGATTATTGCAATGTCCAAATTTACTGTTACAGAAGTCTGGGTCTGTAGAGGAGGAGGTAGAAGATGTTGAAGATGTCCCTTCCTCGGCAGAGATCCAAGTGGTTCACGAAAAGGAACCACCAAGTCTTCACAGCATTCTCAAGAATCGGTCCATGTCCGAGTCGAGCGAGTGTGATGGTTACGGCAGCAGCAACAGCAGTGGCAGCCCCACTAGTCCTCGTGACGAGCATTTCCACCTCAGGAGGTCAGTTTCCTTCAACGATCGTGTGGACAAAACAACCTTCAAGCCAGGTACTGCCGTCACAACAATGACGTCAACGTTGAAAAATAAAAGGAAACGTAACAGGAAACGTGAAGAAAAACGTCAGTCCAGACTACGTAACAACAGTGGAGGGTCGGAAGGAAGTAGTGGAGATGATTTGGATCACCGAAGCAGCACTGGAGAGTCGCATAGTGAGAATGAAGAGGGTGACGAATCTATAGCTCAGCCCATCGTTGAAAACCAGGAGTCCAAAAAATCTAACGTAACTTCCGCCAATGAAAATAAAGTTCTAGAAAAATCCTTGTCTCCACAAATTAGTACAAGGCTGGAGGAAAAATCAAACAGAGAAGCACAGTTTGTCCAAAACATCAAGGAAAAATTGTCAAAGGTGGATAAGATGGGTGTGAAGGTGGAAGACAGTGATGATGACGGGGAGGAAAATCAGACTGATTCAAGGACTAACACAAAGCAGCAAAAAATTGCAGATGTGATACAAAGTGAGGGAAGTAATGATAATCATGAGCGGACTAAAGGTGTAGGTAACAAGGAAATTCAGAATGTTTGTGTTCAGAAAGCAGATTTGAGTGAGAGTGTGGATAACAAGCAACATCAGGCAGCAAATGATGGGGGACCAACACAACAAGCAGCTACTACTAGTCTTAGGGGCCGGGAGGATGTGTCCATTTCCTCTGGTGAAGTGATAACACGGGCAGGGGTCAAGGACCTCCTTGGGACGGATCAATCTGTGATAAAAGTAACAGGAGAGGAGAGGGGCAGCGGAGATGACTCTGGTGTGGAAAGTAACACAGAGGGAGGTGGCGAGTCTAGTCCAGCCAACGACAATCAGGTGGAAACGATGCTTAGCTGGAAGGATCAGCCAGATAGTGAACATGCCACTAAGTGCTCCTTTGAGTTCTCAAATGCGGTTATGTTTGATCTGGATGTGGACTAAATGATTTTATACTTTTTATGGCTTCAATTTTGTGCAGTGTTATTTCACAACAGGAGGGGATACAGTAATACACAGAACCTGTTAGCTAAAGGACATATATAGGGATCAGCTCTGTTGTTTGTAAACCTTTGTAAATTAGGTATGTGATGCCAGGTTTCAAATCTTTGTTTACAAGTTGTATATTGATGTTGGATATTTGAAGTCAATTATATGTTTGAAAAAAAGATTTACGAAGGAAAATCAACAGGTCTACAATATATGATAAAAGTGTAAGAAGAAATTCAATACTGAATATACATTTACAAATTTGCATATGTCTAGCTCTTTCTGTTACTCTTAGCCTGGACTTCTGCTTTCAGTTTGATGTATACAAAACAGCACTATACATTAACTTCAAAATCATTCAAATACCAAAACTGAATCATGAAATTTCAGAAACGCTTCGAGACGCAGATGTGTACATTGATTTTTTCAGTCAGTCTAGGGCTGTGAGAACACTTGTATAAATATTAAAAGGGAACCGTACCATTTCTGTTACTAGTGCATGTTAATAATTTTAAAACTATGGTACTATTGGTATGCTTGTACTTGTAAGATAAAATTTCGTAAATTTGATCTCATACTCATTATACACATCATGTACGGCAGCACCAGGTTTGTAGGTTGATTTTTTGTAGATGAAACGTGTCATATTTATACAAGACTTAATCAACCTGGGTTTTTTCATCTTTTCAAAGAATTCATATTTCTTGGTTATCAGTTTTAGTCATATTAAGGAGATGTTAGAAGTATGATGTGAATTTGTTATCTATCCTAGCTTTTTAAAAGCAAGTAATCAACAAACTTACAATCAGTTATATTTAGTAATTTTTTATAAGCATTTGTTATTCAGAAGTCACACATTTTTTGATAAAATCTTGAATCCTGAAGATATATAGTTATGTTTCAAAAGGCATTGTTAAATTTTTTTATCATTGTGATGACCTTTCTGAATTGAAATCTGATGGTTCCAGGAAAGTTTCTCTAGTGGTAAGAAGATGTTCCTTTGTTCAACAGTAGGAAGCATGCTACATGATGTACCTGTAGGTTGTACCTGATGTGATACTATGTATAAAGTTTATAGTGTTCTCTATCCTAACACCTTTGTCATTGATAGAAAGATGGAAGAGTCTATTGAGAAACCACAAATCAATGAACTGTGAAATAGTGAGGTTGCCTGTATTCCAAGACCAAGTGACAACTTTTATCATTGTCTTGAAATAATTTAATCTTAATTTCACTTTCATTTCAAAAGAGAAAAACTCTACAAAATGTTCAAATATTTCAGCCTATTTGTGTTTGTCATGCTGAGAAAATTTGTGAATATCCTTATGTTGAATCTTGACTCTATAATATACAGAATACAGTGCAAAAAGGTTATCTTGAGAATAACATCTCTGGGATGGGCACAAATGTAATGTTATTTTTTTTATTCACTTTTACTGGTCTCTTTGTCAACAAGAGAAATTGTACTGAAAGAAGAATTTGACATAGAAATAGCTTGATCGATACAGAGAAGTCGTAATAAAATATTGTAGTTAACTTTGTTAAAATTATCAGCAGCAAGTGACACAAATATTCCATAATGAAAGTATAGTTCATGAAAAGTATATTTTGTGCTGTGTCTTTCGTCATTAACTGTCACAAAAATGTTATGAAATGGGACATGTTTACCTGATATACTTACCAGAAATATTTAACTGGATTTGTTGGTGAAATATGTCAGAAATGTTGCTTCTAACATGTTCTTGACTTTCTATTTTAATCATTTATACAGGAATGTGTATTTGTCAGAGGTTATCTGATGTTGTTAAGGATTCACATATTTTCTGCTTTTGGTCAGAAAATTGTTGAACTGTAGAGTTTTCTATAAAAGAAAACATACAGAATGTCCATGAAATTGTACAAACAAAAAAATGTTCAGTTAAGTACAAAGTAAGAAGTCACTTTATAAGAAACTATTATCTATAGGATATTTTTAGCCAAATGTCAACTGATGGTAGGCTATCCAAACTGGTCCATTGTTTGTCCTTCCGTCCAATTTCTTGAGAAGTACTGGACAGATCTTTCTAAAATAAGATATGTAAGTTCCCTTTTGTCGCTAGTACTTTTTATTGTGAGACTGATAAGGGAAACCAAATGACTGACAAGCGACCATCTTGGATTTTGACTATAAAGGTTTGTTATCACTATATCATGAGAACTAGTGGATGTGATCTTTAAATTTCATCTTTAAACTTCATACGTAGGTTCTCCTTGGTCCCTAGTTGTGTCCTGATTTTTCAGAAAAAGAAACCCAGACATATGACCATCTAAGGATGTAAAGATTGATATGGCAATGTTTTTGAAAGAATTTTTAAAATTTTGTACAATTAGGAGAAAATACAGAGGGAAAAACAAGTAAAAATCAATTAATGGTGAGCTCCAAGGCCCCTATTAGATTTCTTGTTGTAATATTACATGTCATGTTGCATTGATAATTTCACTCTGAAATGAAGATTAATATCAACTTGCAGTAGGATATTGTCATCAAACAAGTAATGAACAATTATTTACATATAAACATGTATATGATGTTGAACCAGACAACAGAGATCTATTATACTTTATATGATTTACTCCTGTCAACAATTTCTGATATAACAGCACCATGCAGTATCAGGGAAAATAGGTTTTAAGTAACCTTAAACATGTGTATGATGCAAAGTTACTGTTCCAACCAATATATTGGTGATCTGTTGGGAAGAAATTTGACTGTTGGGAATACAAAATAAGTTTTTTAAACTGGTGGGTTTTCTTTTTTTTTTTTGTAAAAATCTTGCAAACTGCACAAATTATTCTGTCTGGGTAGGTGGCAGTGAAAAATGTATCCTGTATATCGTACATGGCATTTTGATACAATATTAAATATTTTTGTTGGCTTTTTAAAAAATTTGTCAACATTTTCCAATAAGATTAAAAATTTGTTATTATTTTCATACAGCGATCTGTTAAACACTGTAAAAGCTATTTTTGAAACTGTTAGTGACTTGGAAAATAAAACTTGAACTTCACCAGTGTAGTTGTTTTCTTTTCACGGATCCTTTTCATCATAGAAGTTGAAGTTGTGGTTTGATTTAGGTCCATTGTTTACCAAAACCATTTTTGTTTTTGTTATTTAACAGAAACAATTGTATGGATCTAACATAAGATTTCCTAGGTAATAACCTTGATTTATTTTCAATATCAAAGGTCAAATAGTGTGTTACAGAAGGAACTGCATAAGTTTTACGATCAAACTTTCACATCGGGGAATTTTAAACATTTACGGTCAGATGTCCACTATGAACTCTGGTTGTTTTGAAGGTGACATTTATTATAGTCAAAGAAGCTTTCACTTCATCATAAAATGACGGAGAGCATGAAAATTAATACCTTCATTTCGTCTGGCTTGAGGATAGCGAAGGAGTCAAAAGTAGAGCCAGCAACATGATGAAATCAAGTTCTTTAAGGAACTTTGGGACTCCTTTCAAGGACACTTTGGATCAAATGTCGCAGTTTACTCGGTGAATGACTGACACACTCGAGGTCACAAGTGTTTAGTTTAATATTAAATCATAATTTAATTAATACAAATGTAGAAATTTTACTTATAAAGGACTCTGAAAATCCGGATTGCAGATTTTTCGCATTTAAAGTTGGAATTTTCATGTAACTGAGAGCTCTATCGTGATGATACATAGTGTTTGGCCAAAAGTATGATGGGATTAGGGCCAACCTTCATCTACTTTCAGGCCGCAGTATCAAATGTCTTTGAATCTTCAAACACCTACTGAGAAATACCATCGAGTCTGTTCATATGTATAACTAGATCGGTCTCAAATATCGTTTAAGATAGACTAAGGAGTGTGTTAGCAGAGTCACGAGCGTGGTATATAAATCTACAAACAATGAAATATTTAGGATGCGGGGGCTTTACATACACAATCCGGAGTCGGAGAGGCTTCCGGCGAACATGGATATAAAATATAAGACGGTTTAAGGCCGGATGTGTTAAATAATAGGACATTTTGGTGTGTGTATATAATAATTTAGTTTGACCCTTCAGTCGTATTGTGGCAGAATTGCATCCCTTCGGCTCAGCATGACAACGAAACGTTGTCCAGAAAACACGGTTTTCTTTCGTGAGATAAAATCTTATAGACTCGGCAATGTAGATTGATGAATCGATATTTACCTGGCTAACGACTGTTTGTATAACTAAGTACACTGGTCATTGTGATCCGGTACAGTTGCTGCATTTTGTGTGTAGTTGGTTTCATTGTTTGCTGACGCAACAGGTGATAAATGTAGTCTAGATCGATCCACACAGAGTGTTAACTCAATATGTACAAGATCAAGGTGATATGAGAGGTTGTGTTTGTTAAACATTACACCCAGCATCTCTTCTTCACTAAATCGATAGGGAGTATTTAACAGCACCCAATTACACCGTATGTTTAGAAGGAGAACGATAATAATAAGGATTGTGTGCGCTAAGACCAGATAATAGACATAGTATCTAGCGGGAAATTAATTTTATTGCGAATTCAACACAAACATGTCAAGATTCTTTATGCCATTTGTATCTGTGTGTGAATGGGTTGAGGTAGTCTTCACTAGTGGTTCGAAATTTAGTGGAGCTAATGCCCGACTTCATTTTGTTGCATGTTTTATGGGAGTTATTTCCCTTTACGTGCTATAAAGACTTTTGCATTTATATATAAAAACAAATGACGTTTGCTGAAAGTTTCACAACGATATAAAATGGTCTTATGAAGGAAATTGTCTTCATATTCCTTATTTTTAAAAGACTCAGGCTAACTGCTAATATTTGTTCATCCCACAGTAAAACTAAATTGTGACCCTAAGACATACACGTATTTCTTATTAACAGTGTTGATATGAAACCGATGCCCCCAGACGATACTGGTTTTCATTAGGAACCGTCCTTATTCAAGATCCTGACATTGGTTAATTCGTATCTAAATTTCTGTCCCATGATCAATTCTTCAGTTGTAAAAATATATTGCAGAAACAAAGTCAGTAGTCAGCATGTCGCTATTTAGTGACGAACGAACCGCGAAGGTCTCTATTCCAGCAAGCAATTTCTGGAAGTTATGCAGGTGAAGGTCACTATTAGGTTCTATAAGAGGAATCGGACAGAATACATATATATGTATATTCGATGAGTACGCAAACAAGGCACCTGTTTGAATGTTGATTATCTCCCTTGTATCTGACTGTTTATATCAGCGAATTTTGTTTTAAAAACATATTTCAACGTTTTTTAGTCATTATAAGCAACAACCAGTCTCTCTCTCTCGTAATTTTGTTATATGTGGTACTGGGGTCAAGATACTCTCATATTTTCAAACAAAACATTTGTACGACGGTACAAGTACACAACGATGCATACGTTTTTCTGGTATTACGCTGTTTATAATTTGAAGCTACGATGTATATCATTGTATTATAAACACCGCATTATCAACCATTTGTAATTATATGTCTGGTACTTGTCTTGTAAAAGAACATGGCCATGAAATGACTTTCCACCTGCCACGAAGAGTATAAGAAAGAACAAAAATGTCACGTTTCTCGTTTTATTCAGCAATTTCATTCATAACATGAGAATAAGACAATATACATTTAGAAAAATCCGATAATCGGCCGAAATTAAGATAAGCCATCTGCTTGCACATATAATAGACATTAACATGTACAGTACCAGCAGCGTTAAAGTGGAGAAAAAATGATAGCTCAATGATATATCAGATAGTTTAATACACTAATGGCAAACTGACAGAAAACATGATATGCAAATGTACAGGGTTTACGTAAATAACCCTCAACCTGATATTTGCATAGCCTAGACGTAAGGAGACAATAGATACAAAAATACTGACTCAGCCTTATGTTAAGGCAAATTCATTACAACTGGTTATTAATTCAAATTATATATCATTCTGATTTTCCTTAATATTATTCAATATTGTCAAAAATATGATATACAACCTGCATTTCCGGTATCAGATCACCGAAAAAAGGGACTGCTTTGTATAATGTGTATATAATTAATGGACGTTAGTTATCACAATAAACAAATATTGATTTGCAATTTTAAACAGTATAGATATATTCTGTACGTGTCTTGTATATGGAAAATCCTAAATATCAAATAGGCCCCTGTATGCTTCTGTTTTATCTTCAATTTCACAAATATAATTCTAACTCTAAATTTTCAAAACTAGAAAATTATACATGGCGTCATTTTAAACTTAATTTCCTGTAAGTGGATATGAACATTCTTCGCGGGTAGCCGGTGGAAGTATGCAACAACTTGTATACATGTTGGCACAAAATCTCTACACGAAATCCTGTATGGCTCCCGATAAACATTAGATATATACATTAACGTACTGGCAAAATGCATGACAGCATGCTTCAAACCAAAATCCCGATAAGGTCCGACAATACTGGCTTTAAAGGTGAATGACCTTTGGCATTTAAAAGCCAGAACGTTTTTGCTTCGATACTAGTAAAGGTCATCACAAATTGAACATGACCACGACTGGATTCATGGAATTACATAACTCAGTCGTTGATTAAAACAGATCTCTATCATATTTGATAAGGATTGAGATTATCTTTAAAAAATTGATCCGTTCTGATTAAATCTTTGACAATATCAAAATTTCACTTTAATGAGGTTTCAAACGCAAATAAGTTCAAATTCATTGCTACATATCATCTGCAAAATACTTTCGCTCTCGATATATCTATCGAAGTTGCTGTGGAGCCTCCAATCTGAGACAATTTTTAATAGAAAATATATGGTATCATCGTACATTTTGTGCTATTATAATATAAAGAAAAAGACATTAGTTATTTTTCTGTCACTTGTGAGTGTCGAAAACGTTGAGAAAATAAATTGATTATCTGACATAGAACATATGTAACAAGTTTTTTACTTTATTGCAGTGCCAAGATTTTCTTTTTAATGTTTCCCTGCATATAAAATCTTCCATTTGACTGACAAGATAAAGCTAGCTATACATTAACCACATCAAATTCGATAAATTTAACAATAATAAGATTAAACCCGTTAACATTGTGAAATTACAACGACTAGGTAAAGTTTGATAAATTAAACATTAATAAGATTAAACCAGTTAACATTGTGAAATCACAACGACCAGGTAAAGTTTGATAAATTAAACATTAATAAGATAAAACCAGCTGACATTGTGTGAAATTACACTGACCAGATAAAGTTTGACAAATTAAACATTAATTAGATAAAACCGGCTGACATTATGTGAAATTACACTGACCAGATAAAGTTTGACAAATTAAATATTAATTAGATAAAACCGGCTGACATTATGTGAAATTACATTGACCAGATAAAGTTTGACAAATTAATCATTAATTAGATAAAACCGGCTGACATTATGTGAAATTACATTGACCAGATAAAGTTTGACAAATTAAACATTAATTAGATAAAACCGGCTGACATTATGTGAAATTACATTGACCAGATAAAGTTTGACAAATTAAACATTAATTAGATAAAACCGGCTGACATTATGTGAAATTACATTGACCAGATAAAGTTTGACAAATTAAACATTAATTAGATAAAACCGGCTGACATTATGTGAAATTACATTGACCAGATAAAGTTTGACAAATTAAACATTAATTAGATAAAACCGGCTGACATTATGTGAAATTACATTGACCAGATAAAGTTTCATGAATTAAACATTTATAGGATAATGACGATATTTCATAGTATGTATTTTACAGCTACTTAACACAGCAAATACTAATATCTTATGAATAAACTATAAAGCATGTCTAAATCATACCAAGCAAACACATTCATGACCAGCACTGCCCATATAGCAAATACCTGACATAGCTTCTAATAAAATTAACAACATTTATCTCTAGTATCATGCACACCTATATTGTTGTACCACGCTTCAAACGAAAAAATAACAAACATTTAAATTTGTAGATAAAATATCAAATTAACGGCGTGGTTCACACATAAGATCAAATGCTTGTTTCCATGGCAATATGGCCGGCAGGCGCCATATTTTTTGTTTGTATCACAAGGTGGACACTGGGATTATAATCATGCATCGCTGATGCTAACAGAAAAATCCTTTAAGTCACACGCGCGTCATAATGACGTCACCACGGTACGTGTATATACGTGGCATGAATGTTTAGCACAATGGCCTAGATGGCGAATGATGCAAGCGCTGAAATATTTTGTATTTTGGCTCGGAAACTCACTGCGATATAATAGTATCAAGAAATGGCTATTTTATATAAATAGCTGGTTTTATAGTAACAATTAATGTCACAGTATATATTTCAATATAGTCCGGCCTGCTTCAACTACCATCTGCATTCCATACGTGAAGTTTCAATCATTCATATGATAAAGGAGACGTCCTCCTAGTGGGAGGAGCGTATGTACCCCAGGAGTCTCTTGAGGAGAAACCACCAAAGGGCCTTTCTTCATACAAGCTGTCAATTTGAAACATGCCCTGGCACCCGATACAACACTATTTCGTAGGACGCCGTTAATTTAAAAACGTATTTTCATTCGCATGTGATCATCTAAATGTAATTTTTGTCTACCATTATATACAGTGATGGCCTTGACCTTTGTTAATGTAACAAAGGCGCGTGATGGTGAATTTGTGCCACAAAGTCCCTGGCAGCTGTTAGTGGCATTTCTGGGTGAATATACACAATCACGTTAGTTTCTGTATGCCAGGGTGGCATGCTTATTCCCATCCGGATGGTTCGGATGTTGACCGGAACTGGCATTGGTCGTGATGACCTCCATGTCGTAGAGCACCGGTCAATCTGGAAAAAATAATACCACCATTTTCATTTCCATTTATTGTGATGGCAATCACTATAATAATAAACTTTATACAGATTTCTAAAATACCATACAAAATCTAAAATCTACCGTTTTGAGTAAGACACTATATGCAACTGATCTCCATATTATACATTGTACCTTCCTCCGAGGAATAAGGTTTACCGCTATATTGCGACATAGTGGCCCATATTGACACCTCGACGTTTTAGTGTTGCGACAGACTTTAATAAATAATTTCAAAGTTACAACAGAAGTCTAGAAAGTGAGGCTCAACGGAGAGACAACGGTGTCCCTACAACATTTTTCATCAGTTAACAGTGAAAGTGTACATGTATCCCCGTCCCTGCCTCCCTGATAATCTGTCAAGGTTAGAAGCGATGGGAGAGAGAAACGAAGGGAAGTAACTCTGGTGGACCAGAATGAAGTAATATATCCTATTTTAAGGTCCGCGAAAATATAAGTTCTATGTCAACAAGGACTTTAGTTTTCGGCGCCTGATACACCCCGACTAAGACAGACGTTACAGAGCGCCTACACATAATAACAGCTGTTATATAACAGTGAACCCTGCGATTAAAAAACATGAAGATGCAATACGACCAGGCATTGTGCTATCTGACAGCAATATTTATCAAATAAATGTCACGGTAATGTTACGTTTTCGTTCAGCCTATTGATTAAGTTACTGCACAAATTATTGCCACAGTGATTTTGATTTAAACATATTTTATTGCATAAATTGTATATACAAATGGATTGGGCACAAGTTTACAAACTTATATAAAGCCCGTTCCAAGATAAATAACAGACACATATAAATGCAAAAGATGACCTATTCGAAATTTACAAGATACAATTATATATACAGAGAGAGAGAGGGAGAGAGAGAGAGAGAGGGGGGAGGGAGATAGAGAGAGAGAGGGGGGAGAGAGAGAGAGAGAGAGAGAGAGTACATCTACAAATGTAGTGAAAAAGGAACAATAGCGATATGGTCTAACCCAACCCAGGTGACAATCACATTCTTTATACTATTCCACTCTTCCTAGCGTTCAACTTGTCAATGTCTATCAAAAACCGTGCCACCGATGTCCTTCTCCTTGGTCCATGCTGATCCTTCTGGAAATAACATATCTCAACCGATTGTCACCCGAGTTGGGAAGGAACGATTATAATTTACTATAGAGTATAATTTAAAACCGGTTTGTATTTATAATAAATCTTTGGGTGGATTGGCATATAGTTTCGTTTTCCTGGTTAGTCAGCTCGGAGTTTCCAAATAATAGAAGGTGGAGGTCTAGTGGAATGAAATCATTAAGCTCACGATAAAGTTGTAGGCGTTGGTAGGCATAATTATTACATACAAAAAAGAAGTGATGAGCATCTTCGATATAGTGTCCACATTGACAGTGTTTATAATTAATTAAGTTAGCATGAAACAAGTCATTATTTAAAGTACTGGATCTGTTACGTAATCTGGCATGCAGGATGTTAGTTTTTCTATCACCAATAAGAAAATAGGGCGGAATTCGAATGTCTGTGTTTTTACGGAGAGAGTGTTTAAAGACCGAATATGTTTCACTTTGTCGGATATCGTGGTCTAACTGATTCCAAAGATGAATAGTAGAGGGAAAGAAAGAAGATTTTGTGAGTTGTAGACGGTAGTTTGGTATGGAGTAATTATTGGCATTTCGAAGGTTATAGGGTGAATTTTCTGAGACTAAGGGGGGAAGAAGAGTGGATAAATAATCAGGTGTTAAGTTATTTTTGATTTTATAAAAAAGCTGCAATTTCCTTCTAGAGCGTCTAAAGCAAAGTGGTTCTAACCCACATTCAGAATATAAGGAATCTCTGCTCGTATAAGATGGTAACCCCGTAATCACACGAGCAGCCTCTAATTGAAGTTTTTCTAATTTGTCTGCGTCACCGAGAGTACATCCATCCCATACCTCACAGCAATATTCTAATAGTGGAATAATATAAGAATTATATATTCTATACAATGTTTGTCTACCTAGAATAAATTTAAGTTTTCGCAAGATACTAATCTGCTTAGATACTTTTTTACAAATGTCCTCAATATGACTTGTCCATTTACAATTCTGGTCAAATGTTACCCCCAAATGCTTATGATTATCTACAAAATTCACACTAACATTATCAAATTTTATATCTATCTCGTAGTCTAATTCGGAATTATGGATAAGTAATGCTTCTGTTTTAGTTGGATTAAACTTTACTAGCCACTTTCTCGCCCAATTTTGAATTTGTTCTAAATCATCATTTATTACAGTTTCAACGTTGTAAGGGGATGGCTTATAAACAGTTTCCTATTTTCATTTGCAAGTTTTATGTAAATAAAAGAAACGTCGAGGAGACCGAACCTCTATGCAAAGATATAGACAGACTTTCAAACGATGTTTATGGTTTTTATCTCGCAACTAGCGATGTATTTGAGATAAACAAGCGAACACTGCGCCAAACGTTCCATCTCATTGCCAAGCACGCGCACTGTAGCAATTGCATTGACAATATAAACAACATATAGAGGATCAATACCGAAGCCATGTCTGAGCGTATAATACAGCTCATCTCAAAAGTCTCGTACGGTTTTGTGAATATGCACTTGCATATTTTTAAAGAAAATAGATATTATCCCTCAAAAATCTGCAGCGAATAAAAAAAAAAAATTGGACGTTACACAACAATCGTGTTGTGCATTACATAGCTGATACGTGCACAAAGTTACACTGACGAAAATAAAGGAAGTTTTTGGTTAATGGTAGAACATTAATTATAATGAATTTAAGAAAATTTTGATGCCAAAATTAAGCAATTATTTGGTATGAAAAAAAAGAAACAAAATCAATATTCTTTGGTAATGTGAATAACATATATCGTAAATATTGTCGTAAGATCGTAAATATCACGGATCAATAACTTGACCCCGTGTTTCTGTGATCTGTTTTACAGAATCGGCAGTCAATAATATGAATCACATCTTTGTACTTTAAATCACATTATTATTGAACATATTATTATTGAATTATTGAACTTTTTGCGGAGAAATTTCAGAGAATAAAACTAACGACAAAAAAGATACAACTGTACAGGCCTAAATTCAACTGTTCTGATCAGATGTAATATGCAATCCAGGGAGTTATCAACACGAAAATAAGTAACTCGCCTAAAAATGGAAATAAGCGTTATTTGTGAAAGTACCTGTAAACAACTTACGCCTAGACACGAACAAAGCCCGCAACACAGTGGATTCTGTTCCGTCAGGCGACTCTCCAGGGAGCTTCCGACGCTGGCTACTAGTTCCACGCCGAGGAAACAGCCGAGCGGCACGTTCTGGTAGAATGTACTGTTGTACTTTGAGAGTTCTAGCTTGTAACCGCTATGTGACGCTGGACTCCCCTCTCCGAACTCCGACAACGTAGCGTCTGTAATAATACAAATGACATCCCAGGGTGTCATAGTCTCTTGTAGACAGATTTATTATCCCCCCTTTACTTTTAAAACAATTTCATTTGCAATAGATGATATGATCTTTTACCAATGGCTGAACTGACGCGAACATTACATGGCAGTCTACCATGCACGTGCTGGCCCGACGCCGCCGGGAATTGACCGCGTAATACAATATGTTTCTTCTATAGCCAAAACACGACAGACATCATACATGTAGCTGACGATAACTTGTTTATAATGAAGTGTATTTAACTTAATTTTGCCTGCATTACTGTTTTTGTTTTGTTTCTTCCATTTTATTTTTTTTCTGAAAAAGACAAGAAAATGTTATACTTCCTAGGTTTATTTCACAGAAAACATTTTAACAAGTGACGCGTGGTTCAACGTCAGAATATTGTCGGGACTGGAACTGCAATAGATTTGTCCCCGGCTACTGTTGCGTTGGGGTAGTGAAACGGGCCTTGTATCGATTAGCGCCAATAAGAAGAGCCTCTGAAGGGTAAACATGGTTTGAAATTGCTTTTGTAAACTAAAATTGTTGCGGATTCGAGTTGACATTAAAAGATAAGTATTAAACCAGATCAATGGTGTATCGATACTTTAGATCGATATCAGGGGACGTTAGGTACAAAAACCGTTTTAGATCTTTAGTTTTTTATATCAATTGGTTATCGAACTTAAAATCAACCTTTCATTTCTGGTATATGCTGTAGAGCGATTCGGTCCGTATGGTTGGGTAGGAGAAAACATGCAGAGATACATGTCTTTCCGTGCACTCGTTTAAATAGAGTTGTCGTTCCTTATACTAGGCCGAATTGTTCTACACTCAGCAAGATTTCGCTTGATTAAAAGAATCAGACACCGATATTGAAAATAAAAGAATTCAGAATTATATAAGAACAGTAAATACAGAGGCAGATTTCGAACAAGGAAGAGTCAATCGATTGTTCTGGTTCCGATACGTCATCAAATTAGGGTTTGTCCAGCTGCTGTATCTCCCAGAGCGTGAAATAAATGTAATAACACGTCTGACCTACATATGTGTGTTGTCCTATTTCCATAAGATGTTGATCAATTAACAGAGAAAAAATACAATAAAGATTTTATTAGCGAACAGCTTCAGACTGAGATACAATATCCGGGCTCCGCTTCTACTACCATCTCATAATTACGGTCACGGTAATAATGATTAGCCAAAATTGATTAATTCCGATCAAAATTATACAACAATATCATGATTCTAGGAATCGATGGTTACCGGTATTCAATAGGAATGGAATGTATAGCCTTCTTTCGTTATATCTGCCCAACACGTCTCCCTGACTACAACATATTGATGTGTCGTTTGTCTTTACAATAAACAAACAACACAGGGATTCTATATCTCCTAATCATCCAGTACACGGTGACTTCAGATGTTTGGCTGTATCCCTAACTTAAGCGGTTTATGCTAGAAGCCCAAACCATTAGCTGGTCGTGGGTGTGTCCATTGACAAGACTCTTTAAACCTTATAGATATTGACAGCATGCGACGAGCCTCCCGCGTGATGTCCATTGATGTTAGCACCACCAACTAAAAGGAGACCGAGCTTAAAAATGATACGTAGACAAATCAGTTGCATAAACAGATTACATTAGGGCCACTCCACATAATTAAGGTAGCCGCAATCATACAACAGAGGTTTCGAGTGTTTGGCCACAGTGACTTCGGTAACTACGATACCTTCATTAGCTTCCGCTGATAAAATGAGTAGTTTCCGGTCTGTTAGACATATCCGGCCCTTGCCTATGGACGGCTTGACCTTGGTCTTGCACTCCTTGTCCAGGAAGTCAAGATGAGTGAAGTAGAGCCACGCCCCTCCAAGGACCAACACTTCTCCCTCCTCCAACATCCCTGTTATAAATATTGAAAGGTCAGAGGTTAGCTTTCCCACTACAGGAATAAGTCATTTCATGTTATCAATGGTCGTGTTATCAATAACCCTGTTATCATTAGTCCTGTTATCAGTGGTCATGTTATCAATAACCCTGTTATCATTAGTCCTGTTATCAGTGGTCATGTTATCAATGATCGTGTTATCAATAACCCTGTTATCATTAGTCCTGTTATCAATGATCGTGTTATCAATAACCCTGTTATCATTAGTCCTGTTATCAATGATCGTGTTATCAATAACCCTGTTATCAGTGGTCGTGTTATCAATAACCCTGTTATCATTAGTCCTGTTATAAGTGGTCATGTTATCAATGATCGTGTTATCAATAACCCTGTTATCATTAGTCCTGTTATCAATGATCGTGTTATCAATAACCCTGTTATCATTAGTCCTGTTATCAATGATCGTGTTATCAGTGGTCGTGTTATCAATGGTCGTGTTATCAGTGGTCGTGTTATCAATGGTCGTGTTATCAGTGGTCGCATCAATGGTCGTATTATCAGTGGTCGTGTTATCAATGGTCGTGTTATCAGTGGTCGTGTTATCAATGGTCGTGTTATCAGTGGTCGTGTTATCAGTGGTCGTGGTATCAGTGATCGTGTTATCAGTGGTCGTGTTATCAGTGGTCGTGTTATCAATGATCGTGTTATCAGTGGTCGCGGTATCAATGGTCCTGTTATCAATGGTCGCATCAATGGTCGTATTATCAGTGGTCGTGGTATCAGTGGTCGTGTTATCAGTGGTCGTGGTATCAGTGGTCGTGTTATCAGTGGTCGTGTTATCAATTGTCTTGTTATCAATGCTGTCGTGATGATTGTGTTATCGATGTTGTAAGCGGTTGTGTGTGTGTTATCACCTTGTAAGAGCTGTTCGTAGGTAAGTAGCTCCCCGGGACGACCTTTAGCTTGCCACACATCTTGACGCATGTCTTCCCCCTGAGCGAGGAGACAGTCGTTCAGCTTGTAGAACTTCCGCTGTTTGGTATACGCCTGTTCTAATACCAGCTGAGAGGAAGGATTCAGGTCTAGACGTGAGAAGTCCTGATTGAAGGGCCGAGGTTCATCAATAATCACAAACCCAATCTTACCGTTGCTGTCCATTGTTGTGGGCGGAATTACCGAAGAAGGTGTCGTCGGCTTCGTCGTTGTCGATATCGTCGTTTTAGCACCGAAAGGTACTAATGTATGTGTCTCAGAGGTGCTGGCAGACGAGGAACTGGTGGTCTTCAGTGTAGAAGGCGGACGATTCGTCTGATTGGAGTTGACAAGTGTTACACCTTTGTTTACGGTGATTTCCGTTTCCTGTAACAGTGATAGATGTAGAACATTAGACAAACAGATGCACGAGCAGCGCGCGCTCTAAGTGGCGCCCTGGTTCACCGCCATTGTCTCTCAAGATGATGGTAAATGGTTGGCGTGATTTCAATAGACGTATGTCTATCGTGTGTAGGTAGAGAAAGTGCTGATAAGATTTCCGCATTCCATCAATCTTTGGACAAGTAAAGGATAATTAAAAATGGCTAATTTAAACCTTAGAGGTGGAAATGGGAAATTCTCCAGAGCGACAGGGTTTAAGACATAATCACTCTTACCAAGAAATTACTTTAACTTTCGAAAATTCCAGAAGTTTGTCTTTACGACAGCATTAATAATTGAGTGAAGGGGAGTCTCTAATCAAATAATTTTTCCTAATTTCATTAATTAAATCAACATTGATGTGATTATGTTAGAATTTTTACTTTCTTAAAGGATTCTAAGGAATGTTAAGAAAAAAATTAATACGTAGCTTGTAGTAATTTATTGTTAATTTATAAAGATACAACCACTATTACGCACCTCTGTCCTACAGAAAGCTTGAAACTAAGTCCTAGTGCTGGATCCTAACCATCTCGGAATAATCACAACCAGAGTTGTCGTTCCTCTGTTACCAATGACTTAAGACTTTCGAGGTTGAACCTAAGTAAGCTACATGTGTCAGTGGGAGGGGTATTCCACATTAGTATACTCTGGTAGATATTGCACATTGCCATCAAACGTATCACATGTAGATCTCAGCACTGACAGCAATACACGTACTCAAGGAAGGGAATTGAGAATATAAAAATTGGATTTGAAAACTATGGTTTTTCCATGTAATTCCACTATTTATCACGAGTGCTCAGTCAGTTACCACATACGCATCCGTAAACTACAAAGAAGATTTAATATTCATGGTTCGACGCTCCCTAATCGTGGCTGCTGATGTCATTCAGGAAGTTTAAAACGGAGCAGACTGTGCTGACGTGGTTGGTTCTTAAGCATGGCACTATAAGCTAACTGCTTTGGTCGGCATGCGACGGGCCTTCCGTATGTTGTTCATTGAGACTGCCAGCGACTACTACAGGAAGGCCCCGCCTCAATAAGAGCATTATTAAACCAGTAAACAAACAGCAAATAGAGACAAAAATTCCCTCTTTGGGATGACATAGGGGGATCTCAAACCGAGGTTTGTCGATATTTTCAATCTTTTCCCGAATCTTTTTATGAAGAAGGGCAATCTTGTATGAGGGTTGAATAAATTATAGACGTAAACTGGATTATGCCATGCGGCTGACCTCGGTAGATTCCGGTATCCTCGTAACAACGGAATTGGCCGAAATGTGACGAGTTTGTCAGTGGCATGTAATGACCCACATGCGAGTACACCTCCAGTAAGATTACTAAGAAACATGATGAATCACATTGCTTAGCCTTTCATACACAATGAACATAAATTAGTGTCGAGGTGGCAGAGAATTGTTTGTCATGCCTTGTATTCAGACCTGGGGTATATAATATGGATTCTACATTCTTGTACGTCTCCAGTTCAAACTGATTATACCCAAAACATCGTGGGGCAACTCCACAGAACAAAACTAAATTATCTTTTTACAAACTTAGCTTTACAAATATTGGAATGATTCGATTTTGTGTACACGAGGTAAGACTATAAATTTCCTGTGACATGCCCTCGGTCCTAAGTTAAATCATACGGATTAAATCAGTCTCGTGGCTCTCCTGTTTAAAGGTCTCGTGCAAACAGTCCCGACTACGAAGTAATTATACAAAGATGCTGTTTTGTTTTATAGCCCATTTCAAGTCACCACATTCCAGGGAATGTGGTATCTGCCAAAACATATGTATCGCAGTTACGTGGCAAATGATTTTATCATTTACAATTAGCGAAACCTATATTTCTAGATGATATTTAGCTCCTGCCATGTTGTATAGGGATGTAAATAATTACCGGGGCCGCGTAGCATCAGAGACACAATTAAAGACACAAGCCTGTTTATTAGACATTTGGTTTAGTTTCTAAGGCCAAATAAATAACATTTCTGTTTCCTGACGCATTCTTTGAAATAATCTGTGAGAAGTAGATTTACAGGTTTATTCCTTGTTAAATTTACAAAGTACACAGTACAAACAACATCGTGCCCCATCTTTTTATCAATACCCATAGGTCCATGGCCTAAACGCTAAGCTGACTATCTCATCGAAGTTCGTTTTGATTACTCAATTGTCGTGTTTGCAAGGTCCATTGGTGAAAAAATGCAAAGAGCTATACCTCTGTAATTTAAATTGAATCGGTCACATTGTTGAAACTATCCATCTGAGATCTTAATGATATAAGGCTGCATACAAAATATCATCAAATTCTGTTAATATTTATTCAAGAGTGTTTACAGGGGCCCGTGGTAATGAAACTACAAAGGGCCATAACTCTGCAAATAATGATCAAACGATCGAATCGGTCCCATCGTGCATGTCATTCGAGATCTTATTAATTTGAGACTGCAAACATATACTAGCTAATAGAGGTATGTAAATATGCAATTTCCCTATATCTAATATAAACAGAATTTCAAAATGTAAGGCTATGTCACGTGGTTTCCTGGAAAGGAGAGACATTATAACTAAACAAGGTTATATATGTTTTTTGATTGCATTCCATTTTAAATCGAAAATCTCGAATAATATCTATAATGTGTCTTTAAAGTACTGGAATGAAAATCACGAATACTTTCTATAATGTGTCTTTAAAGTGTAGGAATTACGTATATGTGATACTTCATACCGATAAAGACGTTACCGTATGATGTAGGTCGGTGGGTGAGCAGACATTTAATTTAAACATCAGGTCTGTAGCAACTGTCAAGATATAACGTAAATGACGTGCCTTGGCTTTCAATATCGACTTTTGATAAACAGACGATTTGATAAATAGCCTGTACAATTATCTCACAAACAAAACATTCACAGATACAAGAAAAAGTACAAATGTATTTTATATCTGCGAAAGGAGGATAGGCGTCAAGTCGAATGTCTTAAAGACAGTTATGCTATCATCACTTTTGTATTGATCTAACTGCAAAAATTGTCACGATTCACTGAAGTAATGCTGAGCAGCGACGCACAGGAAGGCAGTGTCTGGATGACAGAAATACACGTGGTCCGAAGTTGACAGGAAGACACTTGATCCCTGAACAATGGGAAGACATCTGGCCTGTGGTTTATAGCGAGAGCAGTGTATGACATGTAAGACAGGTAGATACGTCGCCAATTGCCGACAAGAAGACACGTCGCCCTTAGCAGACGAGAAGATATCATCAGCGGATGATAGGAAGATACTTGACCCATGAACAATGGAGACCCATGGGTGTTTGGAAGGCACGTGACTCATATATACGTCGTCCATTGCTGACGAGAAGACACGTCATCCTTACCAGGCGAGAAGACACGTCATAACGGATGACAAGAAGACACATCACACGTTGAAGATGATATAAATTCAAGGACACATAAAAGTGACTAGTTGATGGGAGATGAGCTTATAAGTGCCTCATGAAAAATACTTTGTCAGCAAAAATGACATCTTATTGGAGAATGACTAACATCTCAAGTAAGACAATTTGGTGACCACTTTTATGTTCATATAAAAAACCAGTTATATAAACGTTTTCTTGGCAATTTGTTTCCTGATGTAGGTACATAATATGTAGTCGACAATACATGTATGCTAATTGAACTTGTTCTGAAATGGAATATATCTTATCAATTAACATTAGATATTTGTGCCCAGATATTTCTTATAAATCGTGCAGAATGTGTCTAGACCGTTTACGTGGTGTGCCCTGGAACCACACACTGTAACATTGCGAAAGTAATCACCTCCCAGCGACATGTGTTGGTAGAACCAAGGGGGGATTCTGACATCTGTCTGTACTTTGTAGAAAATCCCCTGTATATCTTACAGTTATTAGGAGGCGACGAGAATAGAGTTGTTACTCCGGCACAGCTTAATAGAGTATTCACTAAAAGTATTAAAAGTTGGTTATGTCTTCCCTCCTATAGGAGGTTTGTTTATAACATACACTAAAACTCTGCCCTATGTTTATCTACATCACAAATAAACAATAAACAAAACGCTGACAAAATCCGTTAGTGCTGATATTAAGTATTTAACAAAACTTTGGTTTAAATAAATTTTAACTCTATCTTCGTCTTGTTTTTAGCAATGTTTGTAAAAGTTTAAAGTTACATGATAAACAGAATCTTGCATTCGTTTCCATTCCATGTAAGATGTATGAAACATATGTCACTTATTCATTATACAGAGACTCTTTTCATAAATCTTAAATTAATAGAATCTATGTAATATCATATATATATCTATACACATGATTTACATTGTAAATATATATATATCATCACACTATTTCCATGTATTTATGTCATTATATTATATACGTTGTACATAAATGTTATATGTATTATTGTATTATCTGTATTATACATGTATATGTGTATTTTATATGCATGTATATATATCAGTATATCATATATATATTATCATAGTATATGATATATATTATCAGCTGTTTTTTGCATAATGTAATGGCAGATTCTTTAACATGTAGCATTTTAATGCAAAATGATCTCCATCGAACGACTTAAACTATCAGCGACTTCAAAGAATTGTGTCTGAAAAAAATCCAGATATCATTGCGTGTTTCATGATCTTATATTTTGTTGCAAGCTAACAAAGCTTTGAGGAATTAAGCACAGATGTTTAAAACTTAACCGGGAACATCTTCACAAGAAAGGGCTGTCACAAACCATATGTTTCCTGTCGGGAGATAGCTCTACAGGATATTATATGTCAATAAATCTATTCATACGTCATGTAAATAGTGAAACAGGTTCTTCAGGCGTAGTGATTCCCCCAATACCGCCCTCTCCAATATATATAGCGCTAATTTGTGTCGGAAGTATTCTCTACT